ATGTGCAATCAATAAAAATGCAGCCAATTTTTAATCCCAGATTGTCGTCTTGTCAAGTTTGCTCCATCTCACCATTGCAATTGTTTTCGCCCACTGCTAGCGGTTCCGCACTACACCCGCAATCAAGCACAAATCTGGAAGCAGTCACAGATTTACTCCTTCTCTGGCTGCATTCAGGCAGCCCTTATTCCTGTGTTTTTCATGGATCATTTCACCGCCATTCATGAAATCTGGGGCAGTATTCCACTATATGCAGTTCTTCCCTTGGAGGTTTTTAAGCAGAGGTTGGATGACTATCTGTCGTGGATGGTTTAGCAGAGATTCCTGCATTGCAGGGGGTTGGAATGGATTACCCCTTGGATCCCTTCCATCGCTACAATTCTATTATTTTCATGGGGGAATCATGGGGAAACAGGGGCACACATGCCTATAGAGGGTGGCAGCATGTCCGATGGCATCCGCCGTTGTGCCACACCATGCCCACTGTGTGACATGGCTGTATAAACAATCCAAAAGGTCACAGTTGCTTAATACAACAGTGGGTGGCGCTGTGGGTTAAACCACAGAGCCTAGGGCTTGCCGATCAGGTCGGCGGTTTGAATCCCCGCGACAGGGTGAGCTCCCGTTGCTCTGTCCCTGCTCCTGCGAACCTAGCAGTTTGAAAGCACGTCAAAGTGCAAGTAGATAAATAGGTAACGCTCCGGCAGGAAGGTAAACGGTGTTTCCGTGCGCTGCTCTGGTTCGCTAGAAGTGGCTTAGTCATGCTGGCCACATGACCTGGAAGCTGTACGCCGGCTCCCTCAGCCAATAAAGTGAGATGAGCGCCGCAACCCCAGAGTCATCCGCGACGGGACCTAATCATCAGGGGTCCCTTTACCTTTAATTACCTTTACCTTTACATTTAATGCAGTGTAAAAAGAAAGTTAGAAACATAGTTGTCAACCGTCCCTTATTTGGCAGGAAACTCCCTTATCCCAGTGCCGTGTCCTGCTGCTGTCCCGGATTGATGATGTCCCTTAAATTTCCTAGGTTTCATGCTTGCCCGGCTCGGGAGGGAAGCAGCGGCTCGGGGTCCTCCGCCTCGAGAGAGTGCGTGCACGAGCTGCCGCGTCTCCCCCTTTTCCCCCTCAGGGGCGCGTCATGAGGGGACGGGTGGCGGCGGGCGGGCAGGCAGGCCCTCTCTTGCGAGACCTCCGCCGCGCTGCCAGGGGAAGCCAGAGGCGGTGGCGGCAATGGTGGCGGCAGTGGCTGAGGAGGTGGCCTGAGGGAAGAGGAAGAGGAGGGGATGGGGAGGGATGCAGAAGGGCAGCGCTTCAGCGGCCGCCGTGGCGCCGCAACCGCCTCATGCCAGGCTCGTGGGTGGCATGGGCGAGAGTCTCCCTCCCTCCCTCGCGGGCGAGGAAAGGCCGATGGAACTCATAAGCTAAGCAAAATCTCTTTTTTTGGCTGCTGATCCCTTATTTTTGAGGCTGCTGGTCCCTTATTTTCAAATCTGTAAGTTGACAGCTATGGTTAGAAATCGAGCATTACGGCCAGGGAAACGAATGAAATAACCCCCACGTCTGAATGCACCCGCTGCCTCTCTTTCCTCTCTAGAAAGAGAGACTGTATTTTAAAAAGGAATCAATCATTACTGATTACCCCAAAAGAACAGGTTGCACACTCTATTTTATCAACATGAAATGCTATTCCATAAATTTTAAGGAAAGCTGATGAGTCAGACGAAACCGAATCTTTCAATATTCAGCTGCTCTTGTTTACTTTAAGATGACTCTCAAAGATAGAAAACGCCTATCCTTACACGGGGATGTGTCCAGATTTCAGAATTTGGCGCAATGTCTCCCATTAGGTGTCTGCCATCTTGGCTACTGTTTGGAACAGAATGTGGAAGGAGGTGAACCCAGGAGGTCTTATTCAGAAAGACCCTTAGATGTGGCTCCAAAGGAGTGAAATCTAAATCAGAACCACCCATTTTAACCTGGGAACCCATCTTGCATTAACTTTCCCATTATGTGGGATCCACACTGCTGCTCACTTCATCACCCCCTAGAACATCCAGATGCATTCTGAGTATCATAGTTGCTTGGTTTTATTTGAAACGACTGTCACCAAAGACTGCCACCTTCTTTTACTGGCCCTGCTCCTCTGCCTTTAACAGACGCCTGGTACAGAATAGAGAGAAGAGATGGGAGAATCTTCCCCTGCTAAATTCCTGCTTGCCAGGCTGAAGTCACATACCATTAAGATAACACTCTTATGATCGGCAGTTAACCCTTTCACAGTAAAATCAACACGATGGTGGATGGAATGGTTATTTTCTTCTTAAATCGCCTCTCCTGGCAGAAAGCCCATCAGCAGCTGATTGCCCTTCTGGACTCCTGAGTTTATAAAGTCCACTCCTAGCAAGTTATGCATTAAATTCTGAGCCATGGGTAGGAATATGAACCTGGGGAATATAGGTGCCAAAGGCTTTATCGCATGGGAAGCTGATGTGGCAAAAAGAAAAAGACCGCTTACCACTGCATGGCGGTTGCAGCCCAGCACAGCCACGATGGTGCCAGGAAAACCTCTGGCACCAGCGCAGGCATAGCTCTTGGAGAAGACCAGAAGGGGAACTTCTTCCCTCTGGTCTGCTCCCTGGCTATATAAGCAGCGGTGAACTTTAGGCTTTCACGTTTCAGCACGCCCTATGCAATGCCAAACACTGCGCCACCTCTCTGTTCTAAGTCACTGTTGTGGTGCCTTCTTGGCTCAGTGCCCAGTGCGGGCAAACCGGTCGCACTCCCCTAAACCTGCCTTTAATAAAAGCCAGCTGCACCTTGCTCTCTGCCTTAGCTAGTGCCGGATTTCCCAGCCCTCCCACCCTAAGTGTTATACTGCAGGTTGGCTGGCAGACAACCAGGCAGGCCCTGCGTGAGAGCTTGCTGTGGAAATTTTCAGTCGCCATATTCAGGGCCAGGGAGGAATTTGCCTTCACATGATATTGGGCCTGTCTTGGGGTTTGGCCACCTCATAGCAATTGTCACAACTTGATGGCAGCTAAGGCATTGGGTTGGATCCTTTGTCAACGGGGGTGTTGGGAGCCCCACGCTGGTCCAAGGAATCAGCTATGCCAGTGGTTTTCAGCCAGTGTGCCATGGCAACCAAAGATACCTTGAATGATGGTCAGGGGTGCCACGGGCAACACAGGTCTCTGTCCCTCTCTCCTCAGATCCCCATGCACCTCTGCCTCCCAAAGGCTTGCACAGGTGTTTGTTGCAGCAGCCCTGGCTACAAGATCCCCAGGCGGATGGTGCCTCTGGGGCTGGCCGGGGGGGGGGGCTGGTTGGCAGTAGCTGAGGCAGCCTTGGCATAAGCAAGCAAGTGGGTGAGTGGGTTCCCACCAGCCCTTGCTGTTGGGAATGGACAGACAAATGGGAGGCTGGGCAGGCCTTTCTTGCACTGGTCTTTCTTGTGCTTGCTGTGTGCAATGCCTGCCTGGGAGCTGAGTGCTAAGCAGACCCAGCTGCACCCACTGCTGCCTCCCATGGTAAAGTGCTGGCTTCATGTTCACCTTTGGCCAGTCTCTGTTGGGCCACCAAGGCTGGGGGCATCCTCTTTCCAGGCCCCTGTGGGGCAGTGTGAGGAGGCACCTCTCTTTGGGACAAGTGAGGGGCAGCTCAGAGACTAGGGAAGGCAGGAGCGGCTGCCCAAAGGAATCCCAAGGAAAGGGGAGAGGAGGCTGAGGGAACACTCCACAAGGGAAGGTGTTAAAAAAAGGGTGAGAGGCTGCTAGCTCTGCAGGCAAGGGGTGACATAACTGGGCACCGGAGCCCCACAAGGCTGCTGCAGAAAGAATGCAGGTGGTCAAGGGAGCTATGGATTCAAAAAGGTTGAAAACTATGCTATGCTGTTAAGGAGATCCAGGGGTGATGCTTCTGTCTGAATGCCCAGACAGGGGCTGGTGGGCCAAGATGGTGCTCACAGAGAGTCACCCCAATTTGATGTATAGGTAAAGGTAAAGGACCCCTGACCACTAGGTCCAGTCGTGACCGACTCTGGGGTTGCCGTTCTCATCTCGCTTTATTGGCCGAGGGAGCCTGCGTACAGCTTCCGGGTCATGTGGCCAGCATGACTAAGCCACTTCTGGCGAACCAGAGCAGCGCATGGAAACACCGTTTACCTTCCCGCCGGAGCAGTACCTATTTATCTACTTGCACTTCGACGTGCTTTCGAACTGCTAGGTTGGCAGGAGCAGGGACCGAGCAATGGGAGCTCACCCTGTCGTGGGGATTCGAACCGCCAACCTTCTGATCAGCAAATCCTAGGCTCTGTGCTTTAACCCACAGCGCCACCCGCATCCCTAATTTGATGTATGCCATGGGGCAATTCTTCATCTTGGTGAACCAGTAGCTGCTGAACACACACCCAACGCCTGCGCCAAAACCTGCTGACACCTGTAATAAAGAAAGTTGTAGCCCTTTTTATCGCCAAATGCTTGCCTTAGCCCCAACTTCCTGCGGTTTCACTGCACCTGGGTCAGCAAATCCATATTGCTTATGCCACATTTGTGTCTTATGAGCACACAAAGCTGCCTTATTGTTGCTTCATGGGCCCATCCATGAACCCATTAATGTCTAATCACATCTCTCCAGAGTTTCGAATTGGTGACTTGGTGCACGCACAGAACATGCCTCATCCAAAGAGCTTCCTAACAGGAGAACCTGGTGATTGGACCTGGGACCTTGAGCATGAAAAAAAAAGCATGTTTTCCTCCACCACTGAGGTTATTTAGGGAGCTGAACTGAGTGCTCTAATGTGAGCAGAGGAATGCAGTTCAGTTTGCACTGAAAGAAAAACCAGCAGAGTTTGCTCTTTTTGAAACAATATGCTGTCCTTTGGAACTCGCACTTCCCCAAATATTGAAATTCTGTTCTCCAGCCAAGCGGAGTGATTGAACATGCATATTTTGAAGTGTGCATAGAAATGCATATATTAGTGAAAACAACATACCAAAATGCATTGTATCAGAGAAAGGTGTGCACAAAAATGTGCGTATTAGGAGAAATTCGCACTAAAGTGCTGATAAATCTTCACGAGGACTGAAGAAACCGGTGAGGGAATGTGAAGAACTAGAGTTTCGAGAGATGAGAAACGGGGAGAAATCAAAACGACCAATTCACTCATCCCTGAAATCTTCGCTAAATGTCCTTTGGATCCAAGTGTTATTTCTGCTAGAAGCGTGTAGTGATGGCGGCTTCTTTCAGTTGGCCATCTTCTGTCTGCACAGGTCCATTTTCAAAGCTACCGTTGACTGCCTTGTTGGACCTAATGAAAGGGAATATAAATAAACATGACATAAAGTAGCCCTCTATCGCCCACTAGCCTCATCACCACCACTGTCATCTCTTCCTTGGAGACTTCCAAGCTGTCATCCATCTGTGGTTACAGGGGGTGAGCAGAAACCATCCTGGCTTCTGATTGGATCCCAAAATGTCCTGTTTTTTTGGCCCTGTGCTCTTGCACAAATTAGCAGTCTCGTGCTAGAGCGCCAGACCAAAAGGCACTCATTTTTTGCTCTGGATCAAGACCAAAAAGATAAGCATCCCAATTTTGATCAGCAGGATGTTGGAGGGGATGGCATAGCTAAGCCTGGCAGGACAGCTTACTCTATGGTGTTAACCCCTTCACACATTAACTAGACTTAAGCATGTTGGTTACATGAAACTGGTCACCCCACAATTAGCAATCACATTTGTGTGTGTTTTTAAACTAAGTATGAGACACAGAAGGGGATTGTTATCAAGATCAGAGTGCATGGAGTGAGGAATGCTTTTTCTCCTCTGCCTCCATGAAATTTCCCTCTCTATGGCAACCAAATCCTCCCTACCCACAAACCCCTGAACACTATTGCTAACTTAAGCCACCCTAGCATTTTCTGAAAGCTAATTTGCTTTCAGTGGGGGGCAAATTTCACAAAGATTGTGGCTTGGGAAGAGAAGCTTAAGCTGCAATCCCAGCAACAACTATGGCAGGAACCTGGTGCTAAATTTTTCAAAACATAAAACTCATTCATCATTAATGTTGTCATATGTAGTTAAACCTTTATATTCTGGAGAAAAGCCCATAGTCCTCAGTGGACTTACTTCTCCCCAAAAGAGGGGCAGTGTTTTACCAGGACTTAACACAATGGGGTGGGGGCAGAATGGAGCAGCTTGAGGGCATGCAATGTACAAAATGTGAACTTATATACTTACTATATTTCTAGAATTCCATGCAACTCACCTCTGGCTTGCTGGGGAGTCTCTGATGTCGTCTTGAAGATCCTGGTTCTGTGTCTCAGGAAGAAAAAAGCAGAGGATTCCCGCAGACAGAGCTGTGCCTCCAAGTATCACCATGGGAATAGCAGGGTGGTATTTGCTCAGGAGAACAATCAGCGGGGCAAGGATGCCCCCTACTCTGCCAACCATGGAGCACAAGCCTAAACTGCTTTGCCTGGTGGAAGTAGCAAAACACAGAGAGCTATGCCTGAGAGGAGGCACAGACAGATGTGCCCGGCCAGGGGCAAGTTTCCAGAAGCAAATCAGCCACACCATGCAGTAAACAATTACACAACAGGAAGGAAAGGACAAATATCTCGGTTTTGGTATCTCTAATGTTTTTGGGGGTTTTTCAGTTTTAAATGCAGTTCACCACATTTCTGCAGCAGTTTATGATTTCGTCACTTTAGTGCACTATCACACACATTAGAAGTATGCTATTTTGCCTATTGCACCCATCTTTGCAATCAATTTTGCCAAACGCAATGCATTTAAAATATGTTGTTTTCATGAATATATGTAGCTGTGTACATTGGATGGTGTTCAGCTATGCTTTACTCAGAACAGACTCACTGAAATCAATGAACATGTCTAAAATTGGGCTCATTCGTTTCATTGCTAACTGCTCTCTTTGGCAAGCAATCTGGTAAAAGGGTTTACCTTCCTGGGGCTGAGGCCCCTAACCTGAGGGCATATCTTGGGGCACAAGACAATGCTCCCCTTTATTTTGCTTCGGAAGAGCATTGTGGTCAGGTCCAACACAAAATTGACAAGATATACTGTCAATGTCCTGCACTTATTTATAGCACAATATGTGGAGGATTCATATCTCAGAATTTTCAGAATATGCTTTGTACACTGAAGACCTCAAAGTTCAGGCACTTGAATCTTTTGCGTATACCTCCAGTTAAATGATACCATTTTCATAAACTTTATTGCACAAGCCAAAAGGCCATGGGCATCATCCAAAAACACCAAGAACCACTACATATACAGTAAAAGCACAGTCAAATCTACTAGAATTCTTTGTTACATAGAATAAAAGATAGTCCTCATGCAAGATTTAAAGCCCCCTTTGTTGTCATTATGCCTGTGGGCAAAACTGCCCAGGTAAAGCTGAAAGTTGAAATTCATTTTCTAAGCGCCTATACCCAAGATATCCTCACCTGATAACTGTGGGAAAGATTTCAGCAGAAAACACATAGGTGGTTGAAAAGGAGGCAGCCAACGCAGACTTGCCAATAACAGCCAGCACCGTCACAATCACAGGGAAGTCTGGGCAAAGACAGGCAGGGAGGTTAGAAAGTAGACCACAAAAAATCAAGGTAAGGCATTGTTGAAGGACCACAGGCCTAGCAAAATGTCTAATCCAGTTCTGAAATGTTACCTGTGGTCCTACAGAAATCCGGAAATATTGTCACCACAAATCTATGGGTAGCTAGAATGGTTTCTGGGGCTCGTTTGGGGAGAAGACTGGCAGTATTAGAGCACTTGCTTTGGTTGCAGAAGCTCTCAGGTTCAATTTCTCCATTTTGGAGAATCTAGTGGTGTAGGAAGTGATGCAGAAGGACCTCTTCTGTGACCTAGAGAGATGCCATCAGTCGCTAATACTGGGCTAGAGATTGCTGTGTCACCACATAATGCTAAACCATCATTTACTTTTATTTATTTTTATTTCTCTATATAGTCCACATTTCAGGCCACTTTCTCACAGTCTCCCCCTGTTAAGATTTCCAGACTCTCCAAATGTCCCTATTTTCCAGGGACAGTCCCGGATTTACAGAAGCCGTCGCAGTTTCTGTTTTGATCCCGGAATGTCATGCTTTTCCTTGGAACGTTCCCAGTGCTTTTCTTCTCGGGGCACGCAAGGGGATGCACCCCTAAATATTTTGTGAATCTAACTTTGGCCTCATTGAGGGGCAGTATTTCAATATGAGTAGGGAAATGAGAATACCCCTGAACATTTTTTTTAAAGAAAAAAAGGCACTGGGTGTTCCTATTTTCAATTGAGAAATATTGGAAGGCATGGGTTTCTATTTAAATTTTAGTAACTGCTTCTAGATTTGCAAGCATACCTATATACTGGCTAGTGTAACTATGCAAACCTGTGGCCTGTTTGTTTCTCAGAACTTAGTCCCTTGAGGATCTCAGTGGAAAGGAGGAAGTGGGAGGACAGAAACGGGGAAAGGAACATGTTTTTTCCCCTTATTATTAAAAAATGGTTCAAAAAGGCAGCAAGGGGCAGAAGATCAGGTCCCCAGTGCAAAAGACCCAGGGCTCAGGCCTTATAGCTCCCTTTAACTCCAACAGTGCTTGCCTGTTGTGTCCTCTCTATGAAGAAAGAGACAAAAGGGGAACACTCTGCACAAACAAGAGACAAGTTCTGAGAATATACAGGCACATCTGCGTCCTTCTGAAGCAGCTCTGTATAGCCAGGGGCCTGTGGGTCACATCTTACATTGGGGATGGGGAACCTTTGGCCCGCCAGATGTTGAACTTCAACTCCCATCATCCCCCAGCCAAGGTGGCCAATGCTCAGGGATGATAGGAGTTGAAATCCAGCAACATCTGGAGGGCTGCAGGTTTCCCTTGTCTGCCTTGCAGTTTGCCTTCCAGGTTTTCTCCCTCAAGTGGCTTTTTTACCTGTTGGAATAGCAGGGATGATCAAGCACATGACTCCGCCTAGGAAAAGCCAAGCGGCCTGGCATTTCTTCCTCCCCATCCACTGGAGGAGGAAGATACAGGAGGCTCGAGATGGTATTTCCACAGCTCCAAACACAAGCTGGGTCATGTAGATGTCCAAGCCAAAATCCCCAACCTGGTGGCTCACTCCATAATACACAAGACTGTCTGCAAACCTGTGAACCAAGCAAGAAATTACTGTTCATTCTGCATTTATTGCTATTGTTCATTTTAATTCCTGGCTCACACAAGCCCACCACTAAACTTCAGTGCTGGTTAGAACCAGGGTGCTGCATGTGATACAGTTCTGCAATGCCCTAGAACTGAACGCAGAATTCAGCTTCCTCAGAGTCTAAATCATCATTTTAAATCCTAGTCCTCATGACTGTGAAACTTTATAGGCAGCGTTTGAAGTCTCTGAAGAAACCAACTCTTCTCCTTTTTGCTGCCTCGGACTAACACAGCTGCCTCTTGGAAACTATAGCGAAACAACAGCAAAACAGGTGGTGTCAATGTGTGTCATGAAGAAGGATAAAAACAGCCTAAAAACTATCCATCTGGGGCACAGCAAAAGCATTTTGCCCATTGCCCCAAACATTCCTTTGTTCTATTTGACCGGTAGCTGTGTGTGCAGCTACCTAGATGTAGATCTCAATGGCTGCATTCTGTCAGACAGCCCTGCCTGAACCTTGCAGTCATTTGCCAAGGTGCTTCTTCCTGGACCACCAGCATCCAAAGATGGTGACTTGATAATGAATGTTAGAATGATGTTGGATTGAAGTTAAGTGGTTTTTAGCTGTACGGGTACAAAAGAATATGGAAAAATTGGTTTTTAATATGTAAAAATTTAAAGTTATAATATATCAAGATTAAAGATTAGGATTAAAAAGGAGGGAAAGGAATTGTTGGATTAACAAATTTAATTGGAATACAAAAGAGGGAGGTATGAGGAGGTACGGGAAACAAGTAAACGTAAAAAAAGTGAGGAAAAGATGGAATTGTTTTTAACTGTTTTTTCTTTTTTTTCTACTTTGTATTTTTCCTTTTCATTGTTAATTTTTTTTTACTAATGTGATTTTTTTTCCCTTTGAAACTTTAATAAATATTATTTTTTTAAAAAAAACAAAGATGGTGACTTGAAAAAGGATCACATCGGAGGCAACATATTTGCAGAACATGCGCTCCAGAAGCAGGCCTGCACAACAGCAACTCTGATGTCATTTTGGCACCTGGCAAAGACCTTTGTTTGACAAGTGGGTATGGTTTTCATTCCACCGATCCCACTGATTTTTGTGTTTCCCTTGCTGCTTACCGCTCTTTTGTTTATTTGACAATTCTTGATATTTGCAGCGTGTGTGCTATGTTTTCATTGTCAGCCACCCTGGAAGTGTGACATTAAAATATTTTAATTAATAAAAATTAATTCTCAGTGTAGCAACCAAGGGTAAGAGAAAAGTCCTGCCTTGGACTATACAGACCATACAAAGGTTTAGCCGTAAGTTGCTGGTTGTGCTCATTTTATACATGAAGAAACAATAACAAGGAAGTTTAAACAACACACACAAAACTGAAGCCACTTGCATATTATATATTGGTTGCTGAATTAATGTACTTCAGAATTCTTACCAGACTACGACCATGATTAAAGTCAAAATCCTTAGACGCGGATTCTTGCAAAGATCCAGAATATTCCCAGATTTCACCTTCTTTTCTGGAGCCAGCTTCAAAATGTGCAAGACAAGAGAGACACAGAACATCAAAGGACAGTTTTCCCCAACCTGGTGCCCTCCAGTGGCTTTGAACTACAACTCCCATCAGACCCATCTGCCAGGGCAGCTGTGCTGGCTTGGCCTGATGTGAGTTTTAGTTCAAAACAGCCAGGGTGCCAGGTGGGTTAGCAAGTTGAACTAAGACTGGAGAGATTCCACTCAGCCACAAAACTCACTGGGTGTACTTCGACTCATCTCTCCCCCTGCCCAAATCTCACAGGCCTATAAGGAGGCTAAAGCAGGGAATGGGGAACGATGTAAGCCAAATGTAGGGGACCTGTGGTCCTCCAGGTGTTTTTGAACTGTAACTCATGAGATTCCCCAGCCTTGGTTATGCTCACTGAGGGTGATGGGAGCTGCAGTTGCACAACATCTGGAGAATGTTTCACACACGGTGTAAGCTGTCCTCCTTACCTCCTTGGAGGAAGGGTGGGAATGAATATACATTTTGTTGTAAATAAAACAAAATGAGTTTGGAGGGACAGGCTAACAGCTTAATAAGGAATGCTTGAGGTGGATATGCAACAGATTTTAAAAAAAAAATTCTAATGCAGCATGAGAGACTAGAGTATTGGATTGATATGATCTATTGTGTTTCTGGGGACGCGGGTGGCGCTGTGGGTTAAACCACAGAGCCTAGGACTTGCCGATCAGAAGGTCGGCCGTTCGAATTCCCACGACGGGGTGAGCTCCCGTTGCTCGGTCCGTGCTCCTGCCAACCTAGCAGTTCAAAAGCACGTCAAAGTGCAAGTAGATAAATAGGTACCACTCCAGCGGGAAGGTAAACGGCATTTCCATGTGCTGCTCTGGTTCGCCAGAAGCGGCTTAGTCATGCTGGCCACATGACCCGGAAGCTGTACACTGGCTCCCTCGGCCAATAAAGCGAGATGAGCGCCGCAACCCCAGAGTCAGCCACGACTGGACATAATGGTCAGGGGTCCCTTTACCCCTTTACCTTTATTGTGTTTCTATGCCGCTTTCCCTCAATATCCTCCCCAGACATTTCCAGAAAAGGAGCAATAGAAATCCCAGGCTTTGCTACCTGGTTGAGTAGTTCTTCTGAGACGGTTCGTTTGTTAACGGAAGCAGCCTTTCGAAGCACCTTTTTGGCTTCCTCGACCTTCCCTTTTGTCAGAAGCCATCGCGCAGACTTGGGAAGAACCCTGAAAAAGACAAGAGTTTGTGAAGCATGGCTGGGAGTCAATGAAACCAACAGTAGGTGGAGCAAGAGCCAATGGCAGGGCAGGGCCAACTAATTCTAGTTGTGGGCTTCTCCACACTTCTGCTTGTCTGCTGCTTCCTGTTTGTCCCATGCCTTCCAGGCAGCTTTGCCCTTGTCCTGCTATTTCCCCATGGAAAATCCGCTCTTTAGGAATAAATCGGAGCAAATGTCAATCAGGAGAAAAGTCCCTTGATGTTTGCTTTGATTCAGTGGTAAAAAATAGAGTTTCCCAGGGGGGAAACAGCAGGGCAAGGGCAAATCTGGGCGAGCCCTGTATCCTCATTCTCCTCCCTGCTGGGTTATACAAGGGATAACGCTGAGACTAAGAAGCTGGCAGGCTGTGTCTTTTTGTAAGTAAAAAGGCCTTAGGTGGGAGCCATCTGAGGGCAGTTTGAGATTGCTGGGGATGTGCCCCATTCGCCCTAATGAACTAGTCTCCTGGGCACAACAGTTCTCATTCAGTTGCAGTACAACCAAAAGGCATTCCTGCAATAAACCTGTGGGAGATTGCAGTCAACCCTAACTGCTAGTTAGTACATGAAGGGGTTAAGGACCATAGAGTTGTATTCCTAGACAGACTCAGGTCTCAGTCCAATGAGGAAGTGATGCCTCTGCATCATATAACCAATGAAAGAGGATATGTGTGGAAGCTTGCTCCCAATCTTACAGCATGTGTTTGGAACTATATTCTGTATTTTCTACCTAAGAGCATTTTGCCTGTATTATCCTTGCTGCTGTATGGAACAGCGCACGACTGAGACCTTGAATCTGTAAGTAAATATTTTAAAACTTACTTAACAGTGTGTGATCTGCTCATTGCAAGAGGGGTAGGAAGAGGTCAACTGTTGTGTACAGCTGAAAGGCATAAAAAACGGCATAACAACCTATATTCCTAATGCGAGTTCAGTCTCTGCTGCTGCTGCTGCTCTCTCCCTGCAGGAGAGTGTACAAAGCCCCATGTTTTGAATATAAGCATCCAGCCAATTGTTTTGTTGATCACCCACACTAGTGGGTCCACAGGCATTCATATCTTTTCTCTCAGATCTTAACTCAGGGGCAGCTTGGGTGAGAGGTACTCCTTCAAGTAGTTTTGTCCCAAGCTAAATAGAGCTTTATCTTGGTCCCTGGCAGATCATAAAATATGACAGATCTTAAAACACAGGGTGGTTATGAGCCTATGCTACTGTTACTCTTAATGATATACAGTATGCTGTATTGTTTTACACACAGCCCCATTATGCTCATTTCTGGTTCTTGTGCACACTCACCATATATAAAAAAAGAGGGCGAATGCTGGAGCTGAGCCAGCAAACTGGTAGTTCCTCCAGTCACGGACCGAGTATGCCAAACCAGCCAAGGCCATCTGCCCAACGCCTTGGAAGCAGTAGCTGATGATCATCGCAAGCGGGCGATAGGAAGGCCCAACCCACTCCGAAGCTAAAAGGGTTCAAGTTACAATCAGTATCAGGAGAAGACCTTGCCATTGTCAACCACTCACATTAAAAAAAAAAAAAATCATTTAACCGCCCGGCTTTATTATTAGGTTATTGTATTTTAGTGTTTTGTTGGAAGCCATCCAGAGTGGCTGGGGAAACCCAGCCAAATGGGCGGGGTATAAATAATAAATTATTATTATTATTATTATTATTATTATTATTAAATAACGGTGGATTAATAATAATAATAATAATAATAATTTTTTATTTGTACCCCACCCATCTGGCTGGGTTTCCCCAGCCACTCTGGGCGGCTTCCACAAAGACAAAAAATACACTAAGATGTCACACATTAAAAACTTCCCGGAACAGGGCTGCCTTAAGATGCCTTCTAAATGTCAGGTAGTTATTTATCGCTTTGACATCTGATGGGAGGGCATTCCACAGGGCGGGCGCCACTACCGAGAAGGCCCTCTGCCTGGTTCCCTGTAGCTTTGCTTCTCGCAATGAGGGAACCGCCAGAAGGCCCTCGGCGCTGGACCTCAGCGTCCCGGCAGAATGATGGGGGTGGAGACGCTCCTTCAGGTATACTGGGCCGAGGCCGTTTAGGGCTTTAAAGGTCAACACCAACACTTTGAATTGTGCTCGGAAACGTACTGGGAGCCAATGTAGGTCTTTCAAGACCGGTGTTATGTGGTCTCGGCGGCCAATCCCAGGCACCAGTCTAGCTGCCGCATTCTGGATTAATTGTAGTTTCCGGGTCACCTTCAAAGGTAGCCCCACGTAGAGCGCGTTGCAGTAATGTGATGATGTCAAGGAGGAGGCTGGAACGCTTGCAGCAGTTACTGATTATTTGGATTGGGTCCCCAGTTTGAGACACACATTTACACAAACACACAAATCATGTCCATCAGAGTTCACCTGACGCGCCTGGCACAGCCTGGCTCTTTCCTTAACTAGGCAGGTGTTGTGCTTTCCACCCACCAGACACACTAGGCTCCATCTGTCCCCCAAACAGTCTTTACCCTACCTCAGTCCCCTTGCAAATTGGCTCCTAAAGTGTCTCAAACAAGTGGGCCGTCTCTGCATCTCATTTCATGGTTGGGATGCTTCTGAACAGAACAATGACACTGTACCTCAACAGGGCCAGATTTAGGTTTGAGGAGGCCCTAAGCTACTGTCAGGGAACTGACATCGGAGCTAGAGGTGGAGGGGAGGCTCTCTAATGATGCTGGAGAAGGGCCCAGCAGGGAGAGAGGCAGCTCAGCAGATGGGGAAGCAATTCAGTGCAACACCAGGAATAAGGAGGGGCAGATGGGGGAATCAGAGAGAGGGCTCCCAGACTCTTCACCGGACACCAGCGGGGAGAGCACTGGTCCTCCGCTACCCACGCCCTCCCTGCGCAGAAGACTTCCGCGCAGAGAAAGTAGGAGGAGACTGGGTGTCAAACAACTTTTATGTTGGAAAAGGTTTAAGAAACGCCCACTGACGGATTCTGCTAGCGACTGAGGCAGCCACGAATTGAAGGGCTGTCCAGACAGAAAGGTTTAACAAGGCAACATAGCCAAGAGAGGCGGCAACTTACGCACGAGCAACCCCATACCATTATAGCTACTGAAGATAATGGGGCCCTTTATATGTCCAGCTGTCCTTTGTCAACAACAAATTGTAGCTGTTTTTTGTGTTGAATATATGCTAAATGGTAATTTATGAACCTAACAGTTATCTAAAGCCATTTGCACATGCAGAATGTAGGCACCCTATATATAGAAATGAGCAAACCAGTGATATTTTAGGGAGCAGGCTAGCAGGCGGGGCCCATGACTTACATCATAGGAGCCTACACAACACAAAACACTGTTGCTGTATGTAGGTTTTATTTTATTTGTTTTTTATCTTATATTTTGGAACTGTACATCCATGTTTTTTCCTTTAAATTTTTTGGGGGCTCCCAAGAGAGTGGGGCCCTAAGCTATAGCTTGTTTACCTTATACATAAATCCGGCACTGTACCTCAACATTCACCTTTAAGCAATGTTACCGTGAGAGAAAATATATCTACAGTCATATCTCGGGTTACAGACGCTTCAGGTTGCGTGTTTTCAGGTTGTGCACCGCGCCGAACCCGGAAATACCGGAAGGGGTTACTTCCGGGTTTTGGAGCTCGCGCATGCGCAGGACCACTAAATCACGCTTTGTGCATGCGCAGGAGCGCCGAATTGCGACCCGCGCAGGCGCAGCGCTGCAGGTTGCGAACATGCCTCCCGCACGGATCACGTTCGCAACCTGAGCATCCACTGTATTTGGGGAGGGCAATATATTCATAAAAAGCAAGTTGTGCAGGTTGGATAGAGTAAGGCAGTGCCCCCAACCAGATGCCCTACAGATGTTTTGGGCTATAACTTGCACTGCCCCCCAACCAGCAAAACTGTGTTTAGTGCAAAACATCTGGAGGATACCAAAGATGGAGTGTGATTCTTTTGATAGCAAGGCCTAAACCTCCCCAGAGAAGCGGAAGCGTCTCACTTAAAGCTGACATGCTGATGCTGATCCCAGCAAAAGCGGCGCCCACGATGAATCTCAGGGCGATGTAGACGTAGAAATTTGGAGAAAATCCTGCCCCAACACCAAAGGAGCCCATGAGGAGGAGGCTGAGCAGGATCATCATGTGACTTCCAGTGCTGGAGGAGGGAAATGCAATACAAGATGGATCAATCTGCAAAAGGAAGCCTACTAAATTTATTATTTTTTATTTTTTATTATTACCTCACAGAGGGCTTATCCTTACTTCTGCCTATACCGTGCCTAGAAAGCACAGGTCTGAGTGGTTTCCCCCTTGTCCTGCTCCTTTCCAAGGGGAAAAACCGCTCTTTAGTGACAGATTGGAACAAATGGTGCTTCAGGGGAAACCCAAATTGCCGTTTGCTCCGACTGAGTGCTACAAAAAGCAGGGGGACAAGAGGAAGTGAGGATAAGCCCAGAGTTATTGTGGGGCTGATGATGATTTACAGTGGTACCTCGGGTTAAGTAAATAATTCGTTCCGGAGGTCCGTACTTAACCTGAAACTGTTTTTAACCTGAAGTACCACTTTAGCTAATGGGGCCTCCTGCTGCTGCCACGCCGCCGGAGCCCAATTTCTGTTCTTATCCTGAAGCAAAATTCTTAACCTGAAGCACTATTTCTGGGTTAGCGGAGTGTGTAACCTGAAGCGTATGTAACCCGAGGTACCACTGTATATCGTAAGATCTCAGGGCGGTTCACAGCATAAAATACAGGATAAAAAACAAGTAAATGATTAAAAACAAAACATCAAAACCATGACCCACCCTTCCCAACGGCCTGGTTCAAGAGGAACGTTTTCTCCTTGCACCTAAAAATATATAATGAAGGCACCAGGTGAGCCTCCCTGGGGAGCGCTTTCCACAAACAGGGAGCCACCACAGAAAAGGCCCCGTTCTCGTGTTGCCACCCTCCGGGCTTCTCAATGAGGAGGCACACGAAAAAAGGCTTCCGATGAGGATTGCAGAAAAGCCTCTCCCCTTCACCTCCTGAAAATGGAGTGGCCATTTTCTCTCAGCTTCTCCACGACATCTCAAAGTTTTACTTACCAGTCGCTCAGCGGGCCAAGGACCAGGGCTCCCACAAGGCCACCCGCCATGTAAATAGATTGAGAGATGTCTTTTAAGTTATTTCGGTCACAGACCAAGTTGAACTAAAGAAAAAGAAGAAAAATCCTTGTACTTCCCTCTCCTGACACTGCAATGTGTACAGTATATCACAAATCTACACTGTTTCTGGTTTTGTTTGAATAGTATTAGCCTGCTCTTTTTAAAAATTTAACTGTTTCACTTGCTTTCATAATGTATACCATTTTATTGCTTTAATGCGCCCTGGGCCTTATGCTGAAGGGTGGACTCAAATTTTACCCCACCTTGGTCAAGTCCCCTCACTTACAAGAGTACCTTCCCTGGTGAGGTGAATCTCCTCACCCTCATTATTAGTGCTGAGAAAGAATTATTATTTTTTTTCAAAAGAAATGTATTAGTTTTCCAAATTTATAACAGACATATCCACAAACATAAAAATAAGACATTAAAAAACAAACAAACATATATCCTAACTGTAGCAATTCCACTTTTGTTATCATTGCTGGGTGACTTCCTCGAATCCCCTTGGCTGAGTTTCCATATAAATCATTGTAGCAGTTTTCCAAGACTACTTTCACATAAAATTTACTTAGTCCAATTAACATCTTTCCTTCTTTTCATTTTGACTTATATCCATAGTATTCTACATTATCACATATTTATATCCTAGGCCACAAGTAGTTCTATTTAATTTATCTTAACATATTTAACCAAATAATCTTAGAATTTCTCCCATGAGGCAGAATCTTAAAACATTCCCGTTAGCTCCAGGCATTTGGTGGTGGCAAGAAATTGTTTTTCTCAACTTTGAGAGGGTATTTGGTGTGGGGGTTTTTCCCCCCCTTTTAAAAAAATTATTGAGTTGTTATTTGCCATCCTGGGCTCCTTTGGGAAGTAGGGCAAGATAATAATAATAATAATAATAATAATAATAATAATCCCCTCTTTGGGGGAAATTCCAGAATGCTCAAAAAGAATTGTCCCCTGTGGAGAGGAGAGACAGGAGAGCCGCCATCTTGTTCCAGCTCAGGTGTTCTCTCCCTCCCCTAACTGCCACCAAATCTGAAAACTGAAACATCCTCCTCCCTGAGGGAAGGCGATTTCTAGTTTTTAAAAAGTCTCCCTTTTTTGGCTGTTTTTTAACAGAGTGCTAATGTATGCATATTCCTATATAAACTGCCTTGTAAGGCTCACTTGAAAAGTGACATGGACAATAACGGATTGGCATAACAAGCTACAAGAATTTGCTGAAATGGCACAGTTGACAAATAGCCTGAGAAGCAACTCAAAACAAAAATTTATGGAAAAGTGGGATAGATATAACATATATGTTCAAAAATACAGTAAAGGTGCACTGTCTAAGCTGGCATTTGACTGACGTTGGGGAGAGACTGAGTTGAGAAATAAGACCAAGGATATATATTGATATAGGAATGTATTAGATAAAATGGAAAGAAATATACAATAATAAGAGTACATTCATTTGTAAAAAAGGAATATACAACGGGATAGACAGGAAGTCCAAAGTGTTGGTACATATATGATTTTGGAATAGTTTTTTGTCCATTTTTCTTTTTTTCCCTTTTAGTATATAAACTTTGTATACATGTTGAAATTTATAGTATAATAAGCCTTGTGATGTAATATGATAATGTTTACCAATGTAACATAAGAACTTTAATAAATAAATAAAATGCTGCGGGGGGGGGAGGGGAAAAAATGAAAAGTGACATGGAATTATCTTCATAAACAAACAGATTAACATTTGCTAGTAGCTTTTAGGAGAGCCTCTGAAAACGGGACATATCTGCCTCTAATATTCCAAATTTATCTCACGTGGGAATTAGAGAAAAATTAATAAAACTTTCTCGTTACCTCACAGAGGTGTCAAAATGGTTAGAGGACTTCCTCATGACCTACAAGGCCTCACATTTGGTAAATGTGCGATCTGGCATAATCTCTTTATTAAAGGTAATCCTTATTACCACAGTATAAAAATTGTATCCCAGCCAAAAAAGATCATACAGCAGTTTAAACGTTCAAGCCTTGTTATTTTTTTGCCTCATTAATGCTGAGTTTCCCTCACAAAATGGAAACCAGGGAAACCGGAAGCAGGAAGAATTCCTACAACTGCAAAGTATACTTGAGGAATACAGGCTGAAGCCATTCATTTCTTTAAAAGTTATCAACTGAGACCTAGACAATTAACAAGCAATTGTCTTTAAGAAACATGAACTATTGACATCCATTGCTGTAAAGTTCTGGAATGACGATATGACATCTTTTCCTCTCTCTCTCTCTCTGGACTGCTTGAATTGTCTCCCTGCTTCAAAATCTGGTTAATAATAATAATAATAATTTATTATCTCCCAGATAGTGGAGTTTCATACTTGCAGCAATCAGATTCAGAAAGTAAGAATGGGGATTAAATAAGCACATCATCCAATAAGGCTTCAACATCAAAGAGCTTCAGGATAACTATCCCATGATATGTAACATCTGGATTAAAAGAAGAGGAATGCCACTAATCTATCCACATTTTGGTACTTTATCATAGGCTCACTGGTTTTTGTTTTTCTTTTCATTCATTCATTCATTCATTTGTTTGTTTGTTTGTTTGCTCAACACACAACAAAAAAGGACAAAATGAACCATAGTGAAAGTACCATCAGTCGCACCTTACATAGAGAATTAATATAAATTTCATAATCCTTAAACTGTAATGGTCTCTTCTTTTTAAACCCGACTTCACTGGCTTTTTCCCCAAAAGCATTCCCTGACCTGTCCATTCCCCTATCCAGGTTTTTAGTTGTAGGGACAGCACCAATGAAATCACTTTAGAGTTGTCCAGTATGGTTAGCAATTGATGTGCGCGCATGCACACACCCTTCAGGAGAGACAGAGTCAAATTATTTAACAAGGGCTGTAAAATACCTCTGTCAGCAACGATGGCTTTGGATCTGTGGGATACACCCAACCATCTCGGCAGGCTTCCGTGGAATTTTGTCCGTCTTTTATGATTGAATCGATATCGCCTTCCACAGGAGTAAACATGGAGCATTCCTCAAAAGAGCCATCTGGTTTCCTGAGAATGGTCAAGTTCAGCTGCTGCTCTTGGGTCAGGTTTTGGGTAATATTAAGGATCCAGTTCGTGTTGCAGTAGTGAGGCACGTCCATGACAATGAACACTTGTCCGAACACATGAAAGGGAATTAGGAAATTGGGGATGCAATTCAGCACCACCAGCCATTTCTGAAACCTGCCAAATTCTCCGATCACCTTCAAGATGTCTCCAAATCTGATCATTCTGGGATCTTTGGCAGCCGGTCTGCATGGTTCTCACACCTGGGGACTGAAATTAATGTTTAAACACAATCATGGCTATGGATTAAGTGAATAATTAATCAGGCTCTGGCATCGGATAAACTTAAGGAATATATCCTATCACAGCTACTGCCAAGGCTATACTTTCTTTCTGACTGTTCTCTTCTTATTCAGTCCTGGTGTTCCTTTGACTTTAGTATTTCCTCCAATTAAAAAGAAAGTGAGCCTCGAGGCTATTAACATGTACGGCTGCGTCCACACCAAACATTTAGAACACTGCAAAGGATCGTGGGAACTGTAGTTTACCCCCAATAATGCTAAAATCCCCAGCACATTTAACAAACAACATTACCCAGGGTTCTTGGGGTGATGAGAGAGACTGTGCTTTAAATGTACCGTGTGCAGGTATGCAACCTTAGATGAGTTATAGCAACAAGAGGGGGCCATTTAAATATTGTTTGTTGCAGGACAAAAATGAGCAAGGGGTGTTGGCTTCAAGTCTTTTTTGCTGGGTTTTATTTGGTCCAGCGTCCAGTCTGTTTGGCCTAGCAGCTGACAGCCTGGAGTCTCTCTGAGCTTGCTATAAAAGGAGAGAGGAAGATTGGGAGAAGGAAGGACAAGAAACCTAAAGACCCTGAGGAAAGTCAGGGACTGTTCCTTTATATTTTTCTAAACAGACACAGAAGTAGCTGGGAATCATCAGCATAAGAACTTAGCAGAACCAGGACTGAGCAAGGAGAATAAACACTCAAGGGCTGCAAACCGCTGCTGTTTGAGAGTTCATTGCTGGCAGGCACAAACCAAGGTCCGACACTGAACACGAATGCTTTTAGTCTGAAGTGGGGGAGTTATTAGACATTTTTTTCCTTTTTTTAATAAATTCCATATGTATTCTCCTGAGTCCATAAACAGCCCCAAAGGAATGCCATGCGGCCAGGAGTTGTCCCGTTTCCCCTGCGAGCTAACAGCAGTCCGTACTGAATGTCTGCACTGCAGGCCCTGTTTTGCCTGAAGTGTAAAATGGACCAGCTAAGTTGTGCTTGTGAGACGCGGGTGGCACTGTGGGTTAAACCACAGAGTCTAGGACTTGCCAATCAGAAGGTCAGCGGTTCGAATCCCCGTGACGGAGTAAGCTCCCGTTGCTCGGTCCCTGCTCCTGCCAACCTAGCAGTTCAAAAGCATGTCAAAGTGCAAGTAGATAAATAGGTACCACTCCAGCGGGAAGGTAAACGGCGTTTCCATGCGCTGCTCTGGTTCGCCAGAAGCGGCTTACTCATGCTGGCCACATGACCCGGAAGCTGTACACCGGCTCCCTCGGCCAATAAAGTGAGATGAGCGCCACAACCCCAGAGTTGGTCATGACTGAACCTAATGGTCAGGGGTCCCTTTACCTTTACCTTAAGTTGTGCTTACCAGGCAATCTTGTTGAAAACTGGAGAAACCCAGTGTTAGAGAGGTACCAGTTTTGGCAGTACAAGTTTGACAAGGCAGCTGAAATAAATAGATTACTTTTAGGATCATATGTGGTGGAACCGCACCATAATATATCCATTCTGGCAAACACCATTTGAAGAGACTAGTAACATAGTACGTTGCAAGCTTCAGAGTACGCCTCAACTAGTGTCGTTGCTCCTATTTTATAATCAAAAATGCTGATGTTCCTTACAAGGACTTAAGTAGATTTTTTATGGTGGCGGCTCATTAGCTGATAAGCGACCACTTGAAAACTGGTCTCAGGTTAACATTATCCAGGTGGCACACAAACATTTGGCAAATTGATTTAGCTGAAAAATTAACAGGAATGTAAAAACAGATGGCTCTGACACCTTTTTGTTTTTAGTTATTTCGTATGTTAACAGGTGTAGTCACACCATAAGTACCCCCATCAACCCATGAAGACCTATGGCTTAATCTACTGGATTTCACAGTGAGCAGCAAAAGTACTATGATTCTGTCTTATGTTGATATTTGTTATTTGTGTGTTCAGAAAACCCTTCAATAAAAATATTTACACTTAGGTACCTTTCAGGGACATCCAAGTGTCACTTAGTTGGAAAGTTACATTAGATTGTCCTGTTGGTTACGGAATGAATGGCTGACTCTCATGGAGAAACCACCACTCATATATAGTATGTAAGGAAGGGGCAAATCATGCTTTGTGTTCATTTTGGGTTTTAAAGGGGTATCTGCCTTTTAAAACCCCTGTATTCCACCAGTATGTATTCACAATGCCAATGGCTCAAACTATTATCCATTTAATTATTTGATTCATTCAGATACTGCCTTTCATACAAACATCATAGGCTGGTTTATAGCATAAAAATACAAAATAGAAACACAAAATACATAACATAACATAACAACAGCAGCAAACAAATACCCCCCCCCCTTCTACAAACACCATTAGAAGGACATTGATGGTTTAATCAGCCAAAAGTTTGGTTATAGAGGAACTTTTTTTGCCTGGAGTGTACCTGAATACTTCTCAGGACAGACATGTTATATTGGTGTGTCTTGAATATGTAACAGTTAAAAGTTATGGCCTGTGTTTCTTAGGTTTCAGAAAGTTGCCGTCTTCCCCCATTATAGCTAAAGCTTTTTCAGACATTTAGCTATGGAAACTGTACAAAACAAACGCGTACGTGCAAACCTGTTTTCCTCAGGTATGCTGGAACTTTCAAGTACAAGGATAAAGCTGAGACCAGCAGATCACTTCCCACAGACTTGCAAAGCTACAGAGGTCTCCTGATAAGAGAAACGCTCAACTATTTCACATATTCGTTTCACAAGATTATTTACAACCCTAAAACATTCTATCCCAGCAAATTCTCATGCTGGAGAGAACATCGGACACTACAAGTACAGCATTTTGAAACAATAAAACAATTTAAAGCTAATAATCCACCAGCTGTAAAAAAGAAAAAGAGAGAGTGCAATGATTTTTAAGGAGAGGTTAGATAGCCCTCTGTCATGAATGCTGTAGCTGAGATTGCAGCTTTGCAGGGGGTTGGACTAGATGACCCGTGGGACCCTTCTACAATTCTATGATTCTGTGTATGCAGAAGGTGTCAGGATCAATCCCCAGCATCTCCAGGTCTGGCTTGATACAATGCTGATTCTGATGTTTTCTAGAAGTCCTACATTGAGTCCAAAGGGATTTACTCCCATATATGTGTGAGCATAGAACTGCACCCTAAATTTGCACTGCAGCTATTCCGTAAGAAGACAACCAGATCCATCCTAAGATTATCGATGTTCTTTTAAACATGAGTGTATGCTTTTAATTTGCTCATATTACATTCAGATCTTTCAAACCAAGTTATTTTAAGGGGCACGTAATAGAATTGATTTTTTATTTTTATTTTCATTTTAAAACCACTTTTTAAAAAACAAAATATTTAAACCAATTATTTTTATCGGCTGGGCTCCGAGTGGGAGGGGAGGAAATTCACACATTCTTCTTGGCACCTTGGAGCAATCCACACAGTGGGTTAAAGGCGAGTTATTGTTATCTGTTCAGTAATGTCTTCATTTGGTTTTAAACACGCATTTCCCAAACTACCGTTGATTCTTTTGCTGGGCCTATGGAGGGGAAAGAAGGTTAAAAGGAGATGATTAAATTCATGCATACGTTTTCTGCTCCAAATGATTCTGAATGGCAGGTGCATCAAGCAAACCTAGGAATTAGTTCACAGAAGCTGCCTCACACAGAGTCATGAAGAAGAGTTTGGATTTGATATCCCGCTTTATCACTACCCTAAGGAGTCTTAAAAGCAGCTAACATTCTCCTTTAGCTTCCTCCCCCACAACAAACACTCTGTGAGGTGAGTGAGGCTGAGAGACTTCAGAGAAGTGTGACTAGCCCAAGGTCACCCAGCAGCTGCATGTGGAGGAGCGGAGACGGGAATCCAGCTCCCCAGATTGCAAGACTACCGCTCTTAACCACTACACCACACTGGCTCTCGTCATGGTTTTGGGTCCATGTAGGTTAATATTGTCTGTTCTGACTTGCAGCAGTTTTCCGGGGTTTCAGACACAGCCTTTCCCAGCCCATTCAGGTGACGCCACATTAGCACTGATGGTTGCAATGTCAGATGATGCCTAACATGTGCGATTCAGCCACAGTTATTGAAGATCAAGGCACACATTCATGTAAGTTAATAGAAGGCAAACAAGTGGACCTTCTGCCCTGGAAACTGCATGATCGGCTGAGACACGAGATCTGTTTGTGGCTTTAGGTCTGTGACAGCTCATCTGCACATGCAAGCAAACCCTCAATATTGTGGACCTCGAGCAACAGCAATGCATGTGTGAAGCAGCCCGAAAGGCAGAATAATCAAGCAATCCATAGCCCTGAGATTCCCAAGTGAGAGTAAAAATCTCAATAGTCAACCTTCTCTTCTGATAACCAGTTCAATTAACCATATGTATGTACAGGGGTAAAGGGACCCCTGACCATTAGGTCCAGTTGTGACCAACTCTGGGGTTGCGGCGCTCATCTCGCTTTACTGGCCAAGGGAGCTGGCGTACAGCTTCCAGGTCATGTGGCCAGCATCACTAAGCTGCTTCTGGCGAACCAGAGCAGCGCACGGAAACGCCGTTTACCTTCCCGCCGGAGCAGTACCTATTTATCTACTTGCACTTTGACGTGCTTTCGAACTGCTAGGTTGGCAGGAGCTGGGACCGAGCAACGGGAACTCACCCCGTCACGGGGATTTGAACCGCCAACCTTCTGATCGGCAAGTCCTAGGCTCTGTGGTTTAACCCACAGCGCCATCCGCGTCCCCTAACCATATGTATAAATGACTGTAAACAATTGCTTGGCCCTTGGCAGGCGCAAAACAGTGTTTTAAAATCACCCAACACTGTTGCTTTAGCATTGCATTGTTTTAATGGAAGCGGTTAGCTGCCTTGCGGACTCCACACAGCCAGGAAGCACAACCAGGTCAACAGCTCAAGCACAAACACATGGATGTAAAAAAAAGGGCAAGGGAATAAATAAATGCACAAGTCTTCCGAACCACCCCAAGACTTGCCTCTGATAGTGTGCAATGTCATCCATGCAGTCCGGGAGTTCCTTGCCGCACGTCTCCGGAAGCAAGGAAGCAAGGAGTCCACCAGCCACGGCTGCACTGCCAAATATCACCACGGGGATAGAGGGGTGGTACTTGTCCAAGAGACCAATCAGAGGCGAGATTATGCCTGCCAATCTGGCTGCCGTCTGGCACCACCCCACTCCAGTCTGCCTGAGAAGGAAGGAAGACATGGGTGGCGAGTCTTTCCCACAATCCTCTGGAGACATTTACCCTTGCTAGATTCAACGTGCTGCCATCTGCTTTATTGCAGGGCAGATTTGAGGGTAAACCATACGCTGAACGAGTCTGCCCTTGCGGCTTGATGGAGGTAGAAACTGTCTCTCATGCCTTGTAACACTGCCGTTTCTACACGGATATACACTCAGTATTTATCACCCCTGCTATGCAAAAATCTCCAAATGAATCCGAACTTCAATGTCTAAAATCCCTGGTAGAGGACAAGGATCCTGAGATCACGTTAAGGGTAGCCAAATTCTGTGCGATTGCCATAAAACTTGGGGAAAAAGTTGTGCTATCATAATGATTAAGGTTTTAAATGATAATTTTAGGTTATATGTTAATGACTAAGTTTTAATTTATATAGTTTTTAACTGTTGCTGTATCTGTATTGTTCCTGTTATACCTAATTGCAAATTCAAATGTATCCCTATCGTGTTTTATGACTTCCTTGATATTGTATGTGGGCTGGAACTAGTCTGTGACCGAAATAATAAAATTCAATATATCCTCTGGAGGGGAGCCGCATTGGGGGCACTGCGGGAAATCAAAATGGTAGTTCGCAGGCTCAGGAGATGGCACTGCTTCCATGTGAACCAGAGGGGGCCCATGGATGTAAAAAGGCAACCCACACAAATGGCATTCTCCCTAGAGATTCCTGAAACCTGGATATAGGCCAAGTGGCTTTTGGATTGCCGCAAGGCACAGCCAATAAGCACTGTGAACAGCCAGCTCCCCTTGGAAGCAGGAATAAGCACTGGCTTAAAACTCTTAGGCCCCCTCAATGTTCAGAGGGCGTTCAGCTCTACCCCTGGCTCCTTGTGACGCTGGGCACTCGCAATCCTCTTTAGAAGTTGGCACCTCTGTAGGAATGTGAGTGGAGGGTGGAGATTTCACTTGTTTCTGTCAGTCTTCTCCATTCACCCAGTCTGTGAGTTTAAACTTATAATCATTTGTTGATTGTATGGTTGGTTTATAAACACAACATGCAGTGTTATTTTTCTAGAAAAATCATGAACGTCTTCCTTGTTCTTTTAGAATGGCAATGATGTCTACCTGAGAGGTGCTGGAGCTGAGCTCTGGTGAGCTCCGGCTGAAAAAAAGCCCTGACGGTGTGTGACGTTTCTCAAATTTTGCTAGAGAGCCTGGTTCTCCAGACCTAGCAGTTCCCCCCTCTCTTTCCACCATTTTGTCATCAAAGCCCATTGCGGTCTACAAGTGCTTGAATTACACAGAGCAGCTGGCTAACTTAAAGGAGCAGACAGGGTGGTGCTATGGCTATGGCTGCTCATATGGGCAACTTCCATTTCGTAACACTGCAAAAGGTCATGAATTATCCAGTTTAAAAACTGGAAATGCAACCTTTACATCTGATAGAACTCTTTATTATTTTTTTTAAAAAAGCTCTATTTCAGGCCCTCTGCATAAATACACCCCGTTTTTGAGACACAATATTTTTTAAAGTACATAGCAAGCCTCACCGGACAATAGTTGGGAACAGCTCTGCAGAATACACATATGATATAGATAAGGAACCAGACATGATAAACTTCCCGGTGGTGGCAAACACCGTTACTAGTATAGGCAGATCTGGGGGAAGAAAGATTGTATGTCAAAGAAAACCCAAAAAACAAAAGCAGGGTGTGTGTGTGTTGTCATGCAACCCAGGGCTTCAACAACCCATTCTCAGGGGAAGAGGCCGTGGATACAAGAGGCGCCATCTGTATGGGCATGCCACCAGCCTCAGAAGATGCATCTGTTGCCACAGGCATTGCCTTGATCTCTCAATTCAATCTCCTGCTTAAATTACTGTGTGGTTTCAAATGGGATTGGGTTTTTTTGGCATATTTTAATCTGGGATCTTTATATTTTAACTTTTTGTGGTTTTTATAGTTTGTAAACAGCTCATTTTGGCATTAAGAGGTACCGTATTTTTTGCTCTATAAGACTCACTTTTTCCCTCCTAAAAAGTAAGGGGAAATGTGTGTGCGTCTTATGGAGTGAATGCAGGCTACGCAGCTATCCCAGAAGCCAGAACAGCAAGAGGGATTGCTGCTTTCAGTGTGCAGCGATCCCTCTTGCTGTTCTGGCTTCTGAGATTCAGAATATTTTTTTTCTTGGTTTCCTCCTCCAAAAACTAGGTGCGTCTTGTGGTCTGGTGCGTCTTATAGAGCAAAAAATACGGTATATGCATTGAATTAAATTATAATAATAATAAGAAGAAGAAGAAGAAGAATGATAAGCCCCTATAAGAGTAGAGATGTCACTCACCAAAGACAGCACTGCTGCTTAGAGGAAACTGGAGCACTACTGAATGCTCAGCCTGGGTCGGCTGCTTGCTGGAGCAAGCTGAGATTCCAATCAGAGCATCGCCTGGCTTCACTTACCCGAACCTTTTTTGAAGACTGGTTTAAAACAGAGCCAATTTGGCAAGTGTTAGCCCGGGGGATGCTAGCCCTTCAGGGGTTGATATGCACCTTTTGGGATGACTGCGATGAGAAGGCAACAGGCTCCCCCCAGGAGCAAGGCGGAAGATTGGCATTTCTTTCTCCCCAGCCACTGCACCAGGAAGATGCAGGAGAGACGACCTGGAATTTCAACAGCCCCAAAGATAGCCTGCGTCAGGTAGATATCGAAACCGAAACCGCCCACGTTCAAGCTCAACCCGTAGTACGCCAAACTGCTGACAAACCTAAAGGCGAAGAGACCATATCCATGATTAAAAGTAAGGCAAGTTTTAAACTGGAAGGACACACAGCACTTCCCAAAACACACCTTTGCGATTCCTCACAGTACCCCGTTTTAACTTCTTTAAAAGGTTCTGTGATAGGAATTTTGAGGTCTTAGATATATGGTAATGTTCATAACCGCACGTACATAGATCAGCACAGGAAGACCGACCTGAAGCCATTTTGATTCCTAAACTGAGCAAATGTATTCTCTGCAAGGTCAAAGTGGAAAAGCCTCCCCATTATCTTTTCCTTCACAAATCCTGTCTTAAGGGTATGTCTGTGTTTGAATAGGGTGTGAGCCTGTGACCTGGCCCAGGAACTAAGTATTTATCATTACAAAAGACTGGCCAGGCTCCCCAGGCAATCCAATCAAGTAACCTGACAGACAGGAGATAAACAGCGACAGGAGAAAAACAACATTCAAATTTCTGTTTAGACCGCCTTTTTTGTGATGTAGGTAAGATGTATCTGAGGGGTGGTCTTAGGTTACACCCCTTCTGTGATGTATGTATGATGTTTTTGGGGGTGGTCTTGATCTACAGGGTGGCAATTTCAGAAGTCTTTATAAGGCCTTGCACACCATTTTTCTGGGTCCCTCCTCTCTCCTGCGGGTGAGGGGAGCACCCTGTTGCAACAGATCAATAAAAGCCAAACCTACAGGCTGCTGTTTTGCTCCAAGTTATCCTGGTTGGTGTCTTTGTTTTTGTCTAAGGGAGCCCTCGGATTTTTCCATTAACATTTTCTAACCCACATGGATGGGAGTGCAGATCGTTTTGGAAATGCGACTTGGAAAAGGGCATGTATTTTGGGCAAATTACAGACGCTGATCTTTCAGTGTGGGCCAATGTATGAATAGGATAATATAAAAGGAGACAAAATGTATGAAGATGCTTTCTGTGTAATCAAATCATTGGCCCTTTTGCCCATCACGGGTAGGTAGTCTTCCCAATCCCATTCTCAGATCTAGGAAATACGCCAAGTTGGATATCTGGTCCATCTGACTCAGTATTGTCCACACAATGGCTGTGACACTCTGGGGTTTCAGGTAGCGTCCTTGCCAGCCACACCTGGAGATAGCGGAGTTTGAAAAGGGAACCTTCTGCATACAGAGCAGAGGCCAGAAACTTTGCACCTTTGGCCTGCAAATGTACTACTGCAAATAAAGTAACAATAGATAACAGGCTTACCAGACTGCTGATAGGACGAAAGTCACCTTCCCCATGTGGGGGTTTCTAAACAGTTCCCAAATGCCTGCAGACACGGTCTTTTCAGGTTTCAGCTTTTGCAAGACATGAAAGTGAAAACAAAGAGAGAAAGGACGGAGTGGGGAAACCAAGTTAACTTCATTTGCAATCTCTTGCTTTCTGGAAAGCCCATCTCAGGTCACTTTTTGTTGTTGTTGTTGTTTCTGCATCAAAACCAAACTATAGTTATGGACCACCCAAACAGTGTTGGCCATATCTGTGTCCCTTTAGCACACTGCCCAACTTCTGGAGACACATTCCTTGCCCTTGCCCCCCCCAAAAGCGCTTTTGGGGGTGAGAACACAGTGTGAGAGCACGTGACACCGAAAATGGCCACCGCAATCTCTCACAGAAAACCTCAGATGTCCCATTTTTCCCAGGGCACTTGGCAGGTATTCTGTTGGGCTTTGCGGCGACCAGAAAGAAGCGCAGTTCCTGCCCAGCTCATCCATGGTTCCTGTCCACTCACCTTCTCAGCTGGACAAGGTTTTGTGGAAGTTAGGGGTAAACATGATTTGCGCAATGGAGGCTGCTAAGGAGTCGGGATGGCTTGGCTAGATTCATTTGCTTGTAGCATGGGGAAAGTGTTATCCACAATCGTACCTTGGTTTTCAAACAGAATGCGTTGCGGCAGTCCGTCCGACTTCTGAAACGTTTGGAAACCAAGGCACAGCTTCTGATTGGTGCAGGACACTCCTGCATCCAATCAGAAGCTGCGGAAGCCGTGCCAGATGTTCTGCTTCCGAGGCAAAGTTTGCAAACCGGAACACCTACTTCTGGGTTTGCGGCGTTCGAGTTCCAAGTTGTTCATGAACTAAGCTGTTCGAAAACCAAGGTACGACTGTGTTTCTTTTCTTTTGAGCTTAAGTACACGGTAAGACAGGAATGGTGATTCTGCGGCCCTCTGCTAGCCCCAGGCTGCAAGGCTGGCAGTCAGGGCCAATGGGAGATGTTGCCCAACCAATATCTAGAGTGCAACAAATTCCCAACCACTGGATTAGATGAAAAGACAGTCTAGGCTGTATGGCAAATACTACTGAGCTACCTTTGCCTCTCTGACTTCATCCTAGAGCCATAGAGCTCCATTCCCCAGGCCATGCCTAAGGATCCAATTTTTTGATGCTACAAGTAGGCGACTTCAGCAATTTAAAATACATTTATCAGTTTCAAATTTTGTGCTTTTCATTTTTTGTACAAGGCATCTGCTTTTGAAAACTGAAGTTAGCTATTTTTTGTGGGGGGAGGGGTGCAAGTAATTAGCCCAAGATATGTCTGGCACCCCTGAAATCTCTCACCATTCTGAGATTGGGGTGCACAAAACAATATGGACTAGGTGAAATAAATGATATTTTTGCAAAGAATAGCTGGCTACAACGCCCGGCTTCTTACCTCATCTAACAGCTTCAGTGGGATGGCTCGCTTGTTGACAGAAGATGCCTTCTGGAGAAGCTTCTTGGCTTCTTCTGTTTTTCCTTTGGTCACCAGCCACCGAGCAGATTCAGGAAGGATCCTGAGAAATATTCCAACAGGCAAGCAAATTCAGGGCAGTCCATTACATCCCTACTAAAAACAAAACAAAACAAGAATGGTACGGTGACCTGGCAGACAGCATAGCAGGCTGGAACCCTTGATATACTGCTGCAAGTCCGGACTATGCAGAATTAGATAAATTAACAGGAAGGATTCGAAACCTGCGGGATCAGAGATTCTTAGAGGACTGGAGTAAATATATGAACTCCAGTAATTGTGATGAACGGATTACGCTAGTAGGTTTGCAAGAAGTTTTGTAAGGTGGATTATTTGAAATATTACAAGAAAGACTATGAAAAGAATGATTAGTTAAGGACAATTAAATGCAATATAGAAATTAAAAAGTGCAGAATAAGTGATAAAGAACGGAAAATCATCAGAGATGTTGATGGAAGTCTAAAATATTGTATAAGATGAGAAGATATGTTGTGTGACTGTTGGAACTGATATATTAAAAAAATCAATAAAAATGTGTGTGTGTGTGTGTGTGTGTGTGTGAGTGAGTGAGAGAGAGAGAGAGAGAGAGAGACAGAGAGAGATACTGCTGCAAGTCCAACTCATAGAATGGTAGAGTTGGCAGAGACACCATGAGTCATCTAGTCCAACCCTCTGCAATGTACCTGTTTTCATTGTAAGCCACCTTGGGGCTCTTGCGGAAGGCAGGGTAAAAACAAAACAAAACACCACTTCAAATGAAAAATAGGTGGGTGGGTGGGGGCTTGTCTCTGGGACTTGTCACATTCTGATCCAGTGCTCACCACAGGTAGAAGAAGAGGGCAAAAACTGGAGCAGATCCAGCAAGCTGCAGCGTCCTCCAGTCGCGAAAGGCATAAGCCAGGCCAGCCAGGATCATCTGCCCCACGGAAAAGGCTGCATGGCTGAAAATCACCGTATGTGGACGGTAGACAATTCCAACCCATTCTGTAGCTACAGGTGGTTAGGAGAAATTGATTTCAAAGCATAACAAAAAACTAATCATATGAATAAAGCTTTAATTATTTTTTTAAAAACAGCTTTTGACAGGGCAGTCTCAAAATTTAAAGTTTTGGTTTCAAGTTGCATTCAGTTCCACAAAACCCTCTCTTGATTTTTCCTGCTGGTAGTGCAAAGAGATTTCGCAGCTATTATGTAGGGCACTTGCCTTGGATGTTCAGCTGTGATTGTTCACACACATACATTCAGCTGTGATTTACTAAAATATTGTTCCAGATGGAAAGCCATTAAAAAACCTATTCCTAGGGCATCATATAGGTAAAGGTAAAGGGACCCCTGACCATTAGGTCCAGTCGTGGCCGACTCTGGGGTTGCGGCGCTCATCTCGCTTTACTGACCGCTTTACATGTGGCCAGCATGACTAAGCCGCTTCTGGCGAACGCTTCTGGGCTAAGGGAGCTGGGCATGTTTAGCCTGGAGAAGAGGAGGTTAAGGGGTGATATGATAGCCATGTTCAAATATATAAAAGGATGTCACATAGAGGAGGGAGAAAGGTTGTTTTCTGCTGCTCCAGAGAAGCGGACATGGAGCAATGGATCCAAACTACAAGAAAGAAGATTCCACCTAAACATTAGGAAGAACTTCCTGACAGTAAGAGCTGTTCGACAGTGGAATTTGCTGCCAAGGAGTGTGGTGGAGTCTCCTTCTTTCGAGGTCTTTAAGCAGAGGCTTGACAACCATATGTCAGGAGTGCTCTGATGGTGTTTCCTGCTTGGCAGGGGGTTGGACTCAATGGCCCTTGTGGTCTCTTCCAACTCTATGATTCTATGATTCTATGATTCTATGATTCTATTCTATGATTCTATGAACCAGAGCAGCGCACGGAAACGCCGTTTACCTTCCCACCTGAGCGGTACCTATTTATCTACTTGCACTTTGACGTGCTTTAGAACTGCTAGGTGGGCAGGAGCAGGGACCGAGCAACGGGAGCTCACCCCGTCACGGGGATTCGAACTGCCGACCTTCTGATCAGCAAGTCCTAGGCTCTGTGGTTTAACCCACAGCGCCACCTGTGTCCCCAGGGCAGCATATAGTGGGTAATAAACCTTGCCCTAGGTCAGAGATGGCCAAACTTGGCTCTCCAGCTGTTTTGGGACTACAACTCCCATCATCCCTAGCTAACAGGACCAGTGGTCAGGGATGATGGGAATTGTAGTCCCAAAACAGCTGGAGAGCCAAGTTTGGCCATCACTGCCCTAGGTCAACTGAACTTGGACGGCTTCTTATCTCCCCAATGGGACAAGGTTGACAAAGGGCTGGCCAACTGTCAGTCTGGGGTTTATTTTGCATAGCTCTGTGGAAAAAAGCCTCAACTATTGGAAGATCACCAGGGCTTACAAAGAACCTAGGTCAAGGTTGAACAACATGGTGCCCTCCAGACATGGATGGACCCCAACGTCCATGAACCCCAGCAAGAATGGCCAATGATGGGAGCTGTAGTCCAACAACCCTGGAAGGGCCCAGGGCCCAGGTCTTTTGTTCTAACAAGTGTGCATCACAAATGGAACAAATGAAGCTGCTTGATGCAAGATCAGATTATTGGTCCCTCTGGAGGGCTTCGGACTTCCGAAAGGCAGCAGCAACCAGGGGCCTCAGGTAGAGAAGGATCTTCACCTTCACCTGCTATTTGGTCCTTTTGTCTGAAGATGTCAGGAACTGAACCTTGGATCCTCTACATGCAAAGCACAAGGCTTGACCATTGAGCTATCGCTTCTGCTCACATGAGAGTCTGGTATATCTGTCTTCAAAAGCCATACTTAAGACTCAGAATGCTGTGCTCTCGGAAATGTGAAGCTATTCGGAGCATAAACACCACTCTTGATCTTGGCTGCAGAAGTTGCCACCCAACTGTCTTAGGGACTGCACTCCAGATTTGTGTAGCATTTACTCCATAGCCTTTTCATCCCCTGAGGATGTCTCGCAAGGCAGCGAGTAATGAATATTCATAATAAACATGATAAAAATAACCACACACCACACAAAGAACAATCAGCAAGTGCGGTGGCATGGAGAGATTTCCGAAGGCCAGGTAGAATGGTATTGAGGGCCTCATTTGCCCAAAGAGGAACCCAGAGACTAGGCTTCCCTTTCTATTTTGTAAAGCCGTTTGTGTACATCTTACCTAAAGCTAAACTGCTTATCACGACTCCGGAAACAGAAGCACCCACAAGAAATCGGAACGCAATGTAGAGGTGGAAATTGGGAGCAAAGGCCGTAGCAACCCCAAACACGCCTTCGATGAGCATGGACAACAGAAGACTTGGCCGCCGACCAAACCTGAGAGAGGGGAAAGCGCATTTTGCCATCACATTGCTTTGGGGGGGCTTTCCCTGTCCTAAGACAGTAGCAGAAAACAGGAGGCAGGCACAAAAATCCCTGGGCACAAGGACATTGGTCTCCAGCTGCGCTCTTTAGTAGAGGGATGAAAGGGGAGATGTTTCTGGGAGCCCATTAGCCCCAGCCAGCAGGACCGGCAATTAGGGATGATGGGAGCACCACATTGGCAGAGGCTGGTGTAACTTACATACTCCCAACCTCCCCCAAGTGCTACTCCTGATTTCCAGATGTTTGCCTTGTATACTGGTGTGATAGGAATTTTGAGGTCTTAAAAGTAAAGGGGCCCCTGACCATTAGGTCCAGTCATGACCGACTCTGGGGTTGCGACGCTCATCTCGCTTTATTGGTCGAGGGAGCCGGCGTACAGCTTCCGGGTCATGTGGCCAGCATGACTAAGCCGCTTCTGGCGAACCAGAGCTGTGCATGGAAACGCCGTTTACCTTCCCGCCGGAGCAGTACCTATTTATCTACTTGCACTTTGACATGCTTTTTGAACTGCTAGGTGGGCAGAAGCAGGGACCGAGCAACGGGAGCTCCCCCCGTCACAGGGATTCGAACTGCCAACCTTCTGATCAGCAAGCCCTAGGCTCTGTGGTTTAACCCACAGTGACACCTGCATTTTAGATATATGTTAAATGTTCATAAGTGTACCAACCAGGCACTTACATAGATCAGCACAGGAAGACCAACCTGAAATCATTTTTGATTCCCAAATGTTTTCTCTGCAAGGAGGGAGGGGGGTCAGGGAGCCTTCCCATTGTCTCAGGAACTGAGTAATCAGCAATTTAATGGGTGACAATCAGGAAAGGCAATCAGATAACCTGGCTGACAGGAAAACAACAACACCTTTTCTGTGATGTAGATATGATGTTTGGAGGGGTGGTCTTGAGCTCCAGGGCAGGGAATTTAAAATGTCTATATAAGGCCTTGCGCGCCATTGTTCTGGGTCCCTCCTCTCTCCTGCGGGTGAGGGGAGCACCCTGTTGCAACAGATCACTAAAGATCAAGCTTACTAGCTGCTTTGCTTCTCAATATTCTCTGGTTGGCCTCTGTTATTTTCTCCTACCAATAGGGAACCTACGTAAGGACTCTATATGGGCTCTTGGATACCCTATAAGGGGAAAAGGGCAGATTTTGTTTACAACACTGGGATTTGCAAAACGTGGGACCTGCAAACAGACGTCACTGGTGTTTAGGGTACCAGCCAGTCATACCTTTCCCAAGATACTCCATTCCCTCCTCCCAGTCTTCCCCATCATACAACATTGTATGGCCACTGTGCAAGCTCAGTCGTCACTGGGGGTGCCCCCTTAGGTCCCCCTATATCTACCCCCCTGCTTCTATGAACCTTACGGTCTCCCTGCATCTTCCTCTTTTTTCTCAGTAGCTACGTAGCAGCCATGATTCTGCTCCTGAGTTTCCTATTATATGCATGACAACAATGACAATATGCCATTGCTAAAAGCCAGAGGGAGCTTGCTCATCTATGAAACATCCTGTTATGTCTGCTGCGGCAGAAAGGATCAGAGTACAGTGGTACCTTGGGTTGCGTACCCTTCAGGTTACATACGCTTCAGGTTACAGACTCCGCTAACCCAGAAATAGTACCTCAGGTTAAGAACTTTGCTTCAGGATGAGAACAGAAATTGTACAGCGGCGGAGCAGCGGCAGCAGGAGGCCCCATTAGCTAAAGTAGTGCTTCAGGTTAAGAACAGTTTCAGGTTAAGAACGGACCTCAGGAACGAATTAAGTACTTAACCCAAGGTACCACTGTATTGTGGTATCTTTAAAAACTAGCATTTATTGTGATATTGTCATTTCACTTCTTCTACAGTGGTACTTCAGGTACAGACGCTTCAGGTTACAGACTCCACTAACCCAGAAATAGTACCTCGGGTTAAGAACTTTGCTTCAGGACAAGAACAGAAATCGCGCGGCGGCAGCGGGAGGCCCCATGTAAAGTGGTTCTCAGGTTAAGAACAGTTTTAGGTTAAGAACGGACCTCCAGAACGAATTAAATTCTTAACCCGAGGTACCACTGTACTGGCTTAGAAGCCGTTGTTTTGTTGCTGTTGAAGACACGCCCCAAACCCCATCATGAAACTACAGATGTAACCATTCGTCATAAAATTTGACTCTGTCCATTGAGGTTTTAACTGAGACTAGGGATGTGTCTCCTACTACGTGGGTTAAACCTTCCTAGCCTTGCAATGATGGCCATGTTATCACAAATTATACTACTGAGAATAGTTTATCTCGCGTGCTTTAAACTTTGTAGATAAATGTCATAAACCCAATGACCCTCCTGAGTTTCATGGCCACACCTCTCCACTGTCTCTGGTTTTGTGCTTGTGGTAGACTTTACGAGTCTGGTGACACAGGCAGCAGTGCCACAATCACTTTTACCCATTTATAAAACACCACTGCGCTCTAAGGACCAAGCTACATGCAAAGTTAAATGCATTTATTTATTTTGCATGTAAGGAGCAGGTTTCTAAAAAATGCAAGTTGCGTAAGCTTGGGGAATCTAATAATTACAAGCAGGCAGGAAAGTAGCAGGGAATTTAACCCATTCCTCCCCTGCTACTGTCCTGGGTAAAATCCTTCTGAAGCTGGTTTTTGGGGATGGGCAGGAATCTCCTGCTGGCTGACCACATTTCTAAACGGCAACACTTTCCCAGCCTGCCGCCCCTTATATTTTCTCTCTTACCGGTCACTTAACAGACCAGACACCAGCGCTCCAGCGAGAAGGCCCAGCATGTAAATAGATTGTGAGATGTCGTTTAAATCTTCCCAGTCACATACCAGGTCAAACTTAAGGAAAGAAAAGGAAAACCACTTTACTTGAAGGGAATTAGGAGAGGGAAAGAATGAAACTTGCACCTTGACAATGGGCACATCTTTTCAGTAGCCAAGGCTTGTACATAAGAAACTTTTCAACCAAGGGGTTACTCCTAACCCTCTGTTGCCTGCACTAACAGCTGTCCAAGAATACAAACCTGCTATTTTTAATTGGAAGGACCAGAACTCATTGGTAGAACAGCTGCTTTGTATGCAGAAAGACCTAGATTCAATCCCTAACATCTCCAGATAGTAAACCCAAAAAACCTGTGGAGCACTCAGTGGAGACCAGGGCTCTTCAACCAAGGTCCATTCAGATCTTGCAATGAACTAATTCAGGTTAACTAATTCACTGAATTAAACACCTGAATTGCACCTATAATTTCCAAGTGAATTGAATGTGAATTAAGTTCCTTTTGTGGTGTAACTTTGGGTGATTTTTTAAATTCAATTTGCTTTTAATTTTAATTATGTGTGTGTGCGCGCGCACACACAAATATTTTTTTGATAGCGGCCATTGCATTTACCGTTTTTACTTGCCTGAAAAATGATGCTGCTGTTTTAATTTAAAGTTCATAATTTGGTGGGAGGGAGCTGGAAATAGACAGGAAGACAAAGAAATGAATGCAAAGCAATACACTTTCCCTGGCTTGCAAAAACACTTAGGGTTGCCAAATTGTGATTTAGCATCATCCGTGGGGCAGGCACTGGGGTTGGGAGTTGTTGTTGTTAATTAAATTTATATACTGCCTGTTGTCCGAAGATCTCAGGGCGGTTCATAAGATGTTTAACAGGAGTCGGCGCCTATGGCTACAGGTGTGGAAGTGAAATGGCTCTGAATTGTGAGGTTGTGAAATGCAACAGGCACCACATCCTGAAACTTCACTGTGCTCAAAATGAGGTATCTGGTACCATACACAATGCTTGCATGGCTAGACTGTGGAAAAGGGGATTAGACAAACTAATGGAGAATAGGACAACCACGGACTACTAATCATGATGGCAAAAGATTGCCTCCAGTGGTTAGCCACTGGAAGAACAGACTTTATTTAGCCTGATTCTAAAGCGCTCTTCCTATATTCCAAGGAACAGGGATTTGGTAGCGCTGGCATCAAAAGGCCAGAGGTGGACGTGCAAGGAAGTCTCAAAAGCTGTGAAGTCCGCTCCACTTCACTGTGGGGAGGAGTTGCAGTGGACCACGTGGCCACCCACTCTCCTCCGGGGGCGGGGGACGAAGTCCCGTGTTACCTGGGGAATCCCGGCCACGTCATCGTCCAGCTGGCCAATCTGGTGGCTGGGGGGCGTGGCCGGGACCATTTAAGCTGGGGCGTGAGCTGGAGGGCTTCCTCTTAGCTCGCTTCTTCAAACTCCCTCCCTATTTTACAGGTTTTCTGCATTGGCCTTGCTATGGACCTCAGTTGGTCGCCGTTGAGGGGCCTGGTAGGAATTTTTCCACTTGGCAAAACTGGCAAGGGGCCATTTGGTTTTCGCCTACCTCGTAGCAATCGTCACAACTTTGTAAGGTTTTGCGGTTAGGCATTGTCTGACCTTATGAGGGAGGTGTGGCCATCACCTGCCCCTCCAAGCTTAAGGGTATTCCGTTAAAGGAATCCGGGGGTGTGGATCTTGTCCGAAGCCCAGGGCGGGACTAGGGCCATGACACGACCCCAACGGGAACATCTGGGGGAGCTCGAGTTGTTCTGCATCGACGGGGCTCCCCTTTCTGGTGGTTTACCCTTACCGGACTCCCTACGCAACGGGCAGGAGTCAGATATAGTCAGGTTCATTCAATGCCTAAGCCAATACTGCTCACAGTCTGTAATCAATAAAGTTGTGGCCAAAATTTGCCCAATAACATTAACATAATATCTGTGTCCTGGTGTCTTAATTCTTTACGAGGGGGTGAATGCGGGGTCTAGACACACAATTAGGGACTCTTCCCAAAAGGAGCTAGAGGAGTAGGACAAGAGTGATGTTTTACACACCGAAGGAAACTATCGACCAGGCCGTGTGGCTGTCAACCCTCTAGCAATAAATCGCCACTGCCATTAATATACTGCTTTATGTCTAAATAGGCTTCTCTGAAGCATGACGTATGCTGGGACAATCTTATATAAAGAAATAAACCAAAATCAGTCGCTGCTGCCGTCACTTCTAACGGTTCAAAAAATCACCTTCAGGAATGTACACTTCGTAATGTCTGCTTCCTTGCATTTCTTGCGAAGAGACATTGCAAGGCGCTGCCTGCGCAGGATAAAAGTGCTGGACTGCGGTCCTGCCATATGGTCTGAAGACCCATGAGGCCACCACCTTGTCGAAGCTAAGAAGATCCAGGCCTGGACGAGTGCCTGGATGGGAGACCCCATCACAGTGGGACAGAAATGTAGGTTGCCTTGGGATCCACGAAGGGAAGGAGACAGGGGTATATAGACTGCTTAGAAGCCATTTTGGCATATATAATTGGTATTGTGATAGGAATTTTATGGTTTTAGATATATGGCAACGTTTATAACCACACGTACATAGATCAGCACAGGAAAGCCAACCTGGAACCATTTTGATTCCTAAACTGAGCAAATGTTTCTCTGCATGGTAAAAATGGAAAAGCCTCCCCATTGTCTCTTCCTTCACAAATCCTGTCTTAATCTGTGTTTGAATAAGGGTGTGAGCCTTATCATTACAAAAGACTGCCAAGGCTCCCCAAGAAATCCAATCAAGTAACCTGCCAGACAGGAAATAAACAAAGCGACAGGAGAAAACAACATGCAAATGTTCTGTTTTAGACCGCCTTATCTGAGGGGTGGTCTTAGGTTACACCCCTTCTGCGATGAATGCATAATGTTTCTGGGGGTGGTCTTGATCTAGAGGATGGGAATTTCAAAAGTCTTAATAAGCCCTTGCATAGCATTTTGGGGGGTCTCCTCCTCTCCTGCGTGTGAGGGGAGTACCCTGTTGCAACAGATCAATAAAGATCAAGCTTACTAGCTGCTTTGCTTCTCAATATTCTCTGGTTGGCCTCTGTTATTTTCTCCTACCAATGTAAGGACTCTATATGGGCTCTTGGATACCCCATTAGGGAAAAGGGCATGTTTTTATTTACAACAGTATATAAATTAATAAATAACTTAGGGGAAAATGCAAGCAAATGATTCAGAAGGGTACAACAAAATTTCCAAACCTGTGTGAGCAAGGAAGGCTCTTGGTTTGAAGGATAAACCCACCCACGCCGACACTTTTCGGTAGAATTAAGTCCATATTGCAGGATGGCATCGAGATCCCAGTCCACTGGAGTGTACATGAGACATTCTTCAAATGTCCCATCGGGCTTTTTGGGAAGGGTCAAGTTCAGCCGTTCCTCTTCAGTCAGGTTCAAGCCGATGGCATTGAACCAGCTTGTGTTGCAATGATGGGGCTCTTCCAGGACCATGAACAACTGGGAAAACATATGGAAGGCGAGGCTTGGCGTGGCTAGAGTCACGAGCACCAACAACCGCCATTGGAAACGCCCAAAGTCTCCAAGAGTTTTGATGATTTCCCCAGTGTCAGACATTGCTAGCTTCTTTCTACCCTTCCCTTCTGCGACTGCAATCTCCCCCAAAGACTTTTTTCACCTAGCCTCCAGAATTAATGTTTAAACCAAAAATAAATGTTTAGATGGGATTTGGCAACAAGGATGGGTATCCACTGTGACCTTTTGACAGCATGAGGTGCCTCACATTTCTGCAACACTACTCTGTAACCCATTAACCCGGCTGCCAACAATAAATGGCAATATCACAGGAAAATGCCGTATTGAAAAAGGGACAAGACAAGGTTGTCCCATGTCGCCACTGTTATTTATTCTAATGTTGGAAATGCCAACTAAGGAAATATTGAAAAATAATGGGGGGGATGGGAACAAAGAACCAAGAATTAAAGTTGGGCAGAGAGATTACTAATGTGGTCCAGAACTTCTCTTGAGGAAGGCTGGTGTGTTGTGTGGATATTCTCTTCTATGTAAGCATACGTGTGATAGGAATTTTGAGGTCTTAGATATATGTTAAATGTTCATAAGTGTACCAACCAAGCACATACATAGATCAGCACAGGAAGACCGACCTGGAACCATTTTGATTCCCCAAATGTCCCAAACTGACCAAATGTTTTCTCTGCAAGGTCAAAGGAAAATGGAAAAGCCTCCCCATTGTCTTTTCCTTCGCAAATCCTGTCTTAAGGGTATGTCTGTGTTTGAATAGGGTGTGAGCCTGTGACCTGGCCCAGGAACTAAGTATTTATCATTACAAAAGACTGGCCAGGCTATCCAGGCAATCCAATCAAGTAACCTGCCAGACAGGAGATAAACAAGGACAGGAGAAAAACAACATTCAAATTTCTCTTTTAAGACTGCCTTTTCTGTGATGTAGGTATGATGTATCCGAGGGGTGGTCTTAGGTTACACCCCTTCTGTGATGTATGTATGATGTTTCTGGGGGTGGTCTTGATCTACAGGGTGGCAATTTCAAAAGTCTTTATAAGGCCTTGCGCGCCATTTTTTCTGGGTTCCTCCTCTCTCCTGCGGGTGAGGGGAGCACCCTGTTGCAACAGTTCAATAAAGATCAAGCTTACTAGCTGCTTTGCTTCTCAATATTCTCTGGTTGGCCTCTGTTATTCTCTCCTACCAATAGGGAACCTATGTAAGGTCTCTATATGGGCTCTTGGATACCCCATAAGGGAAAAGGACAATTTTTGTTTACAACATACGACATAACTGTGATGAGGTATTGGGGATATTTGCAAGGAGAGGCAGAGAGAGAATGAGAGCAGCATCATAAGAATACAAACTGACTCCAAAAAGCAATGGACATTTTTTTTATTGATTAAAAATTAGAGAAGTACATGCAGTAAAATACAAAGTCAAAGGGGGGAGGGAAAAGGCTGAATATTTTACATCTTTCATTAAAATCTACAGTACACCAAAATCGTGTAGAGGTTCCTGTTATATTAATACACCATCATCATCCCTAAGAGTATCAACTAAGTTTTTAAAAAAATACCAACTGATTTCTAGGTTCAAGTTCAGAATTTACCCAAAATAAAAATTTAAAAAAACCCCTCTGATCCGTTAAGGGTAAAAAGGTTAGAAATAATTCCTTACCCCCCGCCAAAAAAATTAAAATATAAAATAATAAAATCATTGGCACTTTGAACCTCGAGAACAAAACAGTCGTCTAGCACGTTTTAGTATCCCAGGCAAAAAAAAACACAAAAGGAAAAAAAGGAAACTATTACCAAGAGACACGTGCCTAGAAATTTCTAATAGCAAGGGGAGTGAAGGCTCATTAAGACAGAATAAAATAAAATTACAAGGAGAACGGCCAGCATGGATACTCTTGTCCGCTAGACTTGGGTTAGACAGAGATGGGAGCAAATAAATAGATACTGCATCATTGCACTGGATTAGGCTGGACTCCCGTCCCAGTGTAGAGTACAACAAGGTTCGCACGGCATGCAGGCAAAAGTGAAGTAATACTGTACCAGAATAATTTGGTCTTCATAGCTGAAGACAGGGTGGGAAGAGTGGGGGGTGCGGGGGGGTGCCTTCTACTTGCCCTCCAAGCTTCGCCCACCTGGCTCCTCACCTGAGGCCCATTTCAGCCACAAGCTCCACCCACCTTTTTGAATCATCATCATCCTACAAGGGGGTGGGGCTTGAGGCAAGCCCTGCCCACTTTAGTGGCATGACATCACAGGCTCCAAAGGGACGCGCCGCCAGCCAAAGGCAGGCAATGGATTCAAGGAAACGAGACTGCGGCGGAGCCTCCGCCACTCCCATCAATCAAGTGGGGACCCCCGCACCCTGGTCAGAGACACACACCCCCTCGGAAACAGTAGTCCCGGGACTGCTTAGTGTTACACCCCACCCATGCAGGTTTTAAAAGAAAGTAAGAGATGGGGGGGTGAATGTGGTGCTCTCAGAGGGGGCGAGGCGGACAGAACTAGATCTTCTAACACAGACTCAGAATTCGAATGGGTCTCTTTTGTTTCACACTCTGCATCTTTGACACCACTGCGATGTGGCCCTTTCCTATCCTTTCTTCGTTTTGCCTCCACGCTTGTAGCAGTTTTTGCGCGTGACCTACCGGTAGAGCGAATAAACTACAGGTTTTTTTGGGGGGGGGGTTGTTTTGTTTTTAGGAATTGTTATTTTCTCTTTAAAAGCAAACATGGCAAAAACTTGTGTGTGAGGGAGTGAAGGAAGCTTCTGTCACTGCCGATAGAGTGAAAAATATATAAATATAATTGGTTAAATGGGGGGGAAACCCGAGAGATTCCTAACTGAATTGAAACCCACCCCCCAACCAGAGTGGGCCAGTGCACACGTCTCTTCTATCAGTTCCCCCCCAACCTGGGCCCTCAAGTGTTTTGGATCACAACTGGGCAGATGGAAATTGTGGTCCAAAACCCCTGAAGGCACCAGGTTGCGTTTGTGTGCCTTAAATCCCAGTTAAGAGGTTAGATGTGAGGTGCAAAACTTGCAAGCTCCATCCTCTCTTTCCCCAGCTTCCTTCTCGGTCGTAGCCATGGTTTTGCAGAAACGTTAACCAGGATCTGCCTTAACCCAAGTTAACAGAGCAGCTTCAGATGCATGCTTGGAAAGTTAATTCCGGTTAAAGCTGGAGCAGAACCACAGATAAAGCCCAAGTAACAAGGAGGAATTTGCCCTGGAAAGAGAGTCAACGAGAAGGAAGGAAGGAATCCGTAAGCCAGCTCCAGGGAGTTTAACTCTGGTTAAGAGATTGGCATTGCAATGTGCCGACTGAGCCAATTCCAAGTACACTGGAAGGCTGTAGGGCGAGAAACGAGAACTCAATTCCTTTATCTGGGATTTAAATTCACCCATCACAGACTGCCTACAGTTTCTCTACGCTTCAAAAGCAGAGCGGGGATACACGAAAGGACCAACTGGACTGTGTTTAAAGTGGGGGGGGGGAGGGGAGACTTGTGGGAGAGGGAAGAATCTACACCATTTTATTATTCACATATTGCATTACAAGTGTTGCTTTTTTTCCAAACTAAAAAGTATAATTTATATGTAGAAATTCAAAAAAGAAAAGAAAAAAACCATACACATACACACGCACGCACACACCCCACCAGATACTCATTTCTTTAAAAAATACTAAACGCAAGCTATATTGGTTTCAGTTATATCATCTTGATCAAACTCTGATGCTCACACTGGAGAGTATAAAAAAAAATCAATTTTGCAAATTCCAAGCAATTAGTGCAGCAAGAGAGACAAAATTGTCCAGAGCTTAATCTTGCCATGTATGAATCTACCGGCAATCTATTTATTTATCTTATTGCTGTAAAAACAGAATAGGGGTGGTTCCATATGTACCAGTCTGTGCAGGGGGGGGGGGGGAGGAAAGAGGATGAATGCATTTTCTATCTTGAACACACCAAAGGAAAATTCTGAGAACAAGAACAGGAAAGATTTGCTTCGGCTGAAACACACACACACACACACACACACACACACACACACAAATACAGAGCTTCCAACTGCCAGAAGGCATGGTCAACTTTTGTTCTTAGCAACCATGTACAGAGAACATCTGGTTTTATGAATGCGTCAAACCACACATCTACGACTTTGCACAGTTAAACCACCCCAGCCAAACTTTGCGCAATTACAACCTCCAGCAACGTAGTCTACTTACAAAGGGCTCCCTTCTCAAAAACGGTTGCAGAGAAAATCCCACAGTGAGGGGAAATGTGTATCATTTGAAGAAGCAACCCAAGTTTTGCAAAAGAGTTCTGGGACTTGCAGCCAGCTTAGCAAGCTGAGATTTCCCTTGCCTTCCTTTTTCTTTTTGGCAACATGCTCATCTCCAGAGAGACCAAGATGCTCACCTCCAGGGAATATTGGACTCCCAACTCCCTTCAGCCCCGGACAGTGATCAAGGATAATGGGAGTTGTGGTTTAGCAACAACTGGAGGCTTAACAAATTAGAAGAGGCCGGCCTATGCATTGCTAACCACACAGCTACAATTCCCAGGATTACGAAGTCAGGAGGTTTGAAACTCACCCAATGACTGTGTGGATTTGTGGGGACGCAGCAAGCCTGATAACAGCATGGCAAAATTCCTGGGGGTTGGGGAACTTCTTCGTTTTACAAAGCAGCCCAATATTTAGGGCTCTCCAGTCCCACTGCTCCACCCAATCTCCTTTCAGCAAGGGACGCCCATCACAAACGTTGTTACGGAAACCACCCCCGATGGGAAAACAGGGATTGCAAAGGCCAGCCTTCCCAAACTTCCCAGCAGCCAACGCTTTTCAAACAACGGTGATTTGGGCATGGTGGCAACAGCAGCAGAAGTATGCAGAGGTTCTGGCTTGCCGCTTTAGAGCAAGGATGGGAAGCCCGCAACCCTCCTCTGGGTGCTTTTGGACCACAACTTCCATGCCCCCTGATTGTTGCTCATGCTGGATAGGACAGATGGGACGTGTGTGGGGGGGGCAACAACAGGTCCACCACCCCTCCGCTAGAGACAAACACGTTGGAAAGTGGCCTGACAAGATTGCGGATGGTGAAAAGTAACGAAAAAAGCAGCAGCAACAAAACGATACCCTGATAGTTCCCCTTCCCAAATGCTATATTTTGCATTAATGTGAAGGGGGCGAGGAGGAATTAAGGCTAATCCATTTCTTTCGTGCCGTAGACCCATTAAATAAGATCCCTTAATGGTTTATTGCTAAGCCTAAGGCTTAAGACTCTCTCTTAAGACTTTGTTGGGTTTGCAAGAGCCCATCCGGATTTCTGACATGCTAGAATAGCTTGCCATTCCTGTAGTTTTAAAAGTATTTTTTCCCCCCAATGCCTGGTAAAGTGGACCCAAAAGTGAAGCAACCCCCCTTCTGCAATGGAGCAACAACCACACGGGGGGGGGGGGGGATAAAAACCTGATTCGACATAGAATCAAGAAACGGACAGGCACACGAATCGCGCCGGGGTAGTTGTTAAGAGTAGTGGAAGCCCCGTGTCGTACTCTCAGTAGTATTTCTGGCTCCTCCTTCTCTTTCTTTCTTTTTTGTACTTTAAATAGTTAAGGCAATAATAATAATAATAATCATATAAAAACTACAAACATGCAGGCAATGGAAGGCTGAGTCTGCACATCTGGGATGAAGGAAACGTGGCCGAGAAGCCAGCTGTCTGCAATGGTGGTGTCGGTGGGGAGGCGCTGCGATGCGACTCGGGAAACAAACGAGGTTAAAGCTTCTAAGAAAGGGAGCTGTAGTTTGGTTCTTTGGCAGTAGTGGTTTTGCTTTTCAGGCTGACAGAAGCGTTCAAGGCTGCACCCGTTGGGGGGGGGAACCATCGTCTGGGAGTGTAGTTTTAGTTAATGCTGAGCTGAGCAAACCCAATCAGCTTGCTGTCGTCGGGGATATCGGAGCCTTCGACGCCAGATGCCTGGAGAACAGAGGGGGCGGGGAAGTCCAACAGCGGTAAGCATCATGGAGGAGAGAAGCTTTCCACAAACCATTTTCAAAAATCGCAAACCATTAACAACAACAACAACAAAAACCCAACACCCTGGAATTCTACGTGAAGAAGTATGCCTGGATTTCGCAGTGCTGAGGCAGAGTTGCCAGCCGGGCCAGACAGTCGTGGGTCATAGAATCACAGAAGTGCCCAGCTGGAAGGGACCCAAAGGTCCAGTCCAACCCCCTGCAATACAGTTTGCTGTCGATTAAACAAGAATAGCAACCCTCGCCAAAATAAGAAAAGAGCCACGGGAAAGAGAAAATTAAGAATCAGTGGAAACAGTCAAATATAAGTAACCCAGCCCTGCAGTAGCTTTGCGAAAAGTGTGGCCTGTAAATATTTAAATATGAATAGTAGCAAAATGATAAATATATCAGAAAGTGGTTCAAAAAGAGCAGCAGTAGCCGGTCAACAAATCTTTACAGAAAGGTAGCGAAGGCAACCTGAACACAGTCTTTGAGTCCCAGGGAATCAAAGGTGAGTTTCTAACAGAAGCAAATCAAACTTCCATATAAGATGGAAGTTGAACCAGGAGCTCCTCTGAAGGTACTATTGCAAAAACTGAACTTGCAAAAACATTTGGCAAAGTTAGGTGACCAGTGTTCCCTATGCCTTCCAATATAGGCCACTTGCGGGGCAGAGTTTTGGATAAGAGTGACCTGGGACCACAAAGAATAAGGAAAAAAGAGGGGGGAAAGACCCACTACCTCGAGCAAACATGAGGTCTGCAACCTTGCTTTTAAACAAAACAAAGCAGAAAGAGAACAGTTGGAATATGTGAGAGTGATGCCTCGGTGAGAAATCAGAAGTGTGAGAAATATTTCCGTGCCCCCTCCCCATGCACTTCACCAAAGTGACAGAGACTGCCATAGTCCGCTTCTGTTGCACAGTCACCTTGTGAAGTACAGAGGTGTGGGGAGCATGAATGGGGAGACTGTCACGAGTGCAAACCCTGGTGCATATGGACAAGGAAGCAATTCGCTAAAACAGCAAGCGAGACTCTAGTCACAGCAGACCACACTTATACTTTTTTTTATGTTCTCTGCAGACCAAAATTAAAACTCACATCCTTCTGCATTCTGATGCAGCTTTAAGAGAACATGTGAGACACAGAGAAAAGGGCTAGATGGTGGGGGCAAGTATTTCGAAGTTATCAAATCCTCCTTTATCAGAAATGCTCACCACTAAGCATGTCTAAAGCCACCACATTACATTAAACTGTGCCGTTGTGCAGAATGTAGTTCAATTTGGCATTTGCAATATTTTGTCCCGGGTCCCGGTTGAATTTTCAAAGGCGTTTTTCCAAAGCACCATGGAACGCTCCTGTTCAGAATTCCTGCCAGCCAGCCAGCCAGCCAGCCAGCCAGCCAGCCAGCCATGCCCTCTTCCAGAAACTCCATTTCATTACCCCCCTCCCCCAGATTTTCTTCTCAAGAGACACTTGGCATTCCAAGCCCTCATTGGGCTATTCTGGGCTATTCCCCCAGGCAAGCTGATCTTTCCACCCTGGAGCAAAGATGATGCCAATCTGACTACAAAAAGACTGGCCCATGTCCCCAAGCATCATTCACAGAGGAAACGATATTTTAACCCCACTTTTTGATCTGGGTGTATCTAAATTACAAAGATTAATCGCAACTCAACTGATCCCCAAAGCCCCTGAAAATAGACCCCCTGCCTTATTTCTGCTATGACTGTGTGGGTCCCCCACTAGATACCCATCGTCCAGGGATTACTGTTGAAGAATCAGCGCCCCAAAGAAGCCTAGAGCAGACACACCCTTTTAACACAGACCAGGTTAATAAGGGGGGGAAATAGTAAATATACCAGTTTGAAAGTGACAGATCGATTCGTCTGGGGCTCTTCCACAATTTTTTGTAAGTTGGCAGCAACTGAAACGACAGAGGGTGGACACACTCAAAGACGGAGTACTTAAGCATTTTCATTCTGAACAAGCTTCCCTAAAATACTGGGAAGAGACGACCTAGTTAACAATGAAGGAGTTTCCCCCTCCCTGTCCTGGGAAGAAATACAGCAACTTGTATCCACAAATCCAGTATGGGATTAAGGTGAACATGAAATGTGCACTATTACCTATTACTAAGTCTCTGCCATCGACAAGCCCAGCCGAGATGAGTTCTTGGGATACCCCATCCGCAGTATCTGGAAAGATCGTAATTAAGAGACCATCACATCTGCACACAAGTGGTCTAAAACAAATTCAGAGTTCACAATTTGCAGGCATTTACCTTTTTCTTCTTCTTTTTAGATTGGTTTTATATTATGCATCGTTCTGCATTATATTTTACTTAAAATGCCTCAAATGGATTGTATGCAAAGAGGTGGGAAAGAATAATTTCTTTAATTGAAAACAGAGCTTCTAAGGATCCAGCCCTACCTAAAAGTAGCACCTCCTAATCCCAGACTAATAGGATCGAGCTGGGATTTCTCATTTGGGAAGAAAAAGCGCTCTGTGTGTGCTCAGAGGAGTCTGAACCCCAACTCTGATTAAGCCCAACCACTGAGCCTAGGAAGGTCGGCGGTTTGAATCCCCGCGACTAAGCCGCTTCTGGCGAACCAGAGCAGCGCACGGAAAGGCCGTTTACCTTCCCACCGGAGCGGTACCTATTTATCTACTTGCACTTTGAAGTGCTTTCAAACTGCTAGGTTGGCAGGAGCAGGGACTGAACAACGGGAGCTCACCCCGTCACGGGGATTCGAACTGCTGACCTTCTGATCGGCAAGTCCTAGGCTCTGTGGCTTAACCCACAGCGCCACCAGCGTTCCTCTGAGCAACTACCATAAGGTTAAACACAAAACATGCAGGTGGAACATCCGCAGCATGTCTGCAGCCGCAACAAAGGAAGTCGCCTTATACCAAGGGAGGCCGCGTCTAGCTCAGATGAACTATTCTTGCTGCCACTGGATCTCTGTGGTTCCAGAGTGAGGGATCTTTCCTGCTTGGCGATGCTGGAGATTCAACCCAGAACATTCTGCACCCAAGTTACTCAATAACTTCCAGCACGTTTCTCTTTCCCGTACCCATATCTCACCTCTCCCAGGGGTGAACTCGAATCGAATGTCGTTGAGTTCTTTCTTTGAATTCCTGTTGAGGAAGAGAAGAGAGATGAAACACAAAGCCATTTATTTATTTTTTTACTCTGTAGACGAAAGCAAGGACGGTGAACGAAAAGCCTGGGTTGCAGATCCCAGGCACGTTTTATCTGGCCCTAGCAACGCTATGCCAAATTATAGCCAAGCACGATAAAAAGGAGGTCTGCCCACAGTTTTGTTTGTGTAGAAGGATGTTTTTACATCCTGTATGGATGACCCACAATTCAACTTTACATCTCTTTCGGATTTTTCACATAACACGTAAATGCAAATATTTGTTGGCGAATCATACACCTGAGTGCATATGCTCTTTAGCTGAAGCCCTTAATGTTAGAGCAAATACATTATGGGGCCTGCCTGAGCACTTTTCATTAATGTGTTCAGCGCATGGATGGAGTGGGCCTGGGCTCAGGCATGCACAAGAAGCAGAAACCTGTTCTAGGTAGTATTACCTATTTCAGTATGAAATGTTCTAAGGATTACTTTTGAGTGGTCTGAGCAATGAACATATTTTCATACATTTTTTAAGCACTACAAACATTACAAGGATTTATACTCTTTGGGCTGTGGGTGTGCCTATGCATGGACCATCTGTTTGCAGCCCATGTCAATTCTCCATGTGTTCTTTCAGAAGTCTGTTCCATCCCATTTCTACATTAATTTGATTTTTTTAAAAAAACAAAACAACAAAACTGTAACATATTGCCTTAATAAACACATTCGTAACAGTATTTAGTCTAGAATACGTGTTTTGTATTTTGGTACATATTTCGGTACAGTTTTTGAGCAGAGGGCTGTTATTGCAAAATTCGAAGAAGCACAGAATCCAAAAGGATATTTACGTTCCGATCTTGTGTATTAGTCTGGGTGGTGCAAATCCGGTCACAGCTGGCTTAAAAATGCAAAACTGAATCGACTTTTCCACCATTCCCACGGTGTGGTTTTGTTTTTAAATCGCATCGTTTCCCACAGAAGTCGTGAGGTCGAAATGCATTCAAGCCTCTGACACATCTTTAAGTACGTGACCACGTTGTTCTATTACTGGGTTCATCAGTTGGCACTGCCTGTTGAGAGGCACCTTGGTTCTCTGTGTATAGTTACTTTAATGAACTGTGTGCTTTTCCGATGCAAAAATTAAGCCTCAGCCAAAGAGTCTTGCCAAATTACCGTATTTTTCGCTCTATAGGACACACCCGACCATAGGACGCACCTTGTTTTAGAGGGGGAGAACAAGGGAAAAAAATTCTCCCCCCCTCTGCTCAGCGCCCCTTCAGCAGAGCGGCAGGAGAAACGGAGCCCCTTCCATTTCTCCTCCTGCTTGGCTGAAGGGGCACTGCGCAGCTCTCCCTCTCTGGTGAAGCCAGGAGAGTCTTGCTCTCCTGGCTTCAGTGAAAGGAACCTGAAGCCTGCGGAACACAGTGGGAACTCACGCTGCGCTCCAAAGGCTTCAGGCGGCTATCCCTGAAGCCTGGAGAGCGAGAGGGGTCGGTGCACACTGACTCCTCTCGCTCTCCAGGCTTTAGCAAAAGCAACACGAAGCCTCCAGAGCGCGGAGGGAGTGCTCCCTCTGCGCTTCGGAGGCTTCGCGTTGCTCTCGCTGAAGCCAAGGAGCCTGCATTCGCTCCATAGGACGCACACACATTTCCCCTAATTTTTGGAGGGGGAAAAGTGTGTCCTATAGAGCTTAAAATACGGTAATTGGATTTTCTTGGTGTGAAATCTCGAAAAAGAAATATTGTGCTCCAACAAAGAGCTGCCAGGTACTAAGCCCGTTTCCTAGAGTGGGGTGCTGAAAAGCTCCCAAGATTGAAAATATTAACGGCAATGATATACTTACAGGCGAGGAGAATTTAGGTCATACATGGCCATGGAAAGTTCATGAGATCTGAACCCACCTCTCCTTGGGGCCAAGTCAAGCCCCACCCAGTGGACCACAGAGAGAGCAAGGGTGGATGTCATGGTGCCTTTGAAAGATCTTGATGAACTCTAATTCCCCATCAAACCTAAACCAGCAGCAATGCTAGTTGGGACTGATGGGGGTTGCAGTGCAACAACATATGGAGGCTGCCATCTTGGAAACCCCACCCAAAAAGCCACTCCTGTCAAGGATGGGAGTTGAACAACAGCCGGGTGATTTAAGCCTTGGAGACATTTGCAAGAACATGCTTACCTTAACCTTAGAACAAGGCTGATGGGGACTTTCATTTCCTCTTGCGCTGGGGCTGTTGCAGGAGGTGCCTTTTGGGGGGAAAAGAGGAAGGGCCAACTTTTTTAAAAAATAAATAAATTTGTGTTTTTTTTTTAAAAAAATCAATGTGTGTCTTGTGTTTTAAAAAAACACACAAAAGCATTGTAAGATGATCAGGCAGCAAATGAGACTATTTTGGACAGGCAGAAAGCAAACAAATGTGGTGACACAGAGATGGAACCGATTAAAAAAACTCCCTTGGGACGACTCGCTGGATGAATTTTCTTCAGTGTTTCACGACTGGCAGTATCTCAAGCAATATTCCATAGGGCAGATCTCTCTCCCTGCCCCCTCCCAAAACACAGGCCTCTTGTGCCCCGAGTCAAACTGGCTACTGATCCGGTGGGGTTAATTTACAACTACTTATTATTTTGGCGTCTTATTGCACTACATGGCTTCACTTGTTTGTTTTAATCATTTGCTCCAAAGGAACCTGGTTTTTTTTTTTTAATGTTTCTTCCTTTATTAAACCATTTTTCCACACAATGGTTTGCAGCTCTCTCAGGAACTAAAGCACAGAGAAATCCAGCGCAGCATTGATCCAACCCAGAGCAAGACAGTCTTCTTAAAAAGAAGCAGCAGCAAAAAAAAAAAAGCCTTTGCCCCACCAAGGAAATTAAAATCACAATGATTAAACAAGACTTTCCGCAGAGCACATACTTACTGCAGGTGCTATATTCTAATATGGATTGAGTATGTTCAGCTTTGTACACTGGGGCAGGGGCTGATGGGTGGCTGCCCCTGTTTGCAAGGAGATGTGGGTATTCAGACTTTCAGGCACCTGCCAACTCTATTCATTTCAACATAGGTCTGAAGCGCTTGTTATTGCATCAGCGCCCTCTTCGCTTAACAGCTGATTTAGTTCAGGGATGGAGAACAAATGGCCTTCCAGATGTTGTTGGCTCCAACTGCCACCCAGTCAGAGCAGTTAAATGCGCAGGCCAAGTGGACAAACACTTTGAGCTGGTATAAAGCAACTTCCTATGCCTCAAGATCTCCCAGGGTGGTCCCACAACCACTGGCCCAGCCTAGTTCCACAAGAGGAGAGGTGCCTACAAGCGTAGAAGTGGTTCCTTGATATACAGGAGCCATAAATAGAGCTGGGGGGGGTAGAAGAAGATAGGACACGGATCAGACGCAGCCCACAAATGGCCGCCTAGGTCACAAGGGGGATGAGATTAAGAGATTCCCTGAAATCCTGCGCTGGGGAGCCACATCGCGCTCCCTTGATGTCAGCGAAGCCACAGCTGCCGTACCTTCCAGCTGCTGGGAAGTGGCAGAGAAGCAAAACCACGCACATTGAGGGATTGTTTCAAAGCGGAGGCCGGGGGCTCCCTCAAGCGTTTAATTGCTGGGCCTGCTCACACAGAGAACATCTGCAGACCCTAAGCCAAGTCCGTCCTATTTAATTTCAGCCAGCTGGAATCCAGGAACACAGGGCGCCAAGGTTTGTCTCCCCAAGATTAATGGGCTGTCAGGGAGAGAACAGGAGCCCTGTGAGCGCAGAGGGGTTTATATATAGCCTCCTTCCCAAAAACCCATGAAAACACTTCTAGGAAAAACGCTGAAGCCCTCGAGTGTTGCTCTGGCCACAAATCACCGCCGGACCATTCCCAGCAGGCCTATTAGGATCACGGGGTGAGGAAGCTTCCCCCGCCCGTCCAGCCTTGCAGGCCTCACCCCGGCTCCAAGGACAGCTATTTGCTATAATACATGAGCAATCGCCGTCCGACTGCCTCCAGAGCACCCGCAAGCAGTGGGACACGCTCCAGAACGGGCTGGTTTCGCCCTGGGTGAGGAAAGCCATCTCATTGGCTGCTCCTCCACTGAGTTCCACGCCCTCTGCAAAAGGCAGGGCTTGCATTAAAACACTCCGTCGCCCGAAAAGCAGAGGACATTGGGGTGGTGATGGGTTTTGCGCAGAAAGGTCCTAAGGTCTCTCCAAGCAGCCCTATAGGGTAGGTCAGCTGCTCTCGATCCTGTCTCACAGACAAGGAGACTGGAAAAAAAGAGGGACGGCTAGACCACCTACTTTGCTCGTGGCTGAAGGGACATTTCGGCCAGGAACTTTGCAATTCACGTCCTCTTCGCCAGAAAGAATGCATGTACTTGTTTTATAGCCAAAGCAGTATGGGGAAGGCTGCATGGACAGCAGCTGCTTAACCCTTTTCCCCGCTGGTCTTATGGTGTGGTTTAGTGACTCAGAGGTCAGCAAACTTTTTCAGCAGGGGGCCGGTCTATTGTCCCTCAGACCTTGTGGGGAGCCAGACTATATTTTTTTGGGGGGGGGGAATAATTAACGCCCTCACAATAGGGACGCGGGTGGCGCTGTGGGTTAAACCACAGAGCCTAGGACTTGCCGATCAGAAGGTCGGTGGTTCGAATCCCCACGACGGGGTGAGCTCCCATTGCTCGGTCCCTGCTCCTGCCCACCTAGCAGTTCGAAAGCACATCAAAGTGCAAGTAGATAAATAGGCACTGCTCCAGCGGGAAGGTAAACGGCGTTTCCGTGTGCTGCTCTGGTTCGCCAGAAGCGGCTTAGTCATGCTGGCCACATGACCTGGAAGCTGTACACTGGCTCCCTCAGCCAATAAAGCGAGATGAGCGCCGCAACCCCAGAGTCGGCCACGACTGGACCTAATGGTCAGGGGTCCCTTTACCTTTACCTTTACCTTTTTATCCCTCACAAATAACCCAGAGATGCATTTTAAATAAAAGGACACATTCTACTCATGTAAAAGCATGCTGATTCCTGGACCGTCTGCGGGCCAGATTTAGAAGGCGATTGGGCCAAATCCGGCCCCCGGGCCTTAGTTTGCCTACCCATGAGTTAGAGTGCCAAAGTAGGACCTGGGAGACAAGGGTTTAAATTCCCACTTGTCTAGGAAGCTCCCTGGGCCAGTGACCTTGAGCCAGCCACTGCCTCTCAGCCTAGCCTGCCTCACAGGGTTGCTGTGGGGATACACTGCGAAGGAAGAGAGCTCTGTGTGTCGCCTCGAGCTCCTCAGAGGAAAAAGTGGGATATAAATGCAAAAACGAACTGTTTCCGCTTCTGGTGGGTCTTCCCCAGAGGCTCCTGGCCTTACCTGCGCAGATGGAGGAGCTCCTGCTGCAGGTGCCTGAGAAGCTGGAGCAGGGACAGCAGGAGAAGTTTGTGCAGGTGCTTGTCCTGCAGGCTGAGGTAGTTGAGGCGGCTGGGCCGGGACGTTGAGCAAAGGGCTTGCCGGCTGCTCCGCTGGCGGAAAGAGCTGCAAATCAGAAAGGACAGGAGATGGGTATGGGAGAATGAGGGGGGCCCACCTGCCAGAAATATCAACGATGAGCTGCTTGTTTGTTGACTTATTCAGGCAATTTCTTTTACCGCCTAATTACAATTGTCCCTAAGCGGTGAACAAGTAACTAAGAGCATTGTGTAAGTAAGTAAGTAAGTAAGTAAGTAAGAGCCAGTGGTGGTGTAGTGGTTAGAGTGTCGGACTAGGACCTGGGAGACCAGGGTTCGAGTCCCCACTTGGCCATGAGGCTCACTGGGCCACTGCCTGTCAGCCTAGCCTACCTCACAAGGTTGTTGTTGTGGGGACTGAATGAGGAAAACCCCGTATGCTGCCTTTGAGTTCTTTGGAGAGAAAGGTGGGGTATAAATTCAATAAATAAATAAAATTAAATAAATTCAACACAATAACAAATAAAATAAAACAAATCCAACACACTGAAGGTAAAAACCAGCTACGAATTTGTGACCGAATGAAGCAAAGATAACTCAATTATTATTCCAAAACGCTTGAACACTGCCAGCCCAAGGAACAAGTGATTTAAAGTTTCTTTACGAGTCCTTGCTGTTTATGTATCAACTCCTTGCTGCTTATAGCAATTCCTACATTCCTACATTTAATGCATTAGTATGCATTAGTATGCTATACTGGCCAAATCCACAGCCCTCTTGGGCTTATGCCTACAAGGCAGAAGATGCTTCCATCTTCCTCGTCTCCCTTTTTGGATTTGGATTTGAAGAGTTTGGATTTGATATCCCGCTTTATCACTACCCGAAGGAGTCTCAAAGCGGCTAACATTCTCCTTTCCCTTCCTCCCCCACAACAAACACTCTGTGAGGTGAGTGGGGCTGAGAAACTTCAGAGAAGTGTGACTAGCCCAAGGTCAGCCAGCAGCTGCATGTGGAGGAGCAGGGAATCGAACCCAGTTCACCAGATTACGAATCTACCGCTCTTAACCACTACGCCACACTGGCTCTCAGGAGCCTTTCCCCTTTTTTCCAGAAGGGATTTCCGTCCTCCCATTGGAAGGGAAAAATACATTCGCCAGCCCATTGTGCCACACTCCCCCACCCTGAGCACTTGCCAGTGGGATTAAGTGCCACAATTTATTACTGTCTTACATTCACACCACACCATTCCTGTGTCACGGGACCCAAGGCGGTGTGGTTCACTGGCACTCACACATCCAGGCACCTACACCCAGACCTGCTTCAGCTTCCACATGCTGGTCGCTTTCCATGAACCTTCAGAACATGCTCTGGATTTTGTTACGAATCATAATTTAAAAATGCCAATATTTTAACTGGCTTCAGCAGTTATCATTCCATTACTTAAAAGTAGAGATTAGTTTGCAAAAATCACACGTTGCGTGTATCTTTGTATATAAAATGCTGCCTGGCAATTGCTTCAAGCTAGCAACACTTATTTTATTGTCCTGAAGCGCGGCCGCCCCACTTTTTAAGCCAGCATAAGTCAGTCTGTAGGTCAGCGCTCTCTTAACAGAGAGCTAAAACATTACCTTAATTGTTACTATTATTTGTGTGCGTATAATGAACTTGGCACTTCTCAAAACAGAAGACAGGCCGGTGCTTCAAGATGCATGACTGGTTAATAACTCACCTCGGAATTTTGTGATGATTCTTTCACTCTGGGCGACTAAAAGGGGAAGAAACAGACAAGTGCAATTAGCATGCAACGCCACAACGGATGTCGTGCCCTTGAAACACGGTGAAAACGGCAGCTTTTGGCACAATTTCATTTTAATGTGTTCCAAGTCTAACTGCGGGCAGTAATTCTTAGATCCCAGAAGATCTTTGAAACAGAGGAGCTCAGAGGTCTTAAGGTGGTGAGGCTGTTGCAGCAGGGGTGTCAAAATGGTTTACCATTTGTTTTTAATAAATAACAGGAGTTCATTCTGTTTGAAATGCTTACTCAACAGCCTTTCTCCTGCAAAGCATTGGCAATGGCTATGAAGACTTAAATGGGAGATGGCTCTTTCGAAGAGAGAGATTCTCCTGTCCTTAGAGATGGGGCATGCATCTCCCCATATGTTGCCCGAGTTCATCTTCTGATAGCCACAGTCAGTGTGCAGAACAGTCAGGACTGATGGGAAATATGGAGATTCCTTGTTTTTTTATGATTTATGTAAGATATACCTCTGTAAAATTTTAAATTGAAAAACCAAATAAATAAATAATTTTTATTTGCCGTATTTTTTGCTCTATAAGACTCACTTTTTGCCTCCTAAAAAGTAAGGGGAAATGTGTGTGCGTCTTATGGAGCAAATGCAGGCTGCGAGGCTATCACAGAAGCCAGAACAGCAAGAGGGATTGCTGCTTTCACTGCGCAGGGATCCCTCTTGCTGTTCTGGCTTCTGAGATTCAGAATATTTCTTTTCTTGTTTTCCTTCTCCAAAAACTAGGTGCAGCTTGTGGTCTTGTGCATCTTATAGAGCGAAAGATATGGTATTTGTATTTTTTTACTGGGAAACCGTCTTGCAATCCCATCAATGCATTAACTGCACCCTTAAAACAGCTTTCGCAACAGAGACTGTCTTTCAATTCCGGGGCTAATTTTAAGAGGCAAACGGTGACTCTTGGTGCCCACCCTGAGCTGTGAAATTGCCGCTTTGCCTTCTTCGCTCTCTTCGTCAAGCTCATCGTCACTCCACTCCCAGTCGCCATCTTCCGTCTTATGAAGGCGCCCACTGGAGCCAGGGACTCTTCGGACCTGTATTTCAACAAAGCCACCATTAAAGTCACCGATAGAATTTCATACAGAGAATTCTAGCGTGGCCTTTCTAGTGCAACCAGAGAGCTGGTCAATGGAAAATTTAAGAAGTGCGGTGTGCAGATTCCCACTTCAAACTGTTTTAACTTGTACCTTTTTGGCTCTTTCCGTGATGGTTGGGGCTCTCTGCAGCATTTTTTCTTGCAAAAATTCTTTATTCTGGAAAAGAAATGGAGGGGAATAAAATCGACACTTTGCGACTCCTGTTCCTCAAAGGCCACCGTTTGGCTCAAGCTTCATTGCTTATGTGTGTGAGAGAGAGATAAGCTCTCGAGTTACTTGAAAGGGAACGAGAAGGTCCTTTGATACAAGTGTTGGAAAGCCAACACGTTAGATTCTTCCTAAGAGTAGTCCGTGCCACACTCCTTAGAAATTATCCTGAGGCGGTAGCAGAGAGGAGTGTGCGTCAAGGTTTCAACTTCACCACAAGAGTTTTCAAAATCCATACGCAGCTGCCAGGAGACTGCAGGCCTCCCCCTGCCTTAAAATGCCTGAACTCATTGTGTCTTGTCTGCAGGGACATTTGTTCTGACATAAACCTCCTAGCTCAGGGGTAGGCAAACTAAGGCCCGGGGGCCAGATGCGGCCCAATCGCCTTCTCAATCCGGCCCGCGGACGGTCCGAGAATCAGCATGTTTTTACATGAGTAGAATGTGTCCATTTAATATGCATCTCTGGGTTATTTGTGGGGCCGGCCTGGTGTTTTTACCTGAGCAGAATGTGTGCTTTTATTTAAAATGCATCTCTGGGTTATTTGTGGGGCATAGGAATTCATTCATATATATATATTTCAAAATATAGTCCAGGCCACCACATGGTCTGAGGGACAGTGGACTGGCCCACGGCTGAAAAAGGTTGCTGACCCTTGTCCTAGCTCTTTGCAAACTGTGGGAGAATTCTTGCTTCTGTATGTGAAGCAAAACCTAGTGAGGCCTGGAGCAAGGTCTCCTCTGCCCTGACACCACAATTTCCAAGGTAGCCCCATTCTGCCTCACAACATTACTAGCCTTCAGGTGAAAATACTTCCCCCATTTCTAAATTCTGCACTGTTGACTTCATACATTTTTCTGTGTTGTACAGGAACAGACCTGGTAACTGTTTTGATATTCCTATTTGGGTTACTTCATTTTGAATAAGTGTAAATTGCCTTGAGTGTAAGTCTCAATCAAAGCCAAAAGAAAATCAGCCAGATTTGCCAACAGATTCCAGCTCAGTAGTTTCATAATCAAGGCATTCTGACTTCTGCACCAGGAAAGGCCTAATGCAGAAGTTTTCAACATTTCAGACTTATCTTAAACATTCATTTGGGCTCCCATTTCTCTCCCCCCCCAAAAAAATTTATTTTTATGGTGCTAATGCTGCTGGCGTGACCCACTTTAGATCAGGCCACAACTCAGCAGTGAGTCCCGGAAGATCTTAAGGCAGACGGAATTCCGCTGGTGAATAAAACCAAGAAGGAATCTCTGCTGCAATGAGCTCTTATTACCTGCACACCAGTAAACTGCTCCTCTCGTCAAATATATTATTTATTGATTATTTGTTCATTTATTTAAAAGGTCAAGCTAAGTTCCTACCTTTGCTTTCTGGAAAAATTTGTGCCTTAAAAGTTCAGCAGCTGTTGGTCTATTAAAAAAAAGAAAAAGAGGGTGTCATTAGAAGACGTCACAAGAGTTGCTTTTTCTTGGCTGCGCCAAATCAAGATTGTAGGAATCCTTAAAGAGCTGGGCGCCATCTCTGATGGAAGAGGCCAAATTGGATTATGGCAGAGACTGCTGTTTCCTTCTGATGTGTACATCTTAGTTCAGATGTTGACAATATTAACAGAAGCTCCTAAGATCTGGACTCAGTGAGCTTTGCTAAGGGGATGGGTATGTAACTGGAACCCACTGACCACAAACAAGTCTGCAGTGGCTGAATTAAAAGTAAGAAGAAAAATGTGCATTAAAAATTAGAAATACTGTAGAAAATTGCTTTTCTGCATTCTTTGCATTACAGTGGTACCTCGGGTTACATACACTTCAGGTTACATACGCTTCAGGTTACAGACTCCGCTAACCCAGAAATAGTACCTTGGGTTAAGAACTTTGCTTCAGGATGAGAACAGAAATCGTGCTCCGGCGGCGCGGCAGCAGCAGGAGGCCCCATTAGCTAAAGTGGTGCTTCAGGTTAAGAACAGTTTCAGGTTAAGAACGGACCTCTGGAATGAATTAAGTGCTTAACCCGAGGTACCACTGTACTGTGTCTCCCACTCTCACAAGCTTTCATCAAGCAATGCTGGTTCACAATGGGTGGAAACAAGACGGTTTGCCACACACCTTTTTTCGGGGTCTTTTTGCAAGCACAGTGAAATCATCTTCCTAAAAGACTTTCCATACTTCTTCAGCATCTCCTTATCCTGCACACCTGTCTCCAGCGAGGGCGGATCGTTCTGTAGCGTCAACATTAGGACCTGAAACAATTGCACCTGTTAGAAGCACCAAGACAAACCTCAAGCTCATTTAGCAGGCACTGTCACTTTGAAAAAGATGCCATGGCCTCTTTGAGCAAAAGGAAGGTGGCAAGTAGCCTATAGCCTTCAGCAGACAAACAAGGTAAGCAAAAGGTTGTGGAAGAATAGGTACATTAAAAAAAAAAAGACTTGCTGGATTCTGCTGGGGTGATGTCTAGTTCAGCATCCCAATTCCCAAACCACTGAGGGGTTATTCTGGAAAATCTCCAGGGAGGCTTGAAAGCAACTGCCCTCCTCAGCTCCAGCATCTGGAGTGAGCAGCTGGAATGACTTCCTTAATTTATAATTTAGCACCCAAAACGTCTATCCGGTAGTTTCCAAAAAGAGAAGGTCCCAGCTCAAAATGCCTGGCAACTTAAAAATACAGTGGTGCCTCGCAAGACGAAATTAATCCGTTCTGCGAGTCTCTTCGTCTTGCGGTTTTTTCGTCTTGCGAAGCACGGCTATTAGCGGCTTAGCGGCTATTAACGGCTTAGCGGCTTTAAGAAAAAGGAAACAAACTCGCCAGAACTCGCAAGACGTTTCGTCTTGCGAAGCAAGCCCATAGGGAAATTCGTCTTGCGGAACGACTCAAAAAACGGAAAACTCTTTCGTCTGGCGAGTTTTTCGTCTTGCGAGGCATTCGTCTTGCGGGGCACCACTGTAAACTGCAATTAGATGAACACGTTTGGGATTAAAGCTTTCCCCCCCCCCCCCCTGCTTTTTTATAGGAATAATGCTTTTGGAAAGAAAAAAAGACATAGGGAAAAAACACACAAAGTGTTAAGGACGGGGAAACCAGTTCAGCCAGGTGAAACCACAACATCAGACATCAGTGATGGAATTAGGGGGTGCTCCTGCTAACGTTACTGTAGTTCACTTTGTTTTGCCTTCTTAGTTTGGTCAAAAGCCTCAGTTGGTCGAGGGTTTGAGGACTACTGCAAGCTTTTGGCGTAAAAGCTAGGTCACCTCCTGCTTTTAAATTGTTTGATTTTATAGTTTTCTCTTAATTGTGAATAGGGCTGTATCGTTCCTAAAGCTCGCTGCTTTAAGGGTTTCCTGAAGGTCAAAAAGCAGCGTATAAATTGAAATATTAATGATTGCATTAATTATTGAGGCAAGAATTCTAGATGCAGCCGGGGAGGGACCATTTGGAGATGCTGGATAAAAGAAGGAAGGTTTGAAGAAAAGGAAAGAGGGAGGGGTTGCGGAAGAGTCTACATGGGAATCCAGTGAGAAATCAAGGACTTGCTTGGCATGGGGAGTAGATTCAGAAGGGTTGAGCTGCTGAGTGTCTCAAAAGCAAGTGATGATGATGATGATGATAACAATAATAAATTATTTATACCCCGCCCATCTGGCTGGATTTCCCCAGCCACTCTGGGCGGCTTCCAACAAAGTATTAAAATACAGTGGTCTGTTAAACTTTAAAAGCTTCCCTAAAGAGGGCTGCCTTCAGATGTCTTCTAAAAGTCAGACAGTCGTTTATTTCCTTGACATCTGGTGGGAGGTCATTCCACAGGGCGGGTGCCACCACCAAGAAGGCCCTCTGCCTGGTTCCCTGTAACCTGGCTTCTCGCAGTGAGGGAACCGCCAGAAGGCCCTCAGTGCTGGACCTCAGTGTCCGGGCAGAAGGATGTGGGTGGAGATGCTCCTTCAGGTATACTGGGCCGAGGCCGTTTAGGGCTTTAAAGGTCAGCACCAACACTATGAATTGTGCTCGGAAACGTACTGGGAGCCAATGTAGATCTTTCAAGAAGAGAAGATCAGCAGCAGCCAGGCAATTTTTTCAGGAATTTGACCCACCATCACAAATCTTCTCATTGAGGGACCCCAGATTAGTTTCTGGGAAACCTCGGGGCTTTCTCTTGGTAAAGCACAGTTCCAAGGTATGTGTGCAGTGACGCTGGCTCTGCATTCTGATAATACAGCGTTGCTTCGTGCTTGCCAACTTCCTTCCACATTGACAAAACTCAGGCTTCCAAAGCTATCCCCACTGCTACCCCTTCAGGTTATCGCTTACTTCCAGAAGCAGCACGTTCTAGGATGCTGGGTTTTTTGGGGGGTGGGGAACACAGGTGATTCCTAGGAACCAACACAGTTATCTGAACTAGTCAATCAGCGACTCACCTTCATGGGTGGGTATTTGTGGTAAGGAGCTGCCCCTGTCGCGAACTCGATTGCCGTGATTCCAAAACTCCAGATGTCCGCCTTGAAATCATAACCTCTCACCTAGAAAGTGAAGAGACGGTTAACAAGGCATTTCTTTCCAGTTAACCTACATAGGCCTCCAGGCTTTTCCTGCATTCTCGGTCACAAAACTGATCCAACTCCATGCTAACGGTAGATTGGAATCATACCTAGAAGCTCTGCTCTGCTATCACCAAACAGAGATAATCCATATCCCAAGAAAGCCGTTTCCTTTCTGGCAATGGGTTATTGCCAGGCATCTTATCCAGAACACTGAGTTTCTCTCCCAACGGCAGAGAAAAGACACTGCGTATTCTATACACTGCAAGAGTTTTGGCCAAACGGGAGGAATTAACTGCCCCTGGACTCGTTGAAAAATTGACATCTTTGCAGATACCATAGGAGTGTGTTGCTTCACTAACTCAGCATTGCTCTGGAAGGAAAAAGCTATTTCTTCCACTAAAAGAGTGGTGGCTTCATATTGTACTATGCAGCTGGAACGGGCAGGTGGGGGGAGCGGAGGGGAGAGAGAGAACTGCCCCAAATATAGAGAAATGATCCCAGATTCTTCTAAAGAAATATTAACGCTGCACCTTCAATGAGCTTCGTATAATAATAATAATTTATTATTTATACCCCGCCCATCTGGATGGGTTTTCCCAGCCACTCTGGGCAGCTTCCAACAAAACATTAAAATACAGTAATTCATCTGATATTAAAAACTTCCCTGAACAGGGCTGCCTTCAGATGTTTTCTAAAAGTCAGATAGTTGTTTATTTCCTTGACATCTGATGGGAGGCTGCCCTACAGGGCAGGCGCCACTACCAAGAAGGACCTCTGCCTGGTTCCCTGTAACTTTGCTTCTCGCAGTGAGGGAACCGCCAGAAGGCCCTCGGAGCTGGACCTCAGTGTCCGGGCTGGACGATGGCGGTGGAGACGCTCCTTCAGATACACAGCACCGAGGCCGTTTAGGGCTTTAAAGGTCAGACCAACACTTTGAATTGTGCTTGGAAACGTATCGTATGCACTTTATCATCTTTATTTCCTTTATTCTCCTAGCTAGCAAGAGCAGTGGTCAGGGATGATGGGAATTGTAGTCCAAAAGCATCTGGAGACTCAAGTTTGGGAAACACTGATCTAGTTTGACCCCCTGCAATGCAGGAACATATAGTTGCCCCTTATGGGGACCGAACCTGCAACCTTGTTGTTTTCAGCACCACGCTCCAGCCAACTGAGCTATCCACTTGTCTGCCAAAAGTCCTTAAGCAGAAGTTGCAGATCAATCATTCTGAACAAGGCTTTTCCCTTTTCTTCCCTACCTGCTCCATGACTTCAGGTGCCATCCAGCAAGGGGTGCCCACGAAGGTTTTCCTCACTTTGTTGCGGGTGATGTCGCCGCCAGTGGCCAAAAAAGCACTAACACCAAAATCTGAAATGTTGAAAAAGAATTACGTTTTAAGGAGGAGTTTCTGAATGACACACGGCACCCCTTGGCCATTTGCACTGTGTGCTTCCCAGCCGTTGCTCTGCTTGATCTGCGAACGGGGCAGAAGAAAATCACAAGTGCTGAGACGTTACCCAGTTGTTAAGTTTGTCAAGCCAAGCATGGCTGGGCCAGGGAACAAATTCATGTCTTTGCTTTAGCCGCATAGTATTGCTATCTGCTCTCAGGCAGTACTCTGGTCTGAAGTGAAACATGGCGACTTGCACACCTATGATAAAAATGTAGGAAGCCAAAACAAACAAACAACCTCTTTTATTGCACTGGCACCCATCTAAAGAAGTACCATAGAATGAACAAGCCACCAACAGAGACAGACAGGATGCACTTTTACCAATTTTAAGGTGGCCAAGATCTGTGAACCAAGCAAGTATTTTAAAACATATCAGATGTCAAGAACTTAAGAAGAACCCTTACTGGATCAGGCCATGCGAATCATTATCAGTTGCAAGAAAAAACACAAGAGTGGCAAATCATTAAACTGTGTGTCAGTGTGAGATGGAGGGAAACCCACCATTTGTGAGTTCAGGAGAATTCAGCTTTGTCAACAAAGGTTTTTGTTTTTAAAAAGGAAAAAAAAAGTTTCCATACCTTATGATTCTGGAGACAGGATTGGAAATATACTGACAATGCCTGAATGAATTATCAAGAGCTGAAGGGCTTGCTGTAAATGCTTTCCAGTGGACAGGGATTGGATTTCAGCACCCAGCACAGCTACTTGCCTCACCCAATGAACAACTGGAATGCAAGTATGCCAGAGAATTCCCACTGATTCTGATAAGTAGCTGAGTGAACTCTCCTTCACTGGAGGTGTTTAAGCAGAGGTTGGATGGCCATCTGTCATGGATGCTTTAGTTGAGATTCCTGCATTTCAGGGGGTTGGACTGGATGACCCCCGGGGACCCCTTCCAATGCTACAATTCCATACGTGCCGCTGCTTATGTAATAGTGTGCGCACACAAACACTCACCACACACTCATCCACACAAAGGAGGCATCAACAGGCTTGGGGGGTGGGGAAAGCCAAGATCTTCAGAAGTACAAAAACATACTTGGAGCTCCACAAAGCAGCCTAATGAGAACTGGCCATGCTCAGCGGCCACAGTATGATATGATATGATATGATATGATATATGATATGATATGATGATATGATATAAAATAAAATAAAATAAATAATAAAATAAAATAAAATAAAATAAAATTTATACCCCGCCCATCTGGCTGGGCTTCCTCAGCCACTCTGGGCAGCTCCCAATCAAGTGTTAAAAACAGTACAGCATTAGATATTAAAAACTTCCCTGAACAGGGCTGCCTTCAGATGTCTTTTAAAGAGAAGATAGCTGCTTATTTCCTTCACATCTGAAAGGAGGGTGTTCCACAGGGTGGGCGCCACTACCGAGAAGGCCCTCTGCCTGGTTCCCTGTAACCTCACTTCTCGTAATGAGGGAACCGCCAGAAGGTCCTCGGCGCTGGACCTCAGCGTCCGGGCAGAACGATGGGGGTGGAGACGCTCCTTCAGGTATACAGGACTGAGGCCGTTTAGGGCTTGAAAGGTCAGCACCAACACTTTGAATTGTGCTCGGAAATGTACTGGGAGCCAATGCAGATCTGTCAGGACCGGTGTTATGTGGTCCTGGCGGCCACTCCCAGTCACCAGTCTAGCTGCCGCATTCTGGATTAATTGCAGTTTCCGGGTCACCTTCAAAGGTAGCCCCACATAGAGCGCATTGCAGTAGTCCAAGCGGGAGATAACTAGAGCATGCACCACTCTGGCGAGACCGTCCACGGGCAGGTAGGGTCTCAGCCTGCGTACCAGATGGAGCTGGTAGACAGCCACCCTGGACACAGAATTAATCTGCACCTCCATGGACAGCTGTGAGTCCAAAATGACTCCCAGGCTGCGTACCTGGTCCTTCAGGGCACAGTTACCCCATTCAGGTAATGATGACTGAATGGTTGGGGTGAGGGGGGCAGAAATCAGAACAGATGGAATCCTGAACCGGGAGCACTTCGCACTGCAACATTTTGTTGCAGCCCCCATCTCATGATTCCGAAATCCCTATCGGAAGCAGTAAGGGGAAGTTTGCGCGCTTGCATGTTTGCAGAGGTGGCAAAAATCCAAAGCTTTTACTTGGTGAAAGCAGGATGTTGAAACTGAGTTTGGGGCACATGGTACTAACAGCCCTGGCAATAATGCCAGGACCCTACAGACCCTCAGATCCCACCCCTTAGTGTCACCCCAGAAACCCCACATCATCCGGTCACAAGATTTTAGCACTGTTGCTCCTCTGATTACGCACAGATTTATGAATCTTCTATTGTTTCTAAGAACAAAGAGAGGGGGAGGAGTCAGATATCTTGTTCCGAGACAAATCTGCCTTGCATGGAATGCATGCATTTTAAGCAGCCACACATCACAACTGCTGCATACTAATTATCCTGTCATACTTCTTTACAGCCAGTTGCAGGATCAAAGAGAGGGCAAGTTTTACAAAGTATTTCCAAACCAAGCGGAAATGCGGCAGAATACTGCGGTGTCACATTCAGCCGCAAAGGAGAGGGTGTAACCCAGGAAGTGGGTCCTCTCAGCCCCGGCTGGCGATGTGGGGACTTCCTGCGTGCGTGGAAAAGCAGCTGGCCAGAGTCAGGCCTTTCCCCTTGACCTTGCTAGGCAGATTCTCTCTCTGGTTTAGGCCACGTTCTGCCTGAGCCACTAAAAAGCTAACACACTACATTATGAACCCCTAATTGGGGTTCCACATTTCTGTTCACTCCCCAGGAGAACTGCAGCCTTCCGTTCATGGAGCTACAATGGTAAACGTCATAAAATCAGCCATGAGAAGCCCATCTTTGTAATGTTAAAAGAAAAAGGAAACCGCCAGAGGTTCACCAGCGACATTTGCAGCTACTCGGCTCTCTAGATGCCCACTCCCAAATCTACCATACAAAGTTCTCGTCGTTTAGCAGACGTCTCACTACAATGAATGGATCTGCTGTTGTGGATGCTACAAGCAAAACTGTCAAGGAGAGAAGTCGATGCTTTGCAGAGAATCCCCCCTCAATTAAGTATTATGCAAGAAGTCTTTTTATAGGAAATAATTAACTCACTTCTCCCTGAAGTGTGGACTTGCATTCACAGGGATGTCTTCAACGCAGAAGAGTTTCCTAATATTTGCACATTTGAACTGTCTAAACGTAAGATCACTTTGACAGCACAAGTAATCAACTTTTATTCCAGAGGGAGGAAACATACAATTTAAAACAGTTCGTCTCGAATGCCTGAGACAGCTTGTCAATCCAGTAACTCACAGGAACAAAGAAAGCTAACACACAGAGTCAGACTATTGGCCCATCCAGATCAGGGCCATCTACACTGACAGGCTACACCTCTCCAGGGTTTCAGGCAGCAGACATTCCCATCCTGTATACCTGCTTCTGAATTGCCACCGAGAAGGAAAATCTGTTGCAAAAGCAATATATCCTTGGAAAAGAGCTGAAGAAACTCAATCTGTAGAAGATTGGGCAGTTCCAAGAGTAGAAGTCATAATTTACATCGTCGGATGCATTTTTTATGTTGAAGTTGCCTGGTGCCGTCTTTGCACAAGACAGCCTTCTACGTTTATGTAGCCCCTCTCGGAGGGCCTGCCAGTAGTGGAATCTTGTGCATTCTTTATTTCTGGGGATCCACAGATGTCTTTCAACCATGATGGTCAATGGGAACACACAGGCTGTGGGTCTTGAAGGCAGTAGCAAGATACCAGCATCTTATGATCTGTGTCCTAAGCATTTTGCCAAGGGATGGGAAATCAAGTCGCAGACCAGAGTCCATTGCCCCATCAAGGAGAGCTTAGCTTATGTTCTACAGCTAACCTATCTTCGGCCTACCACTCCTTTAGACCCCTAGGTATGTAGCCAAGAGGCTTCGCTCTGAATTAAAATGTCCCATCACAAACAGTAACTTTGGAAAACCCAAAGGTTGTGTTCAAATCCTCTGCAGAGACACATGCAATATGGTGCCTGCCATACTGACATCTTTAAACTGAAGGATGCTCTAAAATAGGATTGGGGAGCCTCTGGCCCTCCAGAGGTTGCCTCATCACCCGTTTATTGGCTATGTTTGCTGGGATGATGGGAGTTGGAGCCCTAACAACCTCTGGAGGTCTGCAGAGGTTGGATGGCCATCTGTCACTGATGCTTCAGCTGAGATTCCTCCATTGCAGGGGGTCAGACTAGATGACCCTTGGGATCCCTTCCAATTCTACAGTTCTATGATTCCATAATCCTACACTAACCCCCTCACCTGCTCTTTGTGTGAACAAGCCTATAACTATACTTAGTTCCATAGTTTTGTGTATTCAGACAGAAACACAATTCATGCTAAATGAATTTTGCAACCAGTATGAACAAATGTCCATACTCTTTACTCTTTTTTTTTTTTACTGCTGACATACATTATCTTTGCAGCCATGAAATGCAAATAAATAAATAATTCAAAAATGGGGGCGAAAAGGAGAAAAATAATCAGGACTGAATTCTGTGGCTTTTCTGAGCTTAGGCTCTATTGTGGCACTCGCACAGCTGTTTAATCCAACACAAACAGACCCTTCAGTAGGTTCCGCCTTTATCCAAATACAACATGAATGGGGCACATGACTGTTTTAGATAAGATTATCAAAGGACGTGGGTAAGGACAGGGTTATTAACTCTCAACACAAAGACCCTTCTAGGGCATAGGCAATAGATTTCCGGTCAAAGCATCATTAAGGATTCAGGAGGTTGCTTAAAAGGCAAATCTAGTTGCTTGTACAATCATTTTGATATTGAGATGATCTCACACAGCTAAGTGATTCTGGAAGAGGATGAAACAAAGAGGCAGGCAGCCTTAATTTATACTGCAGCCAGTGCCCACTGAGTGTAAATTGATAAACCTCTGCAGATAAAAGGCGGGGGAAGCAAAACGCCCCCATTCAGAAAAATCCTTGAAAGAGCTCTGTTGTAATAAACCACAGAAGGTCCATAGACTGGGGGATCAAAGAGGTGCAAGACAAAGCCTTGGTTCATACGCACCCCCAAAAATCCCTGCAATGACAGGAGCCTTCCTTTCCTTTACTGAAATTCTATGGAGAGGAGGACCTCCCACCCAAATCTTTCAACACTGGAAACCAGGCAATGCAAGAAAGTTTTTGGGACCAGCTCTTTTTCATTTCTCTTCCCCTTGCCTCCCAAGCCAATGTTTACTGGCAAGAACTCAAAAAAACCTCTTGCCAGACAAGGTGAGCAAAGGGGGATCCGAGGAGGGAGATTCTGACACAGGCAGCGTAGACAGAGCAAGGGAAGGCTGGCAGCAAGGGTCTTCGCCTGACAAAACTGGACGGACCCAAACTGCTCTCGACAAGGCTTCCTAGACAACAGCAGAATCGGACAGCAAGCAAGCCACTTCAGATTTTGCAGTTCGAGGGTGTGACGGCAAAGCAAGAGTGGGAAAATGTTTTCGGTCCAAAGGCCACATTCCCTTCCGGGGGCCACATCCCAGTGGTGGGCAGGGCTATGGGAAAAGTGGGCGCAGCAGCAAATTTTCATTGTTACCCTAACATGGTAGGCTAGTTTCTACATACAATCAACACACCTCTCCGTACCCTTCATCCAGGAGAGCAAGGGGCATTACTGAAGTTCAAGGACACATTCCAGTCAGGGGAAAATATTTGAGGTGTGAAGGACAGCCTGTGTGGGGCGCAGCCTGGGGAGACTTCCCAAGGGCCAGACAGAGGCAATGGAGGGCCACATTCAGACTCCAGGTCGAGAGGGTCCCCACCCCTGGTTCACCCTAACAAAGCTGCTCCACGCCCACCTTTGACAACCAACTCTTGGGGTGGGAGGGGCTTATGCAATGCCCTTAAGGGTTGGGCATGATGTGTCCACCCACCCACCCACACCCCACTGAGTCCCCGTGTTGGAGGGGGAACCAGACACCTATGGCACATTGTTTCCCCCTTCCTCCCCATGCCACCGTCTTCAGGGTCATAGAATCATAGAGCTGGAAGGGACAGTTTTTAAGCTGTTTTTATTATATTTTGTACATCACCTTAGGACATAATGTGGAAGGCGATTAACAACCAATTAATTATAGTGGAGCTACAAGTTAAGAGTTGGAAGGGACCCTGAGAGTCATCTAGTCCAACCCTCTGCAATGCAGGAATCTCAGCTAAAGCATCCATGACAGATGGCCATCCAACCTCTGCTTGAAAACCTCCAAGGAAGGAGAGTCCACAACCTCCCAGGGGAGTCCATTCCACTGTCAAACTGCTCTTACTGTCAGAAAGTTATTCCTGATGTTTAGTTGGAATCTCCTTTTTTGTAACTTGAAGCCATTGGTTTGTGTCCTACCCTCCAGAGCAAGAGAAAACAAGCTTGTTCCCTCTTCCATGTGATATTGAAAGATGGTTGTCCTCAGGGTCCTCTCTCTGGCATGGAAGCAGAGAGCAAACCACATGGCAAATAATAACAATTATAATAATCATAATCATAAAAAGGTTCACCTGCAATCTGGACCGAGCCATCTTCTCCTAGAAGGATGTTTCCAGCTTTCACGTCCCTTTTGAGAAGAGGAAGAGACAAAACAAAAAGATATACACTGTGAGTACAAGCGGTGAAGTGCCTCTCCATTCTCTTCTGCCACACTCTGCTTCATGATCCAAACATTATCTTCTCAATGCAAAAGGCCATTGCTGAGGCTGTAAATACTCAAATTAAAGTTCCACCCAGAGAGAGAGAGAGAGAGAGACCTAAATTTGGCAAACCTGTGAAAATTATGGAAAGCACGTGCAACTAGTTTACTTATCTGATAAGGTCTGTTCTGCTTATAGCTCAGCAAATACAGTGGTACCTTGGGTTAAGAACTTAATTCGTTCCAGAGGTCCGTTCTTAACCTGAAACTGTTCTTAATCTGAGGTACCACTTTAGCTAATGGGGCCTCTCGCTGCCGCCACGCCGCAGCCACGCAATTTCTGTTCTCATCCTGAAGCAAAGTTCTTAACCCGAGGTACTATTTCTGGGTTAGGATAGTCTGTAACCTGAAGCATCTGTAACATGAAGCGTCTGTTAACCTGAGGTACCACTGTACTGCTCACCTGATTTATATGAAATAAGGTTGCCCCCCTGCCCTATAGGCATAAAACCACTGAGCCCCATTTCCCCAGTCCCCTGTGGCTCTGCAGCCCCTTCGGGGGCAAGGAAATATGCCTCCTTCCAAACTTTCACCACCTTCCAAACTTTCATCACCTGGATAGCTGCATCAGAAGCCCTCAGTTGAAAACCGTGCTCCAGAGGCCAGCCTATCTCAACTTTGGGTCCCTGGAGGTTGTTGGTCTACAACTCTCATCAGCCCCAGCCAGCATAGCCCAATGGTCAGAGGTGACGGGGCATCTGAGGTCCTATCTTTGGGGAAGACTGCTCTAGGTCAAGGGCTACCCAATACAGTGGTACCTCGGGTTACAGACGCTTCAGGTTACAGATTCTCCTAACCAGAAATAGTACCTCGGGTTAAGAACTTTGCTTCAGGATGAGAACAGAAATCGCGCTGCGGCAGCGCGGGGCCACATTAGGTAAACTGGTACCTCAGGTTAAGAACAGTTTCAGGTTAAGAACAGACCTCCAGAACAAATTAAGTTCTTAACCCGAGGTAACACTATATAGCATCATCTAGTTGCTGATAGACTCCAACTCCCATCGTTTGTCTCTGCTTCCCTGTCCTAACTGAGGTGTTTTTTCTCCTGAGATCAAGCAGGTATGGCCGTTGGAGCAGAGACCTGTCTTCATGCATGCCTGATAATCATGTATCCATTCGTTCACATTCACAAAAGTTTAATTAATTTTCATAAATATTTTTGCCCCACCTTTAAAAAGAAAAAAACCCAAGGCGGCATAGGAAAACAAACAAACAAATGGAAAGTGCGTAGAATCTACCCCACCAGTCAAACACACTTTAGGATTAAATACACAAGCAACCATGACATTCATTTGATTTTGATCTGGAATTATGCTGCAAAGCTCAAGAAGCTGGTTTCTTGCAGAACTCTAACCGCTGAATGCTACTTTTGTGAGCTCAGCGAAACCGTCTTACGCAGAGAGAAACAGCTGGTCCAACTTTAGCAACCCGGCACCCTCCAGATGTTTCCAGCTACAAGTCCCATCAACTTGCTGGTGGGAAGCATAGCTCAAAACATCTGCAGGGCCCCGGGAAGGTGGGAGCTGGGATAGTTCTGCGCCATCTCCTGTGACTTCTCCTCTAGCAATCCTGTGCAGTGTTCGAAATTCGCCAGGTGCATTTTGCACCTGGCTATTGGCCACTTGCGACCATGTGAAGATGCCTGGGTGCCTGGATGGTGCCGGATGACTCCACCAGGGGTCAGCAAACTTTTTCAGCAGGGGGCCAATCCAATGTCCCTCAGACCTTGTGGGGGTCCGGACTTTTTATTTTATTTTTTTAAATGAACAAATTCCTATGCCCCACAAATAACCCAGAGATGCATTTTAAATAAAAGGACACATTCTACTCATATAAAAACACGCTGATTCCCGGACCGTCCGTGGGCCGGATTTAGAAGCCAACTGGGCCGGATCCGGCCCCCGGGCCTTAGTTTGCCTACCCATCGTCTCCACCATCTGGAGGTGCCTGCCTGGGAATTATTGGATCTTGAAAAGCAACACATGCTGGTCATTATATTTAATCTATGCAATCATAATGAATTGCAGGACTAAAAAGTCATATTGAAAAATACAGCTTCCAAGCCACCTGGCCCCAAAATCGCAACTAGGCATTCCGTTTTAGTGACTGTAACCCTGGTTTAAGGAGCCATTTGGCACCAAGCTTATATATCTGAGTTTCTAACACTGATCCCAGAATCCCAAAATGCCTTCTTGCTCATTTGGATGCAAAGCCGATGAAATGTCCAGCCTTCCCACCATGGGTTTAAAGACGCATTTATGGCCAACGTAATGCCAAAAGAGCTTCCAGAACTTGCAGCAAAACTCACTGTGTACAAATTAAACGACGCAAACCACACTCCAACAAGCTTTTTTAAAATAAAAAACACATGAACCAGCTTGCTTAATATTACACAGAAGGAAACTTCATTGTATCTCTTTGTCCGCGGCCCATCTATTTACTTCCAGCAAGTGCCAAAGAGTAGCAAAAGCTTTTGTCCTCAGAATAATGGCTCTATTATTTGTTTTCATTTTGTTTCATAACCCAGGGAGAGGGGGAGAACTTGGTTCCTCTCCAGAACAAAAGGGAATTTCCATTGAACGCTTCAGAATTCTTGAGGGAGCACCAGTGATGTCCCAGTTCACCACAAATCTTCCCTAAGAGGTGAAGACACCCATCTTCAAAACTTTGGAACCACTATTCGCTTTTCCCCCAGCATGGCATACTGGCTGCAGGGGTTGTTTTTAATTACTGGTACAATTTATCACAACCAATTTTGAATGTTGCTTAATGGTGTGTTGACTTTTATCATCTTCTCTGCTGTTTTACTTTATTATTATTATTATTTCTAAGTTTGTTTCGTGTTTCCCTGCATTGTAACAAACAACTTTTGGTGCTTCTTATTGCAGATGGATTTTGTTTTGCTTTTCGTGATGTGTAAACGACGCTTACAGTGTGCAAATATTTTAATGAGGAAATCGAGCCGGACCCTAACTAATGGCTTTGTTTGAGCTCCAGAATATGAGACCAGAAGTCACAAAGCACCGTCTCTCTCTCTCTCTCTCTCCTTAAGCATTTCCCTAAGACATAAGAAGAGTAAGGTAGGTAGCCGTGTTGGTCTGACACAGTCAATATATAAATATATATAAAAAATGTCCGGTAGCACCTTAAAAAGGTAAATGGACCCCTGACCATTAGGTCCAGTCATGACCGACTCTGGGGTTGTGGCGCACATCTCGCTTTACTGGCCGAGGGAGCTGGCGCACAGCTCCCGGGTCATGTGGCCAGCATGACTAAGCCGCTTCAGGCGAACCAGAGCAGCGCACGGAAACGCCGTTTACCTTCCCACCAGAGCGGTACCTATTTATCTACTTGCACTTTGATGTGCTTTTGAACTGCTAGGTTGGCAGGAGCAGGGACTGAGCAACAGGAGCTCACCCCGTCGCGGGGATTCGAACAGCCAACCTTCTGATCGGCAAGTCCTAGGCTCTGTGGTTTAACCCACAGCGCCACCCGCGTCCCATAAAAAAAGCTTATACCCAGAACAAACTTAGTTGGTCTCTAAGGTGCTACTGGACAATTTTTAATTTTTTTTATATATTTCGACATAAGAAGAGTGTGCTGGATCGGGCCAGCAGGCAATTTAGTCCAGGATCCTGTTTTCACAGCGGTCAATCGGATGTGTAAGTGAAGATGTCCGCAAGCAGGGCCTAAGCACAAGAACGCACTCCCCTTCTGCTTTTTCCGGCAACTGGTGCTCAATAAAAACCCATGTATTCAGCTATAGCCATACCCAAATCAGACTGCAACCAGCCCACTCCACACTTCCAATAAAACCCATTTACTTATTTTCTCCTCTAATCTTGGGGGGAAACAGGGAGAGTGCACTTGGATTCACCAAAAGCACAACACAAATGCAGGACGTCAGTTTTCTTTTTCTTTTTTAATGCTATTTATAGACCAAGGAGAGATAATATGTTCCGCTGCATTCTTAATGGCTGAGTAATTGGCCCCTTCCAACTCCAAACATTACTGCCAAAGTAGCAAAAGCTTGTTAGGCTCTTTCCAATTACAGTAAACCTAGACATACGCCATCCATCTTTCCTGTGCATTGTCTGAGCGCTTAGTACAAATGCACGGCTGTCAAAGTGGGCTAGAGTCATCTGGGCATAATGGCTAATGTATCTGAACTGTAAACTATAAATTTCCAATGGCCTAGCTTTTAATTTGGCCAGAGGAAACGATGCCAAGAATCTATACACAGAAACACACGTTAATTACCGTTATGTGAGAGAGAGAGCATGCTAAAACCAGCTCCTAACACGCTGGGCTGACTATCAGAATATCCGGTTGCACTTCTGTGTGACCACGAGACAGAACTCTGGATGGACATTGGAGCAGATTTGATATATATTTAATATAAATTTTATTAGAGTTTATAAAGAAAAATGCAAAAGATTACTGTCAAATATTTGTTGTTGTTGTTCAAACTAAAACAATCCAGAGGCAAAACAGAGAGAGGGGGAAAACAAAAAAAGAAAGAAAGAGGAAGAGATAAAGAAAAAGGAATTGCAAAGGAATTAAAAGAAAGAAAGTGGAAAAGAGAGAAAAAGAGAGAAAAATGAGAGATAAGTATAGAACTTCCGATTCTTCATCTGTCCACTATATATAAACAGTATTCACTTCATCCACTCCAGTACGACATCTAATAAAGCCACTTTCTATAAACAATTATCTGCAATTCTCAAATCCAAATGTCACTATTTCTTTTTCAGTCTATGAGAGGTTTCTAACCTTTAGCAAATGTTAACAATGACTTTTCTCTTATTAAGCATGTCAATTTCGCCACCCCAGAAGCAGATGTGCTTCTCGACGGCTGGGGTCACTAGTGGCAGGAGCAGCCCTGCCGCCCTCATCACCCCAATGGCGCCTGCATGAACACCCTTTCCCTTCCCCTCACGAATGGCAGCTCTTTATTCCCATGAGGAACAGGAAAGAGCTACACCTGGGGCAGTGTTACAGTGGAGCCAACCCTCCAGCTGAACATTGGCTTCCATGCCACAGACATCCTTTGCCTCTGCGCGTATCCAACCCAAGAGCAACTAACTCGTCACCACACCGATGGGAGACAAGAGTCCAGAGTGGCTGGGGAAACCCAATCAGGTGGGCAGGGTACAAATAATAACATTTTAATTATATCTAGAGCAGGCATGTCCAAAGTCCATTTTGGGGGCCTGATCCGGCCCACCAGTCGGTTTAATTTGGCCCCTGTGGCCAGATTAAACTTTGTCAACTTTGGTTGGCCCTTTGGTCAGCCCTCATGACCCTTCATTTCATCAAATATGGCCCTCTTTGAAAAAAGTTTGGACACCACTGATCTAGAGGAAACCACATGAGCGAGCCTTGCGTTGAGGGTCTCAGCAGATGGCTTTCACATCACCTGCCATTGCAACTGGAAGTGCCAGGGATTGAACCTGCGACCTTCTGAATGAACTGCTCTGACTCTGAGCCATAGCTGTCAACTTTCAGATTTGAAAATAAGGGATCAGCAGCCTCGAAAATAAGGGATCAGCAGCCTCACCTGTCCCGGGGACAGTCTATGGGATATCTAACAATCCGGGATAGCAGTGGGAAGCAGCGGGAAACGGCTCTGGAATAAGAGAATTTCCCGCAAAAAAGGGAAGGTTGACAGCTATGCTCTGAGCTATGGTCTTTCCACAGTCGAAGAGCAAACTTGGTTAGCCTTATCCATAGTTAAGGTCGGTGCCAACGCAGCCCTTATCTGTGAGGTTAAGGCCAAGGGGAGGGTGGAAATCCACTCCCCAAGACAAGAGGGAGCTAGAATCAAATAACCCCATGAACCCTTAAATCCCTTCATCGTGGTTAACAGTGTGGGCTTGCAGCAGCCCCTACATTTCACAAGGGCAAGTGTAAGGCTGTTAACCGGCAACAAGTTTCAATCAATTTTAAGCTGTGGAGGCCTTGAAGCAACACTAATAATAATAATAATAACAATAATAAATTTTATTTATACCCTGCCCTCCCCAGCCAAAACTGGGCTCAGAGTGGCTAACATCAAATATATAACATATTACCATAAAATCAAGCAAGCAATTAAAATACATCCTAAAATCAAATCAGAATCAAAGTGAAATCCAATCAGATGGCAACCCGCAAATTAGAGATGGGGACCTTAAATGCTCACCAGGCCTAACTGTTTATACTGATCTTATATGAGCCTGTGAGAAAAGTTGGGGGGCCACTTTCATGCAAGTTCTTATAAGGAGAGGGGGGGAGCCAGACTGGACCCCGGCCAAAGGCCTGGCGGAACAGCTCCATCTTGCAGGCCCTGTGGAGAGATGTCAAGTCCCACAGGGCCCTGGTCTCTTGCGACAGAGCATTCCACCAGGCCAGGGCCACAGCAGAAAAGGCCCTGGCCCTGGTCGAAGCCAGTCTAATCTCCTTGATGCCCAGGAGACCAAGAGGAGAGGAGAGACCAGGTTCCACATCCTTATGCCAACCTCCCCACTAATCTTTTTTCCTGACCTCCTTGTTCCCACTGGATTTCTCCACTTACAACTCCCCTGAAGCAAAAACCATCTGATGTCGGAAAGAGGATGGGGAAAAGAAAAGAATCGCACAGGATACAATGGTTAACACAAGAGTTGCAGTCCTTGATAGTCTCCATAGCAATTCTGCGGAGAATGGATTTTCCTCTTCTTCAAAATTAAAAACACACACACTCCCAACTGCAGCATCTGTGAGCAATCTTGTCAAAGCATTACTCAGGATCCCAGAAATATGAGTCGGCATCCAACAGGGGAAAAGCCGCGTTCTGTTCCTACGCTTCCGGGGGCCTTGACCAATCTTTTGAGGAATCAAATATTACAGCTGACATTTTTCCAATTTTGCGCAGCTCGGATTTGGAATTTCTGACATGCAAGGAGGAGAGATTGGAGAAAGGAGCGCATTTAAGCAGTGGGAAAATATATATCCCTGCAGGGCTCTTTGGGGGAAAGGGAAGGTTTTTTTAAAAAAACAACAACACACCAAACAATTAAAATAGTATGCATAAATGTCAACACTTTACAACGACAGGAAACTTCATAGAGCAGAATGGAGAGAGAATCGCAATGTCTTGAATTACTCAGATTCTGAAAACAATATTCTCAGGAGGTGTACGTATGCAGTCAGGAAAAGTTTTCCTCTGTCTTCCCTGGGATCACCAGGGATAGCCAGACTTAGGGGAAACAGAAAACAGAAAAGCAGCCCTGTGGGATCAGAACACAGGCCAGCACACAGGGCTGGGAATGCTCCCTGCCCCCAAACCTGCAAAGCTGCTGAGCTGGCAGGGCCAATTGGTCTGACTCTGTGGAAGGCAACATCCTCTTTGCCACTCTGGGAATCTCCAAAGCAGAGCAAGGTGGAAGCAGCCATCCCTAGTGGTCTTCAGCACCCATTAGGCAGAAATACGCTGCCTCTGTCCAAACAGGGCACAAAGCAACTGTACCTAGTCCCAATCCTTTCCAACGTAGCATATGAGCTGATAATTATCACTGCCATGCCTTATGAAGAACACGAAAGCAAGAAAAACACAAGCTTGCAGATGTGCGTCTCCTACGGCCACAAATGTTGATGATGGGCTACATCTCCCATTGCCAGGGCTGGGTGTGCCCAGTGGTAGAAACTCTTGATATATAAGCTAGGCGCCAAACGGCTCATTAAACCAGGGTTACAGTCAGCAAGGGACATGGGTGGCGCTGTGGTCTAAACCACAGAGCCTAGGGCTTGCCGATCGAAAGGCCGGCAGTTCAAATCCCCGCAACGGGGTGAGCTCTTGTTGCCCAGTCCCAGCTCCTGCCCACCTAGCAGTTCGAAAGCACGTCAAAGTGCAAGTAGATAAATACATACCACTCCAGTGGGAAGGTAAACAGCATTTCCGTGCGCTGCTCTGGTTCACCAGAAGCGGCTTAGTCATGCTGGCCACATGACCCGGAAGCTGTCTGCGGACAAACACCAGCTCCCTCGGCCTATAGAGTGAGATTAGCGAGCAACCCCAGAGTCATCCGTGACTGGACCTAATGGTCAGGGGTACCTTTACCTTTACCTTTTACAATCACTAAAATGCCTAGTTGCCATTTTGGGGCCAGGCGGCTTGAAAGTCGTATCTTTCAATACAAATTTTTGGTTCTTGAGATGTGCTCTGATTGTGCAGATAAAATACCACAGACAGAATTCTACAGGGTGTGTTGCTGGTGTGTGAAAACAGGCAAGATCCAAGGATCCCCAGACACACACCTCCAGGTGACGGAGACATCCAGCGCCATCCTGGCGCCTGGCCATGTTCACTTGGTCACAAGTGGCCGATAGCCAGGTGTAAAATGTGCTTGACACCTAGCGAATTTCAAACACTGGGTGCGCCACCAGGGAATGTGTGAAACTGTCCCTCCATGTGAGCCATTTCTAGAGCGGAGAGGCTATTTCACTGCCAAGCACAGCTGGATCCAAGCTACCGAAACAGTTGTAGGACAAGGTGGGGGAGCTGTGGCTGTGTTGTTGGGCTACAGCTTCTGCCGTGCCTGCATGGAACTGATGGGAGCCTGAGTCCAACCACACTAGGAGTCCAACAACATCTGGAGCAGCCACAGGATCCCCCTTTTCTGCTGCAAGAGATTTAGGCCCTGAGTCTACGTTTGCTCACTTTCAATGGTACCCAGGTCAGCTTTCAGAATGTCCCAAGCAAACCTTTATATTTCAGCCATGTCGACCGACTTTAGAGAGCACCTGCGTGTAGCCCCAACAATCCAGCATACCAAAAAGGAAAACCTCCCGAAGCTAAGATGCATTTTTTGAAAACCAAAAACAACAACACACATAGTATTATTGATTCCTCTCCAAGCTTGTCAAAATATTCAGTTACGCAAGAGCTGATCATAAGCTCAAAGGCATCCGAGAGAGAGAGAGAGAGAGAGAGAGAGAACAAGAACTTCCATCCAGTTAAGCTAACCATGACTGGCTTGTCAGAAAGCTATTTAAAAAAAGAAAAAGCAGCACCACCTGAAAGGGCTTAAGTTTCAAACTCTGCCCAGTAACTTCCCAGCAGTTCTCCCATTTGCTTTGGTTACAGATTATAGAGGATCATCCATCAAGCAACTGGACACATGATAATCCATGAACAAATGCAAAGGCAAGTCAAGTGTCCAGAATTGGGAGTGGTGCAAAATATTTAACACATCAACTGACTCTTGTCACTCAGGCCTGGGAGTGGTCTCCTTTTCCCCCTCCTTAGTCACAGAACACACTCCATGGCCTTCAAAGCCTCTAGGATTAACCGCAGTGCAACACACCGCTGGCACACCAGGGCAACCTTTGAAGACCGTGGAGGAGTTTGCAGGTGGTACAAAGTGCATTACCTGGATGCTCCACGGGGATTGCTCACCTGCAGCACTTTACACAGGAACATAGGGTGCTGCCTGCATCTGAGACAGACCTTTGGACCACCTAGGTCAGGACTGCTTACACTGGCTGGCAGCAGTTCTTTGGGGTTTCAAGCAGTGAGTTTTTCCCAGTCCTACCCGGAAATACTGGGGATTGAACCTAGAACTTCCTGCATGCATGGCAGCTTCCCAACTGGGCTTTCTTCCACAGCAAACAAAAGTTCCCAAGCCAAATCTCCCCTAAACCCTTGCCAAAGAAGCTTGGGGGAAATATTGCTCATGGCAAGAAGCCCAGTGTTAAGGAAGAGAGAAGTCACTTGCATCAGATGGTGGGTAATTCTCCCTTATCCTGTTTAGGGCTCGGCAATATATCAATATATCATCCAAACCGGTTTGAAGTCCATATTGTGATTGATTTCATAGTTTTTGACCTGGCAATATATCATGAATCATGATGTGTTTGGGGCTGGGCGATATATCGTCCAAAAACCAGTTTCAAGTCCATATCATATTGGTTTCATAATTTTTGACTGGACAATATAGTGTGAATCATGGTGTGTGGGTGTGGGTGTGTGGGTGTGCTCTGCAAAAATCACAATGTGGGGGAAACCGTGAAGCCAGCCAATGCCTTTACATAGCTCCATCCTTATTTCAGACATTGCAACGTATCCGTATACTGCAGTGTTTAGCTGCTGATATATCGCAATGTTGAAAACCAGGTGTCGCCCAGCCCTACTTTATCTCAGATATGGGGAACTGAACTGGACCAATTGGCCAGGTCCTTGATTCACCCACCCACCGAAGGCCAATTTGGCAGTTGAATGGCAGCAACTGCAAGCCTTTTTGAAGTCCACTTGCAGTTGTGGCTGGAATCCAAATTACACCTGAAAGTGAACTTCAAAGGAGCTCACAGTGACTCCCCTTAAAGATGCCCCGGATGCACTTGCTGACAGCGTCAATCAGCTGGCTGCAACTGACAGCGAGCTTGCAAAGGAACGATCGGGTGCTCGCTTTAAGCTCCTAGTCGTTCCTTTGTAGCCACATCCTTGCCTGCTCAGAATCTGTTGTTGGGTTAGGGGCAGGTGGCCACGGTTTGGGAAAAACAAGCTGGTGGACCAGTTGGACCCAGACTAGGCCTAATTAAACCCACAGGCCCAGCAAGATTTAACTGATTAAATTTGAGGCCGCTCTGAACTTTTACGCATTATTTCATTTGCTGCTGCAGTTTTTGTTGTTGTTCTCTTTTAAATTGAACTACTTTTATTGTGAAAGTCATATGCTATTCTTTGTGACGTGAACCGCCTTGAGAAGGCCAAATAGCCCTCAAAGACAGCAAACAAATACCTAAATTCCTCCCCCCCCCCCTTTTTTTAATACCCTGAACTCCTGTAGGAGGCCCAGCAAGGAACTAGCTAATGCAAGATGCTATAAAGTGTACTGGGTCCTACACACCTACACCTTTAAGCTTGTAGTAGGTAGAACTTATACTTCTCCTGCCCTTGAAGGCTTGAGGGAGGGTAGTGAAACCAGTACATTTTTTAAGAGAGAGAGAAAAAAAAGCAAATATGGCTTAATCTTTGAAAATGTTAAGACAAGAAAGCCACATGTAACCATTTACTGCATAAACTTATATTTTAAAAGAAATCAGAGTGTTTAAATGAACACTCATCTGCAGGGTCTAAATTCTCTCTCTGTCCCTCCCTCTCACACACAAACACGTCAGGTCCCTGCCAATGCACTACTTTAACAGCTTGACCTGTTCTTCCCACCGTCTCCTCTCAAAACATACGATAACTAAGGGGGAAGGCAGGCTCCACTCCAGAAAGACACTCCCTTCTCACTCCGCCAATAAGCTGGGCGCCAAATTTGGTCAGATGTACTAAAGGCATTCGTCCTGCCTCCACGCCATGGCTCTGATGGTACTGGGCTGCTTTTCTGCTAAAGGTGTGAGCTATGACTCAGGCCTTCCACTGCACAGGCCCCGAACAATCGTTTTATTGTGCTAACTTGGATAAGCTGCTTGGAGCTTATTTCTTCCACAAAGTCTTGAAACTCCTCTTCCGATTCAGCTCCACCTCTAAGCAGGCAAGCAGATGCACCCCAAGAACAACGTCTGTTTGGAGCTGGTCCGAAAGGGGGGGGAAAGTCTCTATACGGTGACAGCTGTCTTTGGAGGCACCCGTGCATTGAAAACTTAACACGTAAACCTGGCAATCGTGAATGCAATTGGCAGTACTACTCAGCATGCAAAAAGCTGGGAGAGGGGGAATCCAGAAATGATCAAAAGAATGGCCTGACCAGTGGAAAATGAGAGGGTGGAAACATCTTCAAGTTTCAGAAATGCATTATTTCATAGAATTGCCAGTAATTTGCAATGCAGGTTGTAGTCAGTGGTGGAAAAGGCTGTTGCTCAGTGGGGAGCCACTGCCAGCCAGTGTAGACAGTGCTGATGGACCAGTTCAGCATTTTATTTTATTTTTTAAAAGCAGAGACAATATTAATAAAAATAAGCCTTCAAATTTCAGGAGGGAAGTGTATGAGTGCAGTAAATGGCTGGATATTTTTCGCTCTATAAGACGCACCAGACCACAAGACGCACCTAGTTTTTGGAGGAGGAAAACAAGAACAAAAAAATTCTGACTCTCAGAAGTCAGAACAGCAAGAGGGATTGCTGCGCAGTGAAAGCAGCAATCCCTCTTGCTGTTCTGGCTTCTGGGATAGCTGCGCAGCCTGCATTCGCTCCATAAGACGCACACACATTTCCCCTTACTTTTTAGGAGAGAAAAAGTGAGTCTTATAGAGCAAAAAATACGGTAATTCAAGACCAACAACAAGCAAACGCAAAATGTGTCAGTAGTGCTAAAGTAGGTGCAATGCACAGGGGCACTCCCAAACACTGGGTCCTGTATTCAAATCCCGACTCCGGCTTGCAAGGAGGTTCTGGAGAAAGAGAGTGCATCAAGTTTGCCTCTGCCATGGCTCTTAGCATGTCAGATGAAAACAAATGTGGCCTCATTCACACAAAAGGAACAGACTGGGAGGCACGTTGATCCCACAAGAAGCACAATATAAGACAGCAAGTTATAAATGCAGTAAGAGATCCACCTGTGGATTTGTCCGTTTTTATGCAGGTATTCCAGTCCTTCCAGCACCTCCTTCAGGATCGTGGCTATCACGGGTTCATCCAGCACTCCGCTCTTGTGTTCTCCTTTTGCCACAATGTGTTTAATAACATCCAGAACAGACCCTATATGGAAAAGAAGAAACACGTTAGTAAAATTGGGGGCAGCGCCTGATTACACCACCAGTTATATCAAGATATTCATCCTCTCATTTGCGTCCAGCTTCATGCGGTTGATAGGGAATGGGTGACTCGTAAGCCACCTAATGATATTTGCACCTCACTCAATGAATGCTCTTGAACGCCTTTCGATGGGCTTACCTCTTTGTCCCCAGCACTCAGAGAAAGCCCCCACGGAACAAAGTTCCTGCACAGCTGCCAGTTTGCATTGGCAAGTCCTGTTAAGTTACTTGTCTCATGGCTCAGTTCTAAAACATCAAAGAAACCAAGGAAGCTTTACCTGCAGTTTGGTGTAATTTCTGAACAGATGAACAGCTTGCAGTTAGCTGGGAAGCCGGATTCAGAAACCATGTACGTTGGCAAACTGTGGCCTGTGCCAAGTGTGGTTTGTTCTGTTCAAACATTCTGCCAAGCCAGTGTTCCTGCCATGGCTCTGCCTCCCAATTATTGAATGCTGAATGCAGAAATGGCTGAGAAAGAAGGCAAATAAGCAGCTCCAAACCATGATCTGCCTGTTATATGTGCTCAAACCGTGTTTTGGGTACTGAATGATGGGAGTATACAAACTACTGCTTGCTATATTTTTGCATTGCCTGCATTTGGACATTTGAGTTTAACTATGGTTTAGCCTTGTAAGTATGATCCCAGCACAGGTGTGCGTACACACCCATGTGTGAGAGCAAGGATATTAAACTATGGTTTGGATATAATGCTAAACCATAGCTTAGCTTTCCCTTGGATTGTAGTGGCTGGACCACACTATCGAAAGAGTAAAAGGAGCAAGGAAAGGTTGTTAGAAAGGAAAGCGGGGTGGGGAACTTGTGGCTCTCCAGCTATTATGGGATTCTCAGCTCCCATCAGCTGAACCTAGCACAGCTCATGGGCAGGTATTTTTGGAACTGGGTATCCCACAATACCTGCAGAAGCACCAGTTCTGCAGCCCTTGAAATAAAGTATCTTGCATGAGACATTTAAGCAGGTAGAATTAGGGCTGAGCTACCAGTTCTGCCCAGCACCTCCCATCTCTCTTTCTCTCTCTCTCTCTCACTTGAATGCAACTTGTGTGACGATGCTACTAAATCAAAGTGTCGGCAACAGTAATTTGTGGAAAGGATTTAGGAAATCCAGCCACCATCCCCAAAGTGTGCCAAGAGCTGGTCCTAATCTAGCTTTTAAAATATATATATTTAAAAAGGTCAATAAAAAACCTTAGGGTGCTTACAGGCCTCAGATATTGAAGCAGCAATTTAATTTGGAATAAAAGTTACAGAGAGTTCATTGTGCTTAGCCTGGGGATTAACGTTTCACGGTGGGGGAGACTGCCTGCCCAGGCTTGTTTCGGGGAGTTTCAAAAGCCTAGAATCCTTAAGACTTACCCCCATTGAAAATTAAGTTTAAACAGTATTTATTTTGGATTGCCGATTAATCCAGAATGACAGTTAGCACCACTAAGACCCGATAAACGTGTATGCAGGAAGGGGAGGTGGCTCAGTCTGGAACCAACCCGGCCTCCTCCTAAACTTTCTACCTTGAGGTGATTTTTTCCTACCTCCTTTTGACTGCTGAGGAATTCCTGCATATCCTCAATCAAAACCTAGAGCACCACATAGCATTACAGTGGTACCTCTGGTTGCGAATGGGATCCGTTCCAGAGCCCCGTTTGCAACCTGAAAGGAGTGCAACCTGCGTCTGTGCACATGCGGGTCATGATTCCCTGCTTCTGCGCATGACGTCATTTTGCATGTCTGCGCAAGAGGCGAAACTCGGAAGTAACCCTTTCCGGTACTTCCGGGTCGCTGCGGGACGCAACTTGAAAAGATGTAACCTGAAGCAAACGTAACAAGAGGTATGACTGTATAGCCCTTGCACTGAGGTTGCGTACACACACACATACACACACTACTTTTAAAACACATCTGAAGCACATTATTTCCCTCCCAGAATTCTGGGCACTGTAGTTTGCCCCTCACAGCAACTATAATTCCTAGCAACTCTTAAGAAACTACAGTGCCCCAAATTATTTGGGCACGAGGAAATGTGTGTCAAAGGTATGGCATAGACAATACTGCCTTAGTGCTTTCACATAAGCACCCACACACCCCCTTGAACCCCCCCCCCCAAGCATTCATCAGTGGCTCAGGACTGTGGCAAGACTACCACACGGTGCTGCCAAGTGACCCAAGAAAACTGCCTGACTTGCTCCTGTGCTTTTCACTTTACAGAATGTTTTAAAATCAGTGAGCTGAAACAGCAAGAAACAACCTTTTTTAAAAAACACAAATGGGGGTGTTTGTTTCTGCTGGTTGTCCAGACCTATTTTATTCCTTAATTTTATTTGCAATAAAGGTAAAGGTAAAGGGACCCCTGACCATTAGGTCCAGTCGTGGCCGACTCTGGGGTTGCGGCACTCATCTCACTTTATTGGCCGAGGGAGCTGGTGTACAGCTTCCAGGTCATGTGGCCAGCATGACCAAGCCACTTCTGGTGAACCAGAGCAGCACATGGAAACGCCGTTTACCTTCCCGCCGGAGCGGTACCTATTTATCTACTTGCACTTTGATGTGCTTTTGAACTGCTAGGTTGGCAGGAGCAGGGACCAAGCAACGGGAGCTCACCCCGTCGCGGAGATTCGAACCACCGACCTTCTGATCAGCAAGTCCTAGGCTCTGTGGTTTAACCCACAGCACCACCCGCATCCCCTTTATTTGCAATACTTATGTGTTAATACAACAACCAGTTTCTGGGCTGATTACTGTATTCTTAGACATAACTAGTAGTAACACAAACAAACCATATCCTCTCCCTTCCTACATTTTCTTATTGGAAAAGATATTCCCTTCCTCCAGCCGGGGGAACAGGGATATATGGGAGCACATTCTATTTAAGCAGGAAAACTCCAGCTAATGCCTTGCTTGGGAGAAGGCTTTGAAATCACCCCATACTTAGAATGACCAACAGCTCCTCAAGTTGGTGAGCTAGGAGCAAGCCTGGTATAATGAACTATGCTGGGTTTGGAGCAGCAAGATCTGGGTACAAATTCTTCTCCAGTCATGAAGGTCAGCAGGGGGCACTGAGCTAAATCACTACTTCTAAGTCCAACCTGCCTCCCAGGATTGTCGAGATGAATATGGGATAATCCCCACGTGTGCCACGTTGAACTTCCTGAAGGAGGAAGAGGGTTCAAGTGCACCACTATCCACTGAACTAGTTGTCCCCAATCCAATGCCCTCCAGGTGCTGTAGGACTACAACTCCCATCAGCCTCGTTGGCCATGCTCTTGATTGTTTTGGCTGCGCTTTTTCTGAATCTTTAGCAACTCTACAAAACGTCTTACACCGCTCTGAGTGTGTAGATCAAGGGCAGCCAACAAATGTAGGACTACAACTCCCATAAGCACCAGCCAGCACTGCCCAATGGTCAAGGATAATGGGAGCTGTAGTCCTACATCATCTAGAGGGCACTATGTACATAATTCTTAGATGGAAGTAACAATAGATAATCCGCTACAAGGCAGCCTCTTGTGTTCCTGGTTTGAAATAAACCATAGTGGAACTCCTCAACCCTTCCACCCTTCAAAAATAATAGCTTCCAAAGAGGTTAATGCCTCAACCGTGCAAGAAGCAAATAAAGCAGGCATCATTAAAAGCATTTTAAAGGGAAGATACAAATATAGACTGAAGGGGAAGATAACCAAGGCATCCAAGGAAAATAATAGGCCATGATATGCAGTGCTGGTATCAAACCCAGCCTCTCCTAGGTGTTTGGAAGCATTCAGGTTCAAGGTTAAGATGCTTAAGAAGTAATGGAAGCATCGGCAAGAGTGCTCCTTAGAAAAAAGATTCAAAGGCACAAGCAAAAGCCCATGACATGTTCTTCACTGTTTTGGGGAAGCTGACAAGATAATGGAATTTCAAAAAAGCTACCTCCTTGCTATGGCAATTGCCATGTGAATCACCAAGAGATAAATGTTTATGCCTCCAGGACCCACAATAACATCTGAAAAGGCGTATTTATGCTGCCTCATGCATCACTGAAATTGCTAGTTAGCCTCCGGTTGCAGACATATGTTGGAAATAAAAATAAGGCAAGAGGCAGTGAGAAGGGGGAGTGCGTGTGTATAGACCTAAGTGGGTATTCATGGGCCACTCAGGAGGAAAGCAAGTCATGAGCAGAATGAGAAATGGGAGAGGCTGGAGACTCCCAGCTCCCCCCCCCCCCGGCAAAAAAAGAAAAGAAAAAAAGAACTGTTTGGATTAGGATGTGCAAATGTTGAGACACAGCCATAGATGCAACAGGCACTGAATGAATGAATGATCAATCAGGATCCTGGCTTCCATACCTGCTTTTCACTAAGGCAACCTGCCCAGTTTAATATGCAAACAGCCTTGCAAAGGTGCGTCTAGACATTATGTAGCTGCACCAAGACTCACTCTCAAAAGCTCTTCTCATCTTCTCTCAATGAACTTCATCAAGCCCCCTTCAGCCCCCTTAATAATGCTCCCTGAAGCATTATTCTGAAAATGCTTCCTTTTTACTGAAAGTGCTTCATTTTCAGTGGTCCAATTATAGGCATTTCAATGCTATTAATCTGTGCAAAGCTGTGCTTGAAATGGGTTTCTCCCTTCTAAAGCCAACCAACGGCAATGACATCAAGTTTATGGTCCTTATGAATCACGATTATTTATTTATTTGTTAACTCTTCTTCCAGAACAGAATGGAGTGGCATTTCCAAAAAATGAAAATGTAATGGGAATATAAGTACAAATTAAGCTATGAGGCTCAAAGAACAGTCCTATCCAGCAAGTTTATCATAAAGCAGAACCTATCGCACCCCAGCTCAAGACATACTTCAACTTAATTTTGTTGAGCCATTCTTTAACTTCTCCATATATTAATCCAGAGAGGCTTCACTTTTCCTTCCCTAGAGAGAGGGAGTTTTATGGAGTAGTTAAAATTCTTTTCCAAGGAGAGGAAGTGACACACCCTGAACTCCCTGTGGGAAAGAGATGATCGCAGTTAACAAGACACATGGGGAAAGAAATGTGTTTTAGAGAAAGTTATTAGACAGTCTGCAGACTGAGAGCGAAACACTGCTTTGGCCTTCAGTGACTTCCTCCTTGGTTATGAAGTCATCCACTGACTTGGAAGTTTCATAGAATCATAGACTTGTAGAAGCTTTCCTCAATTGGCAGAAGAATCTCTGTCGTGAAAGCTATTCTGGAAAACTAACCTGCTTATAAAACTCAAGAGGGATTCAGCTCCAAAGCTTTGGAAACCCCAAGACAACTCCCTTCCTCAAGGGAAGGCTGCAAAAATCCTACACAGAAGGCACTTTGATGTAGGGAAATATGTAGTATGAAACTTATGTGTAGACCACTCCACTTCAACCTGCACACCAGCTACACACTATTTCCTACACACAGATCACTTTTAAACCAGGAAATGTGCAGAGTTTTAAGTAGCTGATCTGAAGGAACTAATATTCAAGGATATCTGGGTTAGAATCTGAGTTGATGAGGATGGCTTGCAAGCCACATTCCCCAACCCCTTTGCTCGATGCAGGAAGTCCACAGCTTGAGCATCTCCAACAGCTGGCTGTCTAGCCTTTGTTTGAAGACCACCAGGGAGGGAGAGCCTACCAACCCCATCAGCTTAATCAGTCCATTGTCAGACTGCCCTACCATCAAGACGTTGTCTGTAATGGACAAAGGTTCCTCAGCAGACAAGTCAATGCAAAGTAGGGTGAGATGGAAATGACCGGCTTGAACACAAATTCTAAAGGAATCAATTGGTGTTCCTCATTGCTAGGCATTAGAGTTTTGCAGCAGGAGGGAGAAACAGAGAGAGAGAGAGAGAGAGAGAGAGAGAGAGAGATGAAAGACGCACAGTCATCACTCAAGAACCTTTCCCTTCCCTTCTTTTACCCCTCCCTCTTCAAATGCCAGGTAAAAGAGACTTAACGAGATAATTAAGGGAGAGGAAAAGGTCAATAAAGAGCTGATTTATGACACATGCTGGAAGAGCCTTGCGTGCGTAACTAAGAACTGCACTCTCTCCAAAGACAGGCGGCAACGTTCCGCAGATAAGGGAGATAGAATCTGAAGTTGCTGCATGCGGGGAGGCTGCCAGCTCAACCTCCTGGGAATCCTGACAAATTGCAGCTACACCGAGGATCCCAAGCAACAGGTCTGAACACCAAAGCAGCAACAAAAGAAAGAAAGAGGGTCCAAGAATAGGGATGCCAACTGATTGAGGCCGTTTTCGCCAACTAAACTTGTGCCTTTTAACAAATCAAGTTTAAATGCATAGCAAGAAACAGGTATTCTACCAAAAATAAAAAGTGGCTCTTGAAATCTCCTACTCTGCTTTCTTCATCCTTTAAAGATGTGAAGAAAAGTCAGGTCTGAAAGAGTATCAGGTCCCCTCATCCCAAACAGGTGAAACAGATTCTCCCTCCTCAGTCACCTTCCCTCAAGCTTTTCTAGATTATCAAGTAATTTATTAATATTCCTGCTATTTTCACAAGATGTCTCTGGCAGGGTTGAGTGGGTAGGTTTAGCTAGGGTACTATTAATGTCTGCAAGTGAACACAAGCCATCCTTTTAATTTCTACCAAAAAAATAAAGGTAATTGGCCTAGATCCAAAGAACATCTGGAGAAGTTGTGTTCAAACAGGGCTTTGCAACCTCTCCAGTTTCCTGCTAGAACCAACTGCTCCCTCCTCTGCCAAGAGCTATTCCTGAGGGTTACAGGACTGCTAGTGTCAGGGGTAGGTGGGAGGAGCAAGAACAGAAGTTCTGCTCAAATAAGGGGTCCTCGTACCATGTAGCTGTGGCTATGCACTGCATTCAGCCATTTCCAAATCACTTCCTGGTTAAGGTAAACCATACTTTATGAAATCCAAATAGGTCAAACTTTGGCAGAACCCATAGTTTGTTTCTAATTCTAGTTAGTAGGCAAGCTACAATTTGTCCATTATGGATGTCAAAAGAAACTATAGTGTGCCAAACCAGGAAGTGAGGGAACCTCCAAGTCTTGTGGGAAGTTTGCAGGCCTCAGGCATAATAATCATGATCTTTCTTCTTTGGCAATCACTCATAGCCAAGTAAGATTGTCTTCCATAAACACAGTTTTAACAATGAGTCTGTAAGTGATGGAATCTTTCGAGGATACCCAAGCTATGACTAGGGTTGGGTGTTATGTCAATCATAGAATCATAGAGTTGGAAGAGACCACAAGGGCCATCGAGTCCAACCCCCTGCCAAGCAGGAAACACCATCAGAGCACTCCTGACATATGGTTGTCAAGCCTCTGCTTAAAGACCTCCAAAGTCTGTCTTGTGATATCAATTTCAAAACTTGTGAATCATAACGTGTTTGTGTGCTATGCAAAAATGACAATGCAGGAAAAACCGTGAAGCCAGCCAATGCCTCTACATAGCTCCATCCTGTCTGAAATATCAGTATAACACGATGTTTAGCTAGTGATATATTACGATGTTGAAAACCAGGTATTGTCCAACCCTAGCTATGGCTTTGCCATTAAATGGAGCCAAGCAACTGTATTTGGGAATCACTCAGGTTAAAATAAATAAAATCTGACAAATAAAATTATCAGATTATCTTTTAAAGCTCTATTTAGATGCCTTTTTGAAAAAGGGTAGGATATGTTTTATTTTTAAAAAGTGAAAATTGCTACTCAGTGTTAGAAACAAAAATACCTCTTTGAATGTTTTGAAAGTCCCTTTTACTAGACTAGAACCAAAACAACCTGAGAGCACACACAGACACACCTAATAACCTTATACTTACCTCCACTGAGAAGCTTCATCACTAACCAGAGTTCATCTTTCACTACGAAGGAAGTATAGTAAGATACGATGTTCGGATGATGGCACTGACTCATGGCTTGAATTTCTTTCTAAAGAATTGGAGGGAGAAAGAGAAAACTGCTGTTACTATTGTTGTTTTTTAAAAAACCATGTGCTGAGTGCTCTATGCAGAAGTAATGGAGAACTGGGCAGAGTGCTTAAGACGTGTGTAAGATGAACCCAGTCATTGCAAGCAAGTGAAGGGGTCAGGAAGTGGCCATAAGAGCTGAGTTGCAGAGTCAAAACACAAGACATAGCCCTTGCTACACTCCAGTGCAGGGTTGTCTCCAAACCTGGACTACAACTCCCAGCATTCCTAGCTAGCAGAACCAGTTGGAAGGGATGGGAACTGTAGCCGCAAAACAGCTGGGAGACCCAAGTTTGGGAAACCCTGCTCTAGTGCTCCAAGTTGCAGGTAGGCTGCTGCATGTCTGAAGGCTCAACAGTGTTTTAAAAAAGAATCCCTGGATGTATACAAACTAGTATATTAAGAAGCATAGGAGCCAACTCCTAGGGTAGGGTTGCCATATTTCAAAAGTGAAAATCCAGACAGAAAAGTTGTTGAGCCTTTTTCGGGCAAAGCTGTTGAGCTTCTTGGCAAAATCGCAAGAAATGTGATACACCCGGACACTGGTGGTCGAATCGCAGCTGTGTCTGGGAAATTCCAGATGTATGGCAACCCTATTATATAAACTGAGGGAGAAAATTCACCTGAGTCTTTGAAGGTGGAGAAATCTGGATGAAGAATGCAAGTTGAGAGGAAAAGAGACAGAATCCTTTCAGATTTAGCCTGATGCTATGCACAATCTGTAAGGATGGTACAGTGGTGCCTCGCAAGACGAAGTTAATCCGTTCCACGAGAGTCTTCGTCTAGCGGTTTTTTCGTCTTACGAAGCAAGCCCATTGACGGATTAGCGCTATTAGCGCTATTAGCGGTTTAGCGGCTATTAAAGGCTTAAAGGCTTAGGGGATTAGCTGCTAAAAGGCTATTAAAGGCTATTAAAGGCTTAGCAGATTAGATAAAGGGGGGGAAAAGCGAAAAAAATCTCAAGACTCGCAAGATATTTTCGTCTTGCGAAGCAAGCCCATAGGGGAATTCGTCCTGCGAAGCAACTTCAAAACGGAAAACCCTTTCGTCTAGCGGTTTTTCCGTCTTGCGAGGCATTCGTCTTGCGGGGCACCACTGTATTTTAAGGCACTGAGAGGAACAACAGCACAAGCCCCACCTGCCTGAATGAGCTTGTCCTCAGAATTCTAGAAATATGGTGCCGAGATTTAAATTCTGCTCATTTGGAAATGTTTTCTGCAGGGTGTGTGTGGCTGCAACCAAGTGTTGCAGTGTCCAGTGCTGCTGTGCAAGAGGCCGGCCTGTTACCCAAATACCCCATTGCATTTCCCCATCTCCCCCTTCCAGTTTCCCATTTCATTCATATCCCAGTATGAGCACAACTATTTTTCCCTCCCCCCACATTAGACCCCCCCCTTTAAGTATCGGTATATACTTCTGCAATCTTGCTTTCCCATCTCCTCACATGCCACCACCTCCGTCATGTGCAAGAGTGGTGCCATTTTGGCTCCATAAAGAGAAGCGCCTGCCAAGAACTAAGGTTGCTATTAACATATACGATGTATGGTGCTTGGATTCTTTATGATACTGTTCTCTTCCATTGGTTTTCTTTTTACTGCTTCTATTCAATCTTCCTTTGAGGTGCAAAGACCTTAGAAGAAGCGGAATTTAAAACAAAACAAGCAAGGTTGTTTACAAAACAAAACCAATACGATAAAATAATGATAAATATAATAATATACACAGACAGATTTCCCACCAAGGATTTATACTAAGGGTCAAGTGCCTGGGAACACCCATGTGAACAGGTGAGCTTTTAACCAGCCAGTGAGACATCTGCTCTACAAGTACCAACACTATCGCCTTTCAGAGAAGTTGGTGATGTGCTGCAACCAAGCCCCATCTGGCCTGTACCTTTAAAGCAGTATAACACAACTTAAAACACTAATCGCTTCACCCAAAGGATTCTGGGAAGCGTAGTTTGCTCAAGGTACTGAGAGTTGGGGAGTTAACTCCCCCATTCCCCTCACAGGGCTACAGTTCCCAGAATTCCCTGGGAATAATTCTCAGACTCTTAAACCACTCTGATAATTGTAGCTCTGTGAGAGGATTAGGGGAGTCTAATAATAATAATAATAATAATAATAATAAATATTTATACCCCGCCCATCTGGCTGGGTTTCCCCAGCCACTCTGGGCAGCTTCCAATAGAACATTAAAATACAATAATCTATTAAACATTAAAAGCTTCCCTAAACAGGGCTGCCTTCAGATGCACGAATCTCTTCAACTTTAACAAACTACACTTCCCACGATCCCATGGTCACCAACATTTTTGGGCCCATGGGCGTGTTTGTAAACCAGAGGCGCTGTTGTGGGTGCCACGCATACGCCCCTCAACCAAGCACACACCACAACCTATTTGCTCCTTTCAGGACTGATTTCTTCTACGGTGGGAGGGATGACCACATACTCCGGCACGAGCTTCTCGAAAGAAAGGCAAGAGATGCATGAAACAACCTTGAATAATTGACAGTCTTCTCCAGATTTCAAGATCACAGCTAGGTTGACAGAAGAAGTGGGGGAAGTACTGCGGCTATTAGGAAGGAAGAGGCACTTAGCCATCTGCAATAAGGCTGATTCAATAATGGAAGGCAGAGGATTAAAAAAAAAAAAAATCTGTAAAATGGAGAAGTAAAGATATGAATTATTAATGGAAAGGATGCTGCCTTCCTTTATTTCTGCAAGACTGACAGAGCTGAACACAAGGGGCAAAGCTTTCACAACTCTCAATTCCTTCGGTCTCCCCTCATGAAAGTTACAAATCTTGCAAGGGTCCCGAGGATCACATAAAGCAGGCTTCCTCAACCTTAGGTCCCCAGATGTTGCTGGATGACAATTCCCATCATCTATTAGCAGAAGGGCAGCAGTCAGGGGGAGAAATGGTTGGCTCTGGAGCTAACCATTCTTCTGACCCCCTCAAACAACGAGAATCGGAAAAGCGTGCGAATGCTGCCTCGTCTATTTCAGGCTGTAGCTTATCACAGCCAACCTAGCGAGGCGAGAGTCTCCAAAAACAACTTTCCTCAAACAGCCAACTCTTGAAGGCAGATAGGGTTCCTGCTCCTAGAATTGCCCTAGCTCACAGCTACCACAAACACTAGTGAGTTACACTGCACCATGGGTTATATTCACTCTTCTTAACTAGCCAGAATGATGCTTCAGATAATCAAAATCTCAAGCTTACTTCTTAATGCCTAGAGGATTGCATCTTTTAAAAATCAATCAGGTAAATAGATTATTATTATTTTTTTAAAAAAACACCTAAAACTTTTGACGTACTGGGAAAAGGTGTCCTGATTAACTGAGCATTAGCTTAATAAAAATTTGCACAATTAAAAGGCTTCGGATTGCAAGGGCTATCTTGGAAGAGACATCACCTTGTGCATGAGAAAGGACAATGAGAAGGCCTCTCAGGAGTGTGCCTTTTACACCACACCTATACCAAAAAAGCTTACTGTTTTTACTGGCACAAAAATTTGCTATCAGTCCATCAGCTAATATAATTGCTGTCATCGGCTGACTAATCTGAAGGGCTGCAGCTCAGAAGTAGAGAATCTGATTTGCACACAGAAGGTCCCGGGTTCAATCCCCATCATCTCCAAGCAGGGCTGAGAATGGCCCCTGCCTGGAACGCTGGAAAGACGCCATCAATAAAGACAATACGGATTTAGGTGGCTTGATATACTGATTCATATATGGCAGCTTCCTGGGTCCTACTGCCTGCCTCCCAGGCAACCTGGCAGGACCTGCTCCTTCTGGACAGAAGGAAGAGGCAAATGTAGAATGCCGCTTCCTTGCAGCGGTGGGGGCTTTTCCTCCAGCCCAGATGTCGAGGCTGAGCTATAATAAGAGCAGACATCAACCCGCAGAGTAATTAAGACTGCTCAGCCATAAGCTTCGGCAGACTCGAATCCCGAGGAATCTCTCTGCACGCAAGGGATCTCGGGGTTTCTACCTTTCCATCTCCAGAGGCCCAGATGTAACAGCTCCTCCGAAATGAAAAAGCAACATGGAATCTACTGCTGTGCTCAGGGATGCACAAGTCAACCATGTCTGCCGGATAAGGATGAGGAACTCTTTCTAGGAATTTCAGCTCTTTCGCAGGAAAGGCTGTGCAATCCAAAAGCATTTGCTGAATACTCCCCCCCACACACACCGCCCCAAAGAGACCAACAGTCGGACCACTATTTATACGCATTAGTACATAATCTCAGCTGTCCTTACAAAGATCCAATCTTCTGCTTCAGGTGCACCCTAGAGCCTGGGAATAATCAAGCAGGTTTTTTCCCCCTTTAAATATCAGACCCCAATGATACATCAAACACTGCATTTTAAAAGCCCTTTCACTGCTATATGGCAATGGTTCCCAACTGGGGGTCTAATACCCATCAACTGCCCAGGACGTCCCATTTTGGGGGGCCACGACTCATGCAAGGGCGCAGCCTGAAAGATGCACGTCCCAGATTTGCACTGGGCCTTGCTGGAGGGTATGGTGGCACCATTCACTCAACAAAAACTACCACAGAGAGACTAACCTTTTTCAAAAGGAGGTGGTCCATGGCTTGGCTTTTTTGGGAACCGTTGCTATATAGCAGGCATCAGCAAACTTTTTCAGCAGGGGGTCAGTCCACTGTCCCTCAGACCTTGTGCGAGGCCAGACTATATTTTTTTGGGGGGGGAAATGAACGAATTCCTATGCCCCACATATAACCCAGAGGTGCATTTTAAATAAAAGGACACATTCTACTCATGTAAAAACACACTGATTCCTGGACCGTCCGCGGGCCAGATTGAGAAGGCGATTGGGCCGCATCCGGCCCCCGAGCCTTCATTTGCCTACCCATGCTATATAGCATGAGACATCAGGATGGAGGAGCTGCTGCTCTAGAAATACAAGTCAAAAGCTCCCTTTTCCAATGCTATTCTTTGGACACTGGGCACGGTCCAGCCTGAAACGCTGAAGAGCTGCTGTCAGTCAGTGTCGACAGTATTGAACTAGATGGATCAACAGTCTTGATTCAGTATAAGGAAGCTTCCTGTGTTCTGGCTCCCAAGAATTATGCACATTCCCAACATCAGCCTGAATGCCACTCTTGCAAGAGGGGTGCACTCAACTAGTCTGCCCACCTGCAATCCCTAGCTTCACATCCTGTCTATTATATTCCACAAGTGTCTGCCACGATTCCCTCTACCCCTGCCATTTTGTGGAAGATCGTGCTTACACCTCAATGATCTTTTCTTCTTCTTCTTCCCTTTTTTCCCTTGCTCTGCCTAACAGCCAAGGTGTCCTTGAGTTACTGCGTGCATATTTCCATACTAAATCCCCCACGCTAATCCCTGGTGTGGGCAAGCCCCAGCTTTCTAAATTTAAAACACTGTCACTGTGTATGAAGATGGCATTCATCTAGAAATGCACGCCTGTTAATTATAAACACGTCGCCGTCGCAAACCGCCACATGACAACAAGGTGTGAGGGTCACAGGAGGCCGCGCAGCCCCTCGAGTATATTTTGAGACTTTTAACGGCAAGTTAAGTGCTTCCAAGAATGCCCAGCAAGCTCTTTTCTGAGGGGTGTGTGGAAATTATCATTCCAAGGCAGGCTTTTACAACCTGGTGCCCCCGTAGGGATTATGGGCTGAAACTCCTCTATCAGACCAAGCCACCGTGGCCAATGGTCAGGGATGATGGGGAATTTGGAGTCCAGCAACATTTGAAGTGCCCTGGGATGAATCTGAGAACTGTAGAGTTGGAAGGGACCCTGAGTGTCATCTAATCCAATCCTCTGCAATGCAGGAATCACAGCTAAATAATCCTGGACAGAAGGCCAACCAACCTGTTTTGGAAGTCCACTGCCTTCCGAAGTAGCCTGTCCCACTGTCAAACAACTCTTGCTGACATATAGGTCTTCTAAGAAAGGCTGCTCCAAGCAATCTGAAGGAGGATGCCTTTTCAAACTCAGTTTCTATCTAACGTTACCCCCCCCCAAAAAAAACCCTATTCCGCATCATACTTGCAGCACGGTCAACACCCCCAAGGCCTAACCCATCAGTTAATTTGGTTATAAGCAAGTATTTTTTATAGTTTCAAATCTACGCCTGCCTTGCAACAGTGGTGAGAAACTGCAGCTATCCTTCCTTGCACCCCACAAGTTCTGGATGGAAGTGCAGCCCAAACAAACCCAGTTAAGGGGGCAGAGTTCTCAAGAAAGTTAGGGGGAAATGTACAAAGTGCCAGAAGATCAAGCAAAGTCAAAAATGAAGGGAGCCATGCCTGCTGGGGCAGCCAGCAATAGTAATGGAGCCCTAGCTGCTCAGTTGCCTAGGGAGGGAGATGGAGGGGATCAAAGCTTTTGCGCCTCCACCCACACAACAAGACTTAACGCACCCCAACACAAAATCTGCATATGGTTTCCCCCCCCACACACATCTTTTGGTCTATTTAACCTCCCCAATACATTATTCTCTGCTCAACCCCCACCCCACCCCCCAGCACCACCAAGGTGGAAAGGCCAGGGCTTTTGATGTGGCAGAAAAGCTAGGATTGTGTTGCCTAGAAACTGGATGGAATGTGTTGCAAGCTGGCAACTGGGCTTGGATTCCCCCCTCGATCAGCAGAATAAGCAAGGAGAGCAGCACTCAGAGTGTGCAATGGCTGGGCTGTGGAAGAGGCACCAATTCGACCCCTCTCAATTCATCTCTCTCTTTCTCTCTCTTTCCAGAGTTAACTGAATTGCTCTATTAAGTTGGTGTTTCTTCAAGGCAATGATTTAATAAAAAAAAAGTCTTTAGAATGCATTAGGGCAGTTGCTTGATTAAAGAAACCTTGGGTGACGAAGTGAGTCACCTGCTTAAATCTGAACACAAGTTAAATTGAAGTCCGCACCACGTTAGAAGAATCATTCCTGCTTGTGTGTTTAATCAAGAGCACTGACCAACTGTAGTAGTTATGTAGTACCTGCGTGTGTGTTTTTTAAAAAAACTTTAAGATCCATTGCTCAATCAATTATGCAAACGTTTCCAAGCAAACTATTTTTAATCAGTGTAACCAGGCAATTAAATGCTGCAGTGGAAAATTTTCCAGCACTTTATTTTCCCATGGAAAATGTTCCACTCCATAAATTCATTAATAATTATGAAAGGATGTCAGCTGCAAGTAAAAACTAGGCAAGCAAGGCAGTTTCAAAGTTTTAAGCATTGTTTACTAAACACAGGGCATCAGAATGTTGTTGTTGTTTTTAATTAAAACTCAAAATTTCCAATGCAAATTACACTAATATAATAAGGAAAGTTTCCTGGAAAACCCACAACACTGGAGGCTAATTAACCATTCCATCATGCAGGGCAGTTTCTCTGGCCCAGCTGGCAAGAGAGATATGTTTAGAAGAGATATGTTTAAATACACTCACAGCAAACCAAGTGGCTTTGTGGGAGGCTGTTAAATGGGAACACTAAAAAGCAGGAGCAGTTAAGTAGTAGTGTGGAAACTTTGTCCATTCTTTGCCAAATACATCACAGCTGTCTGGTTGCTCAACAATAAAAATACTCTGCACATGCTCAAGATGGTGGCACCAATTTTTGTTCACATGTGCTGGGGATCAGGCTTAGGCCCAGCTCAGACTAAGTCCTGCAACAAGCATTCTGCACCATCACGATTGCCAGATCTGGATTTCTTGGAGGCATCTATCCAGCCACTGCTGGAGAAAGAAAACTGGGCAGATCTTTTTTAAAATCTGCGTTTGTCTTGATTATTTCACCACCATCATCTATTATCAGAAGGAGGACTAGCTGGCTGAGAGAAGAGACCCAAGAAACTATTGAAGGTGGAAAATTCCCATCTTCCTGATCCTGACAGGGCGCAGCTCGGATGCAATATTAAAAGTTTGTTTGTTATGTTTAAGTCACTAGGGGAAGAAAAGCACGAGGCTCCTTCCCCCAACGAAAAGCCCGGTAAACAAAGCACGGCTGCCCATCAGGTCACCTAATTGGGACCTCTTGAGAAGAAAATGAAGCAATTCATTGCTGCCCCATTCATTAGCCAATGAAATAGGGGGCTGTTATGGAGGACTGGGTCAGCTGGAGATTAAATTATTTAATTAGGAGTTTTATCTGTGTTTTCTGCTGCAGAGCTTTCTGAATGGTTCTTTGAGCCCTGAGCTGGCAAGTGCCCAAGTTCCAACAGTATGTGTGACTACTTTAGCAGGAAGGAACTAAAGAGAGGAGGGGATGGGGCCGAATGGTACAACGGATGCAAAAGGCATTCAGACACACAGGCTCAGCCTCTAGGTTTTGGGTGGCTGGGTGGGGGCGGCGTGGCTCTGGGCAAGCTGCTCTCAGCAGCCTCTCCATCGATGGCATCGTGGGGGCCCCCCCTACGGGTACCGCAAACGTGATTCATCTTTAAGGGATCGAATCACTTCCCAAACCTGTATACACCTGAACCAGATCTGACCCGTAACAACTTACTTGACAGTTGCAGTGGAACTAAATCCCACAAAACTGTGTGGTCTGACTCCCTGAGAGCAAGAGGCAGTGCAGGAAACACTTCACAGTCTGGGAGAAGGAAAGTGTCTCTCCAGGCCCCTCCATTTGGCCTTGCAACCTTTCACAGGCCCTGCTCCACACTCTCAAGTGCTTTTTCAAGCTGCAATGTCTCCGTGAATTGTGATAATGTTCCTTACTTGCTAAGATGGGGTAGGGGTGCAGAATTCTTTTCCGTGGATAGGATTAAGGCTGGGCGACATATCTATATATCGTCCAAAAGCGGTTTGAAGTCCATATCATGATACCAGTTTCATAATTTTTTGTCCGGGAAATATATGGCAAATCATGGTTTGCGTGTGTGCGCTGTGCAAAAATCATGATGCAGGGAAAACTGTGAAGCCAGCCAATGGCTCTACATAGCTCCATCCTTATTTCAGACATTGTGACAAATCAGTATACTGCGATGTTTAGCTGGTAATATATCACAATGTTGAAAACCAGATATTGCCCAGCCCTCCTGTTCGCCTCTATATAGTTCCATCTTTATTTCAGACTTTGTGATATATCAATATAATGCGATGTTTAGCTGGTGATATACAGTCGTACCTTAGTTCTCAAATGCCTTGGTACTCATGCATTTTGGCTCCAGAACGCCGAAAACCCGGAGGTGTTCCGGTTTTTGAACGTTTTTCGGAAGCCAAACGTCCGATGTGGCTGTCGGCTATTGTTTCCGGGTTGCCTGCGCCAATTGGAAGCCACGCCTTGGTTTTCAAATGTTTCAGAAGTCGAACAGACTTCCGGAACAGATTACGTTCGAGAACCAAGGTATGACTGTATTGTGATGCTGAAAACCTGGTATCGCCCAACCCTAGTTTGGATGTAAGAGCCCCATCCACTGCCATAATAATAATAATAATAATAATAATAATAATAATTTATTATTTATACCACGCCCATCCGGCTGGGTTTTCCCAGCCACTCTGGGTGGCTTCCAACAAAACACTAAAATACAGTAACCTATTAAACATTAAAAGCTTCTCTAAACAGGGCTGCCTTTAGATGTCTTCTAAAAGTTTGGTAGTTATTTTTCTCTTTGACATCTGGTGGGAGGGCGTTCCACAGGGCGGGCGCCACTACCGAGAAGGCCCTCTGCCTGGTTCCCTGTACCTTGGCTTCTCGCAGCGAGGGAACTGCCAGAAGGCCCTCAGTGCTGGACCTCAGTGTCCGGGAAGAACGATGGAGGTGGAGACGCTCCTTCAGGTATACTGGGCCGAGGCCATGCCAGTGTCTGCCTCTGGCCACTCACCCCCATGCCACACAGCCAACAGAAGGCTGCACATGACGGAAAGCGGCCCTCAACGTGAAAATGGTTTCCTACCATTGATCAAGTCCCCCCCCCCCCAATCTTTTTGTTTCCTGCAATTGTACAACTTTCTCCTATGCAATCCAAGGGTGAAATCCTACCCACAAATCCAGGAAACCTACACACACACACAGAGAGAGAGAGCAGCCACAAGATTTTAACACTTTTTCAAATGTTGCTTACAGTCATGAGGTCTTCAACTTTTTCCTTAAAACAAAAAACAACCACAAAAACCCAGCCCAGTCACAGAAAGTCTAACAAATTGCCTGCACAGGGGAGGAACTCCTCTGCCAACACAGAGCAACGGTGATTTATAGACCCTAAAATGAATTGTGGAAGAAGATGGATGGGATTTTTGTACCAGAAGCTCATCCATGCTGGTCTGGCATTTCTCAAGGTTGATCCGCTTGATTGCCACCTTTTCTTTCTTCGGACTACAATAGGCTGCTTGCACCACGGCTGTTGCTCCACTGCCTGGCAGAGAAAACACAGAAAAATACGAAGTTAGGAAGAAGCTGCTAAGGATGCTGCCGAGTAGCATCTCTTTGCGAGGAGAGGTCTGAAATATTGACAACTACATTTTTGAATTCTATTATTTCATTTATGGGCCCTTCTTTCTTCCAAGGAGCTCAAGGTGGTGCATGTGCTTCTCCCTCCCTGCAATTTGCCCTCACAACAACCCTGTGAGGTAGGTCAGGCTGAGGTCTTCATGAGGAAGTGGTGATTAGAACCCTGCCCTTCCAGGTATTGGTTCAACACTCCTAAGCCAATAAGCCACACTGGTTTTCTTTGCATAAATACATTGATAAATAGTGCTGCTTCTGAACACTGTTGGCATACTCAAATTGCATATTCTGCCCACAAACTTACAGAAATCCTATAGTCCTGCCTTAAAAATAAAAAGAAAGATAAATTACTAGCCTGCCAGAAACTCCACGCCTCTTGTAGGAGCCAGTTGCACTTCTCTGATGGGCACTCCATTTCTCCTCCAGTGGCCAGCTCAAATGTCAGCAAGCAATTGCTTTTTCAGCTATGGCTACCAGGCCAGAATTTAAATCAGGCATGGGCAAACTCGGCCCTCCAGATGTTTTGGGACTACAATTCCCATCATCCCTGACCACTGGTCCTGTTACCTAGAGATGATGGGAGTTGTAGTCCCAAAACATCTGGAGGGCCGAATTTGCCCATGCCTGATTTAAACGCAAGGCTCCGTATCTCACTTGCTCCCCACTACATCCATTCATATCCCCCCCTCCAACTATTAGGTTGCAGAGCAAACAAAGAGACTTCCTAGGGATGACTTTCTCCAAAGTATATATATTTAAAAAAGCAACAAGACACTCATGTGAATTCTCACTTTGGCAGCGACTGTGGCACACCATGGATTTTCCAGACCAAACTTAAGGCAGATCGCCAGGCTGCCTTAAGAAAAACGTTAATAAAGGCATAGCTGCAATTCCTGGGATGGCTGAGCTGCTATGGAATTTAAATTGTAACATTCCTCAAGAGAGGCAGAGCAAGTTTGAAGGTATCACTACAGACACAGCATACCAAAACCACAAAGCTCATAGCAAGAAGAGTGAAAGGTTACAATGAGGAGACCAAGAGGAAGCTGTTGTGAGGCAAGGAACAGTTTTTTGAAAGGGGATAGCAAAGCTTCCCAAAGTCTTCTCTCTCACCCTTTACAAGGCCAAGCTGACTTGACAACAGTTTTGCTGCTGAAGCTAACCAGTCCTGACTTTTATATACTTTCCAGATGCGCACTTTAGCAAAGGAGACCAACACTGAGGAAATGCAATACGCAAATCTCCCAATGCAAACTAACATAAGATTTGGCGTCCTCAGAACCTGAGTGGGGTTCCTAGCTCTCAGGACTGAAGCAAACACAAAGTCCAGAAACTTAAGTCAGAAAACAGTCCTTCGTGTTCCTCACCCCAACCGTCAAAATATTTCTCTCCCTCTTGAACTTTCTGCAGATGTAATTCCCCTATCCACCCCAAAACACTTCCAGCTCACCTTTATATCATTTGCACAACCTCAGGTCTTGAAAACTATTCAGTTATTTTGCTCATTTTTATTCTGGACACAGGACTGAGAGTGGTTGCACTGGCTTTAAAGCTGTTTTTATCCATGCCTATTAAGAACTCTAGTATCTGAGAGATGACCTCGGTACACATACACACCCCACAACATAACCCTCTACACGTGCCCCCTTGCTACTGACAGCTCTGGAAAGCAGCGAGTGAGAGTGAACAAGAGCCGTATGCCGTTTGCCACGTGTGTTTATTTACTCGCAGCACTATTAACATGTTCAAATTAGATTTGCCATTTGAAAACGAGCAATTATATTCCTTCCTTTCCCTTCGGCCAGGCTCCCTCCTGGGCCAATTTAAAGGGCACCCAAACTATTCGGCGTTAATTCCCTGGGATGGAGGGAAAGCAATTCTGCAGTACCCATTTCCAGCACACAGCGACCAGATCAGAATGGTACACCATTCCTCCTTAATCGCCTGCAGCTGTCTTGATGGAAGATGCCATAATAAACGCTACGGTCACTGTATCCACTTCTCATCTTACTGTGGCTCAATGCTTTTTTATTATTTTTATTATTAAACAGGAACCGCTGTAGTCAAAATGGTATCCCCATTCCTCCTTTGCCTCTGAACTGCCCCTTCTCCAAATATTAGTGGCCAGTTATAAATAATATTTTAATTGGCTAGTGGGCCACTACCCCAGCAGTTTTCAAAACTGTGTCACCTGAAGACACTTCTCTATTGCCAAGAGCTGTCCAGGCAAAGGGCTGACAAACCTGCACCAGAGTAAAGCTACATTTGTAGTGGTCAGGACTGGATGAACACCTCTGGATGGAGATTAGAAAACAGGAACTTGTGACCATATCTCATTGGGCGAAGAGAGAAAAATAATAGAGTACTTTGCCTTCTAAAAAATGCTATTAAAACAATAAATGCTGTTCCTTGCAGTGTAGCAGGTGGGCAGACGGGTTGTTGTTGTTTAGTCGTGTCCGACTCTTCGTGACCCCATGGACCAGAGCATGCCAGGCACTCCTGTCTTCCACTGCCTCCCACACTTTGGTCAAACTCATGCTGGTAGCTTCGAGAACACTGTCCAACCATCTCGTCCTCTGTCGTCCCCTTCTCCTTGTGCCCTCCATCTTTCCCAACATCAGGGTCTTTTCCAGGGAGTCTTCTCTTCTCATGAGGTGGCCAAAGTACTGGAGCCTCAGCTTCAGGATCTGTCCTTCCTGTGAGCACTCAGGGCTGATTTCCTTCAGAATGGATGTGTTTGATCTTCTTGCAGTCCATGGGACTCTCAAGAGTCTCCTCCAGCACCATAATTCAAAAGCATCAATTCTTCGGCGATCAGCCTTCTTGATGGTCCAGCTCTCACTTCCATACATCACTACTGGGAAAACCATAGCTTTAACTATACGGACCTTTGTTGGCAAGGTGATGTCTCTGCATCAGATGGCAGACGGGTTAGTCAAAAGCAATGGTTTAAGAGCCAATGTCTCTTTTCAGTAAAGAGATTTAAGCAGCTGGGAGTCATTCAACCTACTTTTTCGGAGGGTTACGATCTAAAATCATAAACCTGCAACTTCAGGGCGAACCATGAGATAAAGCTAATTCCCAAATAACTTTGTAGAAGACTTCCTTCCACATACAGTGGTACCTCGCAAGACGAATGCCTTGAAAGACGAAAAACGCGCAAGACAAAAGAGTTTTCCGTTTTTTTAGTCGTTCCGCAAGACGAATTTCCCTATGGGCTTGCTTCGCAAGACGAAATGTCTTGCGAGTTCTTGCGAGTTTGTTTCCTTTTTCTTAAAGCCGCTAAGCCGTTAATAGCCGCTAAGCCGCTAATAGCCGTGCTTCGCAAGACGAAAAAACCGCAAGACAAAGAGACTCGCGGAACGGATTAATTTCGTCTTGCGAGGCACCACTGTACTTGTACTGTGGCTATATATATCCAATAGGGCTGGGTGATATATCGTCCAAAACTGGTTTGAAGTCCGTAACCATTTCATCATTTTTGACCATGGCAACATATCAAGACGTATCACCAAGAAAATATATTTCTAATGACGGACCTCGTACAGATTCTAATATGTTAACATACTAGGACTCTGCTTATTGTGTTTCTAAATGCCACAGAAACCCAGCATATCCTTCAGGGATTTCAAGTTTTATGTCATTCTGAAGATACAGGAGCAGGTTAATCAGATTTGCGCCATTTTGCCAAGGCTCTCCAATCTCTCACACATTTCCTTAGATGTAAGATAAAATCCTTCCAAAACTCCCCCCCCCCAAAAAAGCAACAATTATCACTAAAGGTATTACACATTTTGACTCAAGGAGTCAAATGACACTGGGGTGTTATTTTATGTCAATTTCTCCTCAACTTTGGTCCCCCAAACTGCAAGCCTCTTGTAGAATTTCAATATTTCAGCTGACAGTGACACAAATCTCTCCCTCTGTCTTGTCACAACATATGTGTCATTCTGCCACGCTGTTAAGAAATAATATGAGTCGCATTATTTCTTAACAGCATGTGACTGGAAGAATCGCACACTGTTGGGGGCGGGAAGGAATTCCTGAAGAAATTTCTCAACCCTTCGTTCTCTCAATGAGTCGCTTTCCGTATGAGCAGAAGAGAAAATGCTTCTCTGTAAATGTTTTCCAGGACTGGCCCTCAACTCACTCCCCGCTTCTCTACAATCCTCATTTAGCCCTCTGCCCTTAATTTTTGAAAGGGCGGAAATTTCATCTCTCGGGCTGAAGGCCCTTCCACCCCATCCAAGATGGCTGCCGCCATTTTATAGCCATGACTTCAGAGAAACAGGACAATAAAACGCCACATGACCTCTCTCTTTCCCTAGCTTCGCTGTCGGTATTACTCAAATTCCTGTCCATGATTCTAGGCCAGCCTTCCCCAACCTGGCACCTTTCAGATGTTGTCGAACTATAATTCCCATGCTGGCTGGGGCTGAGGGGGGTTGGAGTCCAACAATGTCCAAACGGCGCCATGTTGAGGAAGGCTCTCTTCTAGAAGTTTCCCTTCGTATTTCCTCCTATGCTCACCCACTTCCATTAAGTGGAGTTTCAAAATACCACACACACACTTCATGGTAACCATAGTTTAAAACCATCAGGGCCAGAAGCCTTGAAGTATTTTTAATACAAAATTGCTTTATTTTTGCTGAATGGATTCCATAAGCTCTTCAACAGTCCACTCTTAATTATGGGTTATTTAAGCCATGTTATTTAAGATGTGTAAACACGATACATGTCTTTACAGCCCTCCTCAAAGGATCTTGGGAACCCCTCACAGATCTACGATTCCCAGCACCCCCTAAACTACAGTTTCCAGGGATCTTTGAGGGGGGTTGTGCTTTAACTGTGCCTTAAGCGTATGGTGTGCAGGGAGCCTAAGAAACTGTTAATATGGCTGCTTTTTAAAATAGAAATCACCTCGCCCTGAGGAGCACAGAGAAAAAGCAGAAGCCTCCTGGTGAGCTGCCATCATCTAGCTCCCAAGAGTAGCTCCTGCCTTCCCCAATTTCCACCACAGAAGCTTCTGAAGAGCTCTCTTTGCCCTGAGGGAATAGAAGAAACAGATACCAGCTTCCTTTAAAAACAAAAACATTTGTCTTTTCTATTTGACATTCTTGTAACAAGGACCGTCAATAAACCTCTTTGTAAGGTCCATGTGAAAAGCAGAATAAAAAGCTTATGAAATAATATGGCTATTCTAATGGCACCTTTGTGGGGTGTTATTAATATGCCAGCATATATTGCGCAGTTTTCTTTATTGCTCATAGCCAGTGCATTATGTACTTTTCTTGACGGGGGGAACCGACTCTTTCCAAAAGCAATTTGCCAGCATATGAGCTAATAATTTTCCTGGCCTGTCACAAGCTGCAAAATGTTTGGGTTTAGTACACAAGTATTTCAAAATATGATGCAAGAGTTCTAGTGCCTAATTTCCTTTACTAGATTCAGCTGTTATACATCAATCCTGTTATTTTTTTCATTAGCGATTCTTCTCTTCCAAATAATGCTAGTTTTCCCAGTTCTTCCGACTAGTCAAATACATTGCTGTAGGAAATTAAGAGCAGCTCTGTTAAGATTCAACTTCGCTGAATGCCCTGAGTTCTAGTATTATAAGAGGAATTATAACCTATCTGCTTTCTCTACATCCATGCATCATTTTTTACACCTCTATCATGTCCCCTGCTTTACTTGTCTTCTTTCCAAACTCAAAGACACCCCGAATTTCCTCAGCACTGCCTCCCTAAGTAGTACCTTGCTTCCATCCTATTTCGTTTTTTAAAAAAACACAACCACATGCCTGATAACTTTTTTTAAAAATGCAATTACACCTAATGATTTTGGTCATGTTTCACATAAATTAAACCACCAGTTGAAGTATTAATGACCTAGCAGGTTAAGGAAGGGGAGAGATTAAATAAACCCACCAGATATAATAACTATTTCCTGAATGGACAACATATAGCATATAGAAACATATATGCAAAGACTTGCATGGAGGGAAGGCAATTCATAGAATTGTCTCCACAAGTCTCCAAAGGTTGCAAACCCTTACACTGCATAGCATACATTAAAAATATTAATATAGATTTCACTTTACATCAAATAAGAACAAGAAGAAGGAAAGGGGTAATATATTAGTTCAAGCTTACTCACTAACTCCCGCCTCTAATGTGCAGGTTTCTGAGGTATCAGTCAATGAAGTTCTTCTCTGTATTCCCTTGTGCAATAGCCTCAATTTGATTAATTGATCAGAGAGCTGAACCATTTCCTCTTCACATCTACCAATTGCTACTTTAATTCCAGAGAGATAGCTGTGCTAGTCTGCAGCAATTTAGGCCCGATTCAAATGATGCACTTACCCGATGGCTCACCCACAGCAAGAGAAAATTAATAATAGAATAACAGAATTGTAGAGTTGGAAGAGACCCAAAGATCCATCCCTCTCCAATGCAGGAATCACAGCTAAATAATCCCTGACAGATGGCAATCAAACCTCTACTTGGAAACCTAAAAGGAAGGAGGGCCCATGGCCTTCCGAGGGAGTCTGTTCCACCATAGAGCAGCTCCTACTGTCAGAAAGTTCTGTACAGTGGTACCTTGGTTCTCAAATTAATCCATTCCGGAAGTCCATTCCAAAACCAAAGCGTTCCAGAACCAAGGCACGCTTTCCCATAGAAAGTAATGCAAAATGGATTAATCCGTTCCAGACTTTTAAAAACAACCCCTAAAAAAAGCAACTGAACATGAATTTTACAATCTAACGAGACCATTGGTCCATCAAATGAAAGCAATAAACAAGGTACTGCAGTCACACAATCAATCAATTAGTAGCTGAACTGGGTTCCACACAGTCACAAAAACAAAAGAGCTGCAAAAACAAAAATGCAAAATAAATGCAAAAAATAGAAAGACCTCAGTGTAACACCCAAAACGGAAGTGTGGCACTCAGATCAGAAGTGTAACACTCAAAACGGAGCATGTTTGGCTTCCAAAAAACGTTCGCAAAACGGAACACTCACTTCTGGGTTTGCAGGGTTCCAAGTTGTTTGAGTACCAAGGCGTTTGAGAACCGAGGTACCACTGTAGTTGGAACCCCCTTTCTTGCAATTTGAATCCATTGCTTCAGGTCCTACCTCTGGAGCAGCAGAAAACATACTTGCTCCATTTTCCATGCGACAGCCCTTTAGACATTTGAAGGTGGCTACGATATCACCTTTCAGTCTTCTCTTCTCCAGGCTAAACATACCCACCTCCCTTCTCCACATGCTTAGGACTTATGTACCCTCCCTCTGCTTCCCAACTACCCAACATGCCGCTCCACCACAATGCTACAGTCTTAATGTATCAATAGGGCACACAAAATCCGCCATGCGCAGGTCCAGGATGATTCTCAGATATCAATCTGCTGTTCAGGCCCACGTACATTGGGTTTTCACACAATGCTCTACACAAAAGTGGACAGGACCACTGGGGCAAAAAAGATCATTTTGTGGGAGTGAGCAACAAGAGTATCATGGCATTTTGGCCAAAAGCAAGGCCCTGTGGCACCTTAAATGCTAAAAAATGGGTATTTAGCTCATGGGCATCCCATAGGCCACTGTAAGGACAGGATATTTGACTAGATCAGCCTCTAGACTGGTCTAGCAGGGTTCTCCTTAGGTTCTAGGTCAGTCTAAGAGTACAGTCTAAAGAAACATGAAGCAATGGCCACACTAAAGCTAAGCAAGCCTGTGTTTTGCCAGCACCTTAAAAAGGTAAAGGTCCCCCTGCCCGTACGGGCCAGTCGTGACCGACTCTAGGGTTGCGCGCTTATCTCGCTCAAGAGGCCGGGAGCCGGCGCCGTCCGAAGACACTTCTGGGTCACGTGGCCAGCGTGACGAAGCTGCAACTGGCGAGCCAGCACCAGTGCCGCACACGGAAACGCCGTTTACCTTCCCGCTATAAAGTGGTACCTATTTATCTACTTGCATTTAGGGGTGCTTTCGAACTGCTAGGTGGGCAGGAGCTGGGACTGAACGACGGGAGCTCACCCCGCTGCGGGGATTCGAACTGCCGACCTTATGATCAGCAAGTCCTAGGCACTGAGGTTTTACCCACAGCGCCACCCGCGTCGCCAGCACCTTGTTGAGTGACTAACTGGGAACCCCATGTCGTATTTGGCAAAAGGGTGACAGCATATAAATGTAAGCAATTACAATGGAATCTTGGACATGAAAGCATAAGCCTGCTGGCTTTAGCTATAGAGTACGGCTTCTTATATTTTTGGCATAAGCTGATGAGTGAGAATCTCAACTAAACATGGCAGCCAATTCGATATGCTGTACAAAACATGAATGAGTGTGCCTCGATTCTTGGTAGAGACTATGCATGCCAACCGCACAAACTCAATTCAAAGTCCATTAATACAAAGGCAGCAACAGTATGACGGAAGAATTCTGTGAAAGTGTGAAATACGTAGGCAGGGGCAATCTGGTAAGCATCATCCACGTGGGGCTGCGTCCAACAGTGTCACTCAGCAGACAGTGCGGCTTCTGTTAGCATATAGGGAGGGAAACCTTCTCAACTATGTGGTGATAAGAGTTTATTGGTTTATTTGTTTCCGTCTTTACTTTTATTATCATTTCCCTTTGTAATTGCAGTCTGTATAGTGGTAGCACAATATTTGAGATTAGTAACAGCAAATTTGATACGGGAGTGGTATTCTCATATTTGGTTGGTGGCCCTTATGTAAAAACTTGTCAATTGAGGGAAAGGAGGAGTCCATGGAGGGAAAAAGTCTTACGTGAAATGGTTTTGTTTTATTAAATATTGTTTCGGTCAAAGAGGGTGATTGGCTTCCTCCATCAACTCGTACTGCTTTATTATTACAGGCTGGCTGAGTTAATTATTTTCCCTTCTTGTTATGCTTGGCTAGTTAATTACATAAAAGACAGCTCCTTTTATTGCTTCACTGAGTGTTTATTTGTTCATGTGTTTACGTATTGTATATTTGCGGGAGATTTTCTGCTGTCTGCTTGTTTTGGTCTTACGTTTGCTGCAACCAAGTATATAGGTGTATATGCTCCGGGTTTTTGTTGTCTGTATTTCTTTGATATGGAAAGCCTTAACAAACTGTTCCTAAAAAACAAAACAAAAAAGGTACTTTGTGGCGAGAAAAGAAGACGACGAAAACATACATGGGAGCACAGTAGCTACTGTCCATGATGATTAAGCAAAACCTCCTGGCTCAAAAGCAGTGTATCTCTTAAATACTGGGAGTTGGGGAGGTTATTGCTTTCATATCCTGGTTGTGGACTTCTCAGATGCACCCGGCCGGCCACCGTGAGGAACAGAAGGCTGGTGCAAATTGACATTCTTGTGTCCATTTACAGCAGAGATTTGCTGTAAGGACATTGAAAGAAGGGAAATGACTACATGGAGAATGCTGAAATGCATATGCACAGATCATCCAGTTAGAGATGCAGAACACAGAACTCACACATCTGGTATTTAAGCTGCTACATCAAGAGGCAACGCTTACTCGTTGAGTAACTGAAGGAAACAAGCCTTGATCAAATAAGATTAAGCAACACAAAGCCACAAATCTCATGACAGTAGATGAAGATTGTTAGTCACTGAATCTTAAAAAAATAATGTTAATGCTTTATGTCCTTTTAATTGGCACGAATAGCTGTCTTGATTTCAAGAAAGCAAACAAAAGCATGCCAGATCATAAAATCCTTGTAATTTTCTTGGGGCTAAAGCATGGAAAGTCTCTGCTGCTCCAGCAACTGGCATCCTTTGTTGCTCGACTGCAAGACACTCCATAGGCAAAGCATCAATATAGTTGAGGTGGTGCACTAGCTAAAAAGGTCCCTCCCAGCTCCACTCACAGGCAAGACAGTTCCACCTCAGGCTACAGCTGGTCTGGCTATTCTGGCTGGCACCAGAGCAGCTCAGGCACTTTGATTCCCTCCCTTGCAATGCTTCATTCAGCCCTGATTCTGGAAACCTTAAAGCAAAGCAGCCCTAACTTCACCACAAAGGAGAAATCTGAACCCAACTAAAATGCAGTGTTACATATCCAGAGCTGTGCTCACAAGTTTCAAGTGCCAAAGCAAAATAATAATTCTACCTGTGATGTAAACTTAAATTCTGCAAATTTATTATAATGTATTCTACACTTTCAATTATTTTGTGCATTTCTGCCTAGCAATTTCTTTGCAAAGGTCAAGGAAATATGCAGAATTTTAACAAGTTCTTGCTGCTATTATTTTTTAAGGAAGTTAAAAATTCAGGTCTTCTATCTGCAAAAACAATAACTTTCTAAAGTCGTCATAGCTGGTATCACTCCGTGCTGCTACTCAAGTGCAACAGCCAGGCCATTCAGTAAAGGGTTAAGCGGTTCTGAAGGCACCTGACCTAAGAAAGGCAAAATTATTTTCTCCCCGCATCAGACACTGTCCTTGCTCATTTTGTTACCACGAAAGTAGTACGTATGGGAGGGATCAAGATTTGAATCCTGCCTCAACTGCGAAGATTCATTGGGTGACCTTAGGCCAATGAACCTAATCTATCTCATAGGCCTACGGTAAAGGTAAAATGGGCTGTAGGCAGTGTTCAAAATCACCCAGGCGCATTTTGCACCTGACTATCGTCCACTTGCGACTTGACATCTCCGCCAACTGGCAGTGTGTGCCTGGCAATCATTGGATCTTGACTGTTTTCACACACTAATATCACAACCTGCAGAATTCTATCAGCTATATTGTATCTGCACATGTGGAATGAATTTTAGGGATCAAAATGCTTTTTCTGTGCAGCCTGAGCAGGAGCAGTGAACAATGTTATAGTTAATTGTTGTAGCTTGTCTCCACTTACCCCACTGCCCTGCTCATATTCTCCAATATATTGTGAAGAATATTCTTATGTTATGAATGGTCTGTGTCACCATTAAGAAAAGCAGGTCAGAACTGGCAGACTGTCCCTGGATCAAGTGACTTGAAGTTCTCAAAGTTGTCCTCTGAACTAGCCAGATGTTAAACTGATCATCAATCACAGTCAGCGCACCATTTGAAAAGTAAGACTTGTCCAAGAGCTGCCTTGTCCAAAATGGCAACTAGACATTCCGTTCTGGCAACTGCAACCTTGCTTTAAGGAGCCATTTGGAGCCTAACTTATATATTTGAGTTTCTAACACTGGTTGAACGAAATCATGTATGTTTCCACCTTGACAACAGTAATTATAATAATCTTTTGAGCCCAATATTACATTCTGCACTCACTGACTCGTGTGCCCAAATGCATTCACTAAACCATGGCTGGCAAACTAAGGCCCGGGGGCTGGATCTGGCCCAATCACCTTCTAAACCCGGCCCGCGGACGGTCCGGGAATCAGCGTGTTTTCACATGAGTAGAATGCGTCCTTTTATTTAAAATGCATCTCTGGGTTATCTGTGGGGCATAGGAATTCGTTCCTTTCCCCCCAAAAAAATATAGTCCGGCCCCCCACAAGGTCTGAGGGACAGTGGACCGGCCCCCTGCTGAAAAGGTTTGCTGACCCCCTGCACTAAACCATACAGGGAAAGGAATAGACGGAACCCAGGCTATAATCTTTGCCTCCACCAACAGCTGCTGTCTTCACATGCAGAGGATCTCTGATCTAAGTCCACAGAGACGCTACAGCTGTTAGTCACTCCAGGCTAATCCTAGATCATGACACAGATATAATGCATACCTTGTAAATGGAATGAATCAGACCCGTGCTGAGTAATAGATTTTTTCCTCTTTTGGGCCCTAGATAAAGAAAGGACATTTCACAAGGGGATTTCCTCTCTCTCTCTCTCTCTATATAGCACTCAGCAAACAGCGGTGGCAGGATGGCACAATGCCCACTAGAGTAACTCAAGAGTTTTTCGTGGGTGGTTTTCAGGCAAAGAATCAGCATGAGGAAGTGTTTTTTTAACCCAAAAACAGGAGGGGAGGGGAGAAACCACAAAGTAGTTTCCTATTCATAGTGTTTTGTATCAATGTGATTCGGAGAAGCAACATTAGCAGTTTGCCAACTTAAAGGTAGCCGTTTCTCCATTCACATACTGGTGCAAGGTTTAAGGCCTTGCACCAAGAACTCCAATATGACAACTCAAAGACCCCCAAAGAAACTATTGGAGGTTAGATATACTGTACAAGCTACAGGACATGGATGGGAAGGGGGCGGGAAGTGGTGAGTGGGTTGAGTGAAAGTGGTTTTCTCTCCCCCCATAACTGAGCATAACAAAAAGACAGTGGAGGGGAAAAGAAACACAACACCCAGGAATGCGGGTTTCCTAGAAAATTCTGAACGGCAAAACTGGTAATTTCTAGAACTGTGGTTCTCAAGCCATTGAGCTTCATAACAAAAGATTGCTTGTGCCACACTGAGTTTTTTATTGATAAGAGATACATTGGAAAACAAAAAATCTGAGTTTCTAACACTGTCTCCTACCACACCCTTTGAGAACCACTTACCTTACGAGTGTTATCCAATTCAGCCAGGTTATTTTACTTGTCAAAGCAAAACCATTTGGAACTGCCAAGCTTGCGTAATATTTCCAATTAGCATCCATTCATTGTTACTAACAAATTTACAAAATGGAAAAAGACCTGGGAATTTTTCTGCCCTATCTCACCCACAAGATCCATGACCTCTCACCTTTCCTCCTATGAATTACACAAGTTCTTTGCAGAGCTTTTAGTCACAGCCTGCAACGATTGAGTATTTCAGTGCTTTCAGGAATTTGAGGGTCAAGAGGGGAGGGGGGAGAAGGTAAGAAGGACGAAAATAAGAACAAGCCCATTCTTCTTCTCGACCAATTGTCAACATGTGTTTTAACACGCAGTCCAAAATCCTGAAGCAATCTTTGAAGACCAGCAGCCAGTTGCAAGGGAGATAGTCTACAGGAAAAATAAATTAATATGATTCTTCCCCTACTAATTATTTCATTACCCTTCATCACATAAAAAAGAGCAAACACACACCAAAATAATCGGTCCCGATTCAGACTCCTTATCCCTTCTATGTAACAAACATGACAAATGTTTAAATGGAGAAACGTTCCTACATCTCTGCGATTCCAACCCAGGCACTTTGCTATAGCTGAAGGACACCATCGCTGGATTCTGTATGGGGACAGAGCTTGTCCATGGGGGGCAGGGAAAATATGCCTGAAAATTTACCTAGCTACTTATTTGTCTGACCCATTTACGAGGACCTAAGAGTAGCCTTGTCCAAAGATTTAAATCTATCAGCTGAAAGACCTACGGGGCACTTGATTAACTTTTCTTCGGGGGGACGCTTCTGAAAAGGCGACTTGCGTTGCCTTTAGAGCAGCATTTTTAAGGAGGGAAGTTTGTGGGGACGACATTTCAAATTCTTCAGTGGAACAATTTTCTATTTGACAGAATGCCCAGTTTTAATCACAGTTTTAACTGGGTAATAGTACATTTTGCTTTGTTTCATGCATCTTGTTTTGTAATGGCTTCAGCTACACAAATAAAATTAAAGGAAACTAAAGCTATGGTTTTCCCAGTAGTGATGTATGGAAGTGAGAGCTGGACCATAAAGAAGGCTGATCGCCTAAGAATTGATGCTTTTGAATTATGGTGCTGGAGGAGACTCTTGAGAGTCCCATGGACTGCAAGAAGATCAAACCTCTCCATGCTGAAGCAAATCAGCCCTGAGTGCTCACTGGAAGGACAGATCCTGAAGCTGAGGCTCCAATACTTTGGCCACCTCATGAGAAAAGAAGACTCCCTGGAAAAGACCCTGATGTTGGGAAGGGGACGACAGAGGACGAGATGGTTGGACAGTGTTCTCGAAGCTACCAGCATGAGTTTGACCAAACTGCAGGAGGCAGTGGAAGACAGGAGTGCCTGGCATGCTCTGGTCCATGGGGTCACAAAGAGTCGGACACGACTAAATGACTAAACAACAGCAACAACAACAACATAGAATCATAGAATAGAATCATAGAGTTGGAAGAGACCACAAGGGCCATCGAGTCCAACCCCCTGCCAAGCAGGAAACACCATCAGAGCACTCCTGACATATGGTTGTCAAGCCTCTGCTTAAAGACCTCCAAAGAAGGAGACTCCACCACACTCCTTGGCAGCAAATTCCACTGTTGAACAGCTCTTACTGTCAGGAAGTTCTTCCTAATGTTTAGGTGGAATCTTCTTTCTTGTAGTTTGGATCCATTGCTCCGTGTCCGCTTCTCTGGAGCAGCAGAAAACGACCTTTCTCCCTCCTCTATGTGACATCCTTTTATATATTTGAACATGGCTATCATATCACCCCTTAACCTCCTCTTCTCCAGGCTAAACATGCCCAGCTCCCTTAGCCGTTCCTCATAAGGCATCGTTTCCAGGCCTTTGACCATTTTGGTTGCCCTCCTCTGGACACGTTCCAGTTTGTCAGTGTCCTTCTTGAACTGTGGTGCCCAGAACTGGACACAGTACTCCAGGTGAGGTCTGACCAGCGCAGAATACAGTGGCACTATTACTTCCCTTGATCTAGATGCTATACTCCTATTGATGCAGCCCAGAATTGCATTGGCTTTTTTAGCTGCCGCGTCACACTGTTGGCTCATGTCAAGTTTGTGGTCAACCAAGACTCCTAGATCCTTTTCACATGTACTGGAAATAGGACCCAACTTAGCAGCAACCACTTACGACCAAACTACACATTACATGGGACATGCAAGCTACCACCAGCCGAGGCATCTTCAGTAGTACTTAGCTGAAGCAGCCAAGCCATCCAATCCCAATCAGGGTTTCCCTGCCTCCCGCTCCACTTCATTTGACCCCCCTTGCAGGCAGTGGAGAAGCAGAGCATTGGCATCACACTGTACGCCTTTCCTAACCAATGATGGCATCATAAAGCTCAGGATCTTTGCATCAGACACTGGCTCCAGGGGACTTGGTCCCTTTTCATACTGTGAAGCTGTCTGTGCAAGCCTGCAACATTCATGCCAGAGACCAACTATGCTTAAACAGAAGCAGACCTCTTTAGCAGGTTTGTGCTCCTACTTCCCTATTACAGTATGGACAGCATTTGATCAAAAGCAATTTCCAGAAGAGCAGTATCTTGTCAGGTCTGGCTCCAAGTTTTCTCAACCTAACTCATAGACATGGTGCAGCTGTCCAACGCGGATCTGGGAACGAAGGCGTTTGAAAGCTGCTGGAAAAGGAACATTTAAGTGCTCTTTTCCCCTTCTTCTAAAATTTGAACCTATGGGTCCTTTTTCCTCTTCCTCCCCCCACCCCACCCCGCCTCTTAAATGAGTCATGTTACTTGTGATTGCTGTAGAAGCCAGACAAAGGGCACCAGCCCAATTCACCTGCTGCTGCCTCCACTAAAAATAAACAGCATGGATTGGACAGCAGGCACACACATGCAAACTCCAGACCATCACCTGAGGAACAGGACAGACAGATAGCAGAGCAACGGTCTCAGTGGTGGAGTTTGACCTTTAAGTGACTCATTTGCTTATGAGAGTCTGCCAGGGCTGACACCCCAACGCTCAGCCACGATGCGCATGGGAGCTTTTTCTGAATGATGAAAACGGGACAGTTAACTTGTCAAACTACTAGCCCAACTGAATGTGACACAATTCCTTATCTCTAAGGTACTGATCACATAAACATGGCAGCCAGGAGAGAGTTTGCAGTCACTCACTATTTTGCAGGGGAAAGAGACAAAGGGGGTGCCATGGGACAGCCTACTGAGGAACCAACCAACAATATTGGTTCAGAATTCAGAAGTCTTCAAAGGAGAGGCCGTGTCACCATTATTTTCCAAGAGGCAATTCTTCCACAGCTCTGATGCATAACAGCAGCTACCATAGTCCAACAAACCAATAGGTGGGGTTGGAATGCCCCATCTGTCCTCAAGATACCTCCAAGAAATGTAAAGGCCTCCAACACTACCATAGATGAAGACTCTCGCAACGAGGGTGGTTCCATCCCTGGCCTTTCCTGGAAAGCCATCTTCTAGGACAAGGATAGTCAACAGAATATTCCCCAGATGTTGAAAGACTCCAACTCCCATCAACCTCAGCCAGCAACGGCCAGGAATTATAAGAGTTGCAGTCCAACAATATCTGGAGAGCACTATGTTGGCTACTCATGCTCACGAGCCTAATGCGCTTACTACACACTGCTCTCGTGGGCCTTCCATTCTCTTCACTTCCCATCTCCCCTGCCTTCACATTCTACTGGATTTTTGCATGCACCCTCTTACAGCACCATTCATCACCATCAGCCTGTCTATTCCCTTCTGGCCCTGTAATCAGCTACCATCCCCATACTTCACCCTGCTGCATCTTTCCCAGAGATCACACCAAAGTGCCTGTTGATTGGACCTCTCAGTGGCTTTTGATACCATCAATCACAGTATCTGTCTGGTTACTTTTTGCCTGGTTTGGGGCCCAGAGGACCTACACGGCAATGATGGTGCTCTCACTTGGATGGTTGATTCAAGGAATTATTACTCTGGGGGGTTATTGCCCTGACCTATCTCAGTTATGTCATGGGGTTCAACAGGGCTCCATTTTATCCCCCGGGCTATCTAACACCTACATGAAACCACTGGGAGAGGTCACCGAGGGGTGGGGGCTGGTGTGTCACCAATATGCGGGTGACACCCAGCTCTTTATCTCCTTTTCATCTAATCCAGGTAACTCAGTGGGTGTTCTGAACCACAGCTTTGGAATGGAAATGGAATGAATGACAGCCAGTGAATGGAGCCTCAATCCCGGCAAGGCAGAGGAGCTGTTAGCGCAGCCTTTGCCAAGTTGATCTCAAGAAGCGGAACTAGTGGGTGGTTCATCTGCTCATTTAATGGTTCGCATTCTGCTCCATCCATCCAAAGAGGAGGTTTGACAACTGGGGGTGCTATTCGATTCAGCACAGTCACTTTCATCAGCTTTGGCAGATAGGCCAACTGCAACTTTAGTTGGGCAGAGATAGCCTTACAACGGTTAATGAGGTTCTGGTAACCTCCTAGTGGGGATATTACAGCAGCACAGTGATATGCATGGGGCTGCCTTTGAAAATGGTCTGGAAACTTCAACAGGCCTAGAGTGTGAGGCACCAGGGTTATCGTAACTGGGGCTGGCAGTTTTGATCACATCACACCAGGCTCCGTGACCTGCACTGGCTTCCAGTCAGGGATATGGGACGGAAAAATCTCACGGGGAAAATTCCATCTTATATGTTCGTTTGTAACAAAGAAGAGATGCCAACTGCAAATAAAAAAATTAGGCAAGCAGGGCAGTTTCAGAAAAGTTCGGCTTTTTAAAACAACGCGAGTGGAACAAACACGCTGAATCAGATCGCTCTGGTGGGCACTGTAACATTTTCCAATGCAAACTGAAAATGTTGATAAAAATTCACAGGAGAATTTTACAAGTCACAGTTTTCTGGAAAACCCACACCCTTGATTTCCAAGCCCAATTCAAAGCACCCTTAAAGCCCTCAACAGCTTGTGACTAGCTTGGATCACTTCCAGTCAGGTATCCCTCTCTGGCCCTTAAGAATAGATCTTCAGCAGAGGTGCTTCTCCAGGTTTCCATCCTAATGAGTCAAGGTGAGAGGTCACCAGGAGGAGGGCCTTTTGCAGTGTTGGCACCCCAGTTGCATATTATTTTTCTTAGAGAGGCTCATCCGATACTTCTGTTATGGTCTTTCCAGTGCCAACTAAACATCTTTTTTTGTTTTTTTTTTAAAAATCCCCTAACTTTTAATTACCGTATTTTTCGCACCAGACCATAACACGCACGTAGTTTTTAGAGGAGGAAAACAAGAAAAAAATATTCTAAACGAAATAGTGGATATATGATTTTTGTGGTTCATGCTGTGGCCACAGACATGTGATCTGACAGTGAGTTTGGAGTAGCCCAATGCAAAAATCCTGAGGATCCATGTGGATCCATGCTTTGTAACCACGGAGGGGGAAAGGAAGAGGAACCATGGATCCTCTGCTCACGACTGCAGCAGATCCCCCACGCCACCCGCAGGCATTTGCTCCATAACACCCACAGACATTTCCCCTTACTTTCTAGGAGGAAAAAGGTGAGTGTTATGGTGCAAAAAATACGGTATATAGTTTTGAGGAGGGGACATTTCAGATCATTGGGACTAATCCATGCTGGGCTTCAGGATGCTTTTATAAAAAATTTTAGATTGCTTTGTGCCCAATCACTTTTTTAGACTGACTTTGCTGATTATGATAAAACCAGAGAACTTGGTTGATGAGCAGTACAGAGGTGTCACAAATACATAGCTAACTTCCTTGGACTTGGGACTGGGGCTTCCTTTAGCTTTCGGCACCAACTCTATGGACCCACCATCCATTCCAAGGTCACAAACACTGATGTCCTCCCAATGAACTCACACCCCAAGGCGGGGAAGAAGAGTCACCACACAAGAGTAGGTGTCAGGATGAAGGGCGACAAACACTGTTTCAGCAATACGTTATAAATTTGCAAGGCTGCACCAACACTAAAATGCTTACTTTGCAAGCCCACAATGACTTCCACAATGCAACAGACCCCCAAATCTCCAGCAGCTAACACCTCCTCAAGAGTTTTTACCTCTTCCTGAGCTTTACAGATGCACCTCCAAGAACTGAAATGCAAGAGCATCTGTTACAGCAAACTAAAGATGCAAAGAGGAAATATAAAAAATGAAAATTCTATGGTGCACCTTGTATCTCCACAGCTCCAGCAAGAGAAAGTTTGACAGAGAGCAAGGATCCAGTTACAAAAACCTTAAATGATAGCAGAGCCACACCCCCAGAGCTTTCAAACCACAGGTATTCAAACCACCTCATCCGTGGAGCATCATTAACAGGGAGAGTAGCTGCAGGCCTGCAGATACCTACAACCCGGTACAAAGTCGCAACACACCATTCCCCTGGGAGAAGACAGAGATCCCACGAAAGCCTACAGCGCTAACGCCAACAGATATCATCTGTAGAGCTTTGTACAGGAATACACACATGCAGGAGTAGGCGTACTGAACTGGTAGCATGTAACTATAGCTGTGTGCCTACAAAATAAGATCCAGGTATTTTAATTGTGTACAAAATGGGGTGCATACAATGGTATTATGCATGAGAACACTCGACTCAAGTGCTCCTTCACCTCCAAATCAGGCACAGATTTATTACGTTTATATTCCACCTTTCCACCAAAGATCCCAAGGAGTCATATATGGTTCTGCTCTCCCCCTTTTATATTCACAACAACCCAGTGAGGTGGGTTAGGCTAAGAGATGGTGACTGACCCAGGGTTAGCCAGTGAGCTTCAAGGCTGAGTAGGGATTTAAGCCCTGATCTCTCAGGTCCACGGTAATCACTTCAGCACACTCCAAATTCCACAGAATCTCATACATCTACCACAGCCAAGCAGCTCAGGGCACACATGTTCACGCATGCACAAACACCTTAGCCCCAACTTCGCATGAGAAAGCATGACTCTCCCACCTAGCAAGCTCTACAATATTTTGAAAAGCAAGAATGCCAATACTGAAGCTTTCCCCAGATGAAACTGGCATACACCATGAGCTCCCGGGAGACACACATGGTCCTCCAGATGAATGAAAAAAAGGCATCCAGAAAACTATTATTTCCGGAACTGGGTCACCCGCCAGCACCAAAGCACACGTGCGGCAGGCGCAACACATGCAAGGCCCCCACCTCCAAAGCACCACCACCCAGCACCACCCACACAGCTCCAAGAAAGAGGCTTGCCTGTCACCACTAAGAGCTGCCGGACACATCCTGACATATATACACAACCTGCACACGCCCGTAAGCACACAATGCCCACTCTGTGCTTTTCATTGCATGAACATGACACATGCAATTCCCAACATTAATTTGGTTCTTTCCGGGCTGCAATCCAGAGCACTATTCACAACCCCTTTGACCTCAGCAAGACTTGTAGCCAGAAAAGGACATTTAAGATAGGGGTCAAGGTGTGCCATACATATATTTATACACACACACACACATGTGTATATATATATATATGTGTGTGTGTGTGTGTGTGTGTGTGTGTATACACATATATATATATACACACACATATACATACACACATACACACCACAGATATAATTTCCACTCCGCAAGCACGACATATAAGGTGCCCACAATGCTTGGCTCAGAAGTGTTTCCTCCCCAGGGGCAGAGGACTCCGTTTCACAAGGGAGGCCACCCTGTCGACACAAAACAGTCACTGTAAACCCATCTGGGCCCTTTGGCCCAAGATTTCAGGGGAAAGAGCGGAGCAGAGAAAGTGTCAGATGCCCTGACACAGACCTGGAGAGGCCAGCCCTTCGCAGACCTACGCACTCCCAAGTGCACACGCGAAAATGCCAGGCAGAGGCACACCCCCTTGTGCTCCTCTCCTCCAGCTGAAAAGGCAGGATTAAATGCTGCACACGGGAATCCCAACACACAGAAAGAGAGGGAGAGGGAGGAAAGCAACTCCTAGGCACACGCACACGCGGTGCAAAAGTGCAGCCCCCCTAGAAAATGCAATATCCACCCTCCTCTTCCTTGCATTTTGGCCATGCCAGGCCTAGCTGGAGAGATCTGGGGAGGGAGCAGCACCACCCCCCGGCCTCCTCGTCCTTCCCACCCCCCAAGTGCCCGGCCCCACTCACCAATCACCTCCTGCAGCTCGTAATCATCCTTGTTGATGGACCAGGGCAGGGAGCTGGAGTCTTCAGCAGCCATGGCACCAGCAGCTGCTTCCCCCAGCACAGGCAAAAAGGAAAAAGGGAAGGCTGGCAGGCCTGGCCCCCAAAGGCAGGGAAGTGGGGAGAGAAGGGGGGAGGGAGAAGAAGGAGACCAGAGCCTGCCTTGAGTTTTCCCACGCACAGCAGCCTGCCTCCTGCTCCCGCTTCCCTCCTCCTAACAGGGGCCAAACTTAGCCTGCTCTTCCCACCTGCCCATGCCCAGAAGCGCGCGGTGACGTCACCCCGCACGGCGCGCGTCTCCCGCACGAGGTGGGGAGGACGCCGACGCCATCTTGAGCGTGGCGTCCGCTTGAGTTGTCGCTTACAGTATATTATGAAACAAGGGCATGACTTCGGGTTGTGTGGGGTTTTTTTTCTAATATATATAAATACATGTATATACTCCACGAACGGGCCCACCGACTCCCGTTCTCCCGCCCGGCGCTGGCTTGTACCACGAGTGCGGAAAGGAGGCTGAGGCGATGGGCGCCGCACCCAAGATGGCGAAAGGCGCATTCTTCGCCTTCGCTCGTCTCGAACGAGCCGGGAAGGAACCCCGCCCCTGTGGGTCTGGGCGGCGCTGATTGGTGAGTGGGCGAGGAGGGCAAGGATATCCTGCCGGGTATTGGCTTGCTTTGGTGTCCGTCACGCTTCGTTCCCGCCTTTGTCCCTTGGCAGGACTTGGTTGCTGGGGAGGAGGACTGAGATGAGCAGGGGAGGGTTTGGCTTCATGTTGCCTTTTGCTGGGAAGGAGGAAGAGTTGAGCTGGGTTGGGTAGGAATGCAAAGCATTTGCCAAGCTAGGAACCGTAGCTCGGAAGTTCGCAGATTTTTGCTCAGTATTTCAAATGCTGCCACTTGGGCAAAGGTGTCTCTGAGCATGCACAGAGTGCTTTCCTCCTTTAAAAAAAAATCTCTGTAAAAGGGAAGCCTGTTGAATGTGCATAGCTTCTCCCTGCGATTGGCAACCCTGTTGTGTTGCAACCTTATTTTCTATCTCCTTTTCTCCGTGAAAACTTCATTGTGTGCAGAAAATAACTTGCAAAGCTTTGAACAACATCTGCCAAGACTTCCATTAAAAGTCTGGCGTTTGGCACAAGCCTAGTTTTCAGGTGTCTCTTCATGCCAAGATGGCTGTTCAGATGAGCCAGCCATTTAAAAAATGATTATTATTGTATCGTTTTTCTGACGCATTATTATTTTCACTCGCAATATTTTGTTGTACGCTACTTTGGTATTTTATATCAGCTGTATATAAATATTTGTTTAAATTAAAATAGAAATAAACAAGGCTCTAGTAGGGCTTGTGCCATTTCTCAAAAAGACCAGTCTTAAAGCAGTATCATTGCACTTTACACAGTCATGGCTTTCCCTCCAAAGACTGCTGGGAAGTGTAGTTTGTTAAGGGTGCTGAGAATTTTTAGGAGAGCCTTGTTCCCCTCAAAGAACTACATTTCCCAGGATTTTGGGGGGGAAGCCAGGACTTTACAAGGTGATAGGATACAGCTTTAAATGTACAGTGCAAATTAGGTCTAAAGGAGTGATGAGACCTCCACTGTCCATATGTATGATCTGGCCAGATTGTGATGTTTAGCGTGCTGGTATTCCTATTTATTTTTGTACTTACTATAGTTATTTAGATAAATGTATAGGCTGCTTAGTCAGAAAACTCTCGTAAGTGTTGTACATAATAACATTATTCATGTCACAGCTCAGGACCCAAATAGCTGCAAGATAACCTTTAAAGCCTGCCCTTGCTTTTAATTCAGCATAAGAGGCTTTCCTGGTGATTCCTAGGTAGGAGGAAGTACACTTTCCCTTTGAGGAAAGTGCAGAGGGTGCCAAGACAAGATCAGGCCTTCTCGGTGGTGGCTTCCCGATTATGGAATGCTCTCCCCAGTCAGATGTGCCATCACAGTCAACCTCTAGGTACTGGGTAAATCTGTTTTTACTTATCCATTTTATGTTATTGCAGGATGAGCTCTTATAATCAATAATAATAATCTTATAATCAATAATGTATTTTGAGATTTTGGTGTTTTTTATTATTATAAGTCACTTTGAAACTTTTTTTTTTTTGTAGTAAGCAAACAAATATACGTAACCAATAAAGGTGATGATGTAAGTGCCCAGAGAAGGGCCTTTTCAGTGGTGGCTCCTTACATATGGAAATCTCTCCCTTCTGAGGTGTGTCTGGCTTCATCTCTTTATCGCTTCATGTGGTTGGTCAAGAGATGCTTATGGGGGAGGAGCAACTGCTGCTACTAGTAACTATCATTCAGTGAATAGTTGTGTGTTTCTTAATGGGCTGTGCTATTCTTGCGGATTTTATGTATTCTTGCCTACTTGTTTTTCTTGCAAAGCACCCTGTGGCCAGTACAAATGGTAGCATATAAATCATCTAAATAAATAAATCACTCTGTACCTGGGCAGACAGGAAGTAGATCTGGATCTACTGGTATCTTTGGGTGATCCACAGTAGGTAGGCAAGGATTTTTGACTCACAATAGTTTAACAATAGCACAATTAACAATTCTCTGACTCGGCCTGCCTTGCGGTAATGGCTCACTTATGCCTCACGTTTTCCTCACCTGTAAAATATTTGTATTGTCTTTGACCAAATATTTTGGGCAGATTCCTGGCCAACTTTAGGGTTTTATGTTAGGATCCTTGAACTGTACTAATGCCAATGTGTGTGTGTGTGTAACTGTATACAAATAAATTGATATATTGCCTCGGTCCTAGACCCGGCTAGACTAAAGTGGGCTTGCTCCTGCTAGGCCAGCTATCAAGGCAACCTAGTAAAGATAAAGGGACCCGTGACCATTAGGTCTAGTCGTGGCCAACTCTGGGGTTGCGGCACTCATCTTGCTTTATTGGCCGAGAGAGCCGGCGTACAGCTTCCGGTTCATGTGGCCAGCATGACTAAGCCACTTCTGGCGAACCAGAGCAGCGCACGGAAACGCCGTTTACCTTCCAGCTGGATCGGTACCTATTTATCTACTTGCACTTTGACGTGCTTTCGAACTGCTAGGTTGGCAGGAGCAGGGACTGAGCAACGGGAGCTCACCCCATCGCGGGGATTCGAACCGCAGACCTTCTGATCGGCAAATCCTAGGCTCTGTGGTTTAACCCACAGCGCCACCACAAGGCAACCTGCTCTGCCTTAAATACCCCTGTTCTTGCAAATGTTCTTGCAAATGGCCCTAAATTGTTTCTTAATGGGCCTAGATTGGCCAGGTCAGGGTTTTGTGGGGTTTTTGTTGTTGTTGTTGTTGTTGTTGTTGTAGTATTGGCTCTGCAGCTTGTATTTCTCCCTTCACATCCCAAATAATCAAAATCCTACCATTTATTAATTTCTAGGATTTAGGGGAGTCTCCCCCCCAAAAAAAACCCCTATAACAATACAAACACAATAGAAGTATGAACGTTCCTTTAAGAAAGAGCCTAGTAATCATTGCTGGGCTACAAGAGTCCCAGGTAACCAAACCTGATCTGTCCTGCTTTCATTTGTTTCAAGACTTGTGATTGTTTATGTCACACCAGCATAGCTGGAAAGACCAGCTAGTCTGGCAGAGAGGACCAGTTACCACTGGTTTTGAGTTATCACTGGCTGGAAAGCAAATACTGTTTTCTTGGTTCTTTCTCCCTGTTTCCCTCAGTCTCAAATGTTTTTTTTTCTCTCTCTCTATTAGTTATAGAAATAGTTGGATTCACCTTCAGGTAGTCGAGAGTCTTTGGGGGCTTCCAGACTTTGCATTTTTCAGGAGGGAGTCGAGCACGTATCTGAATTTTAGGTATGCATAGTTAAAGCTCTCTCTCTCATCCTAGCACAGCAGATTTTAAAACACCAACAACATTTTGAGGTTTGGAAAATAACATGGAAACGCATTGAAAAGTGTAGGGCGGGTGGAAAACAGCAAGACATGTAAAACATCCTACAGACAAATCCAGATGAAGGCTCGTTGTCACATAACCTTCCTGCGAACAAATCAGGACAAATGCTAAAAACAACAACCCACCGGACATAGCTGAACTGTCTCTTGGTGGAAACAAATCAGGAAAAATGCTGAATAAATAGGTTATCTGGGGGAGATCGGAACGGCAATCCACTGAGAGCATGCTGCAGAATACACCTGCAGAAATAACTTGCCTCGCCACATTTTCTTGAGGATGAAAATGGGAAGATAACATGGGACCCTGAACTCTAGAGGACAGGTGCAATTCACCGTAATAAAACAAATAGCAGACCTCGGGTTCAAGAACCTTCAGTACGGAAAAGGAGAAGTGGAAAGAAACCACTATATGTATGCGTAGTCGCACCCCTGGCACTCACATTGCTTAATCTGCTCGCACGATTGTTTGTGTGTGGCATGCTAGTTCCGCTTGCTTCCCAACCGGAAATGTGCTGGATTGTCCACAATTTTATCCTTTGGGCCAGTTGCCAAAACTGGAAGGTGAAACGGTTTGAGAAATGCCAACGCAGCGGAGCAGATCTTGCAAGTTGTGTGCATGTTTGCTTTTTACTCATCGGCTGACTGGGCCACCGTATTTTTCGCTCTATAAGACGCACCAGACCACAAGATGCACCTAGTTTTTGGAGGAGGAAAACAAGAAAAAAAATATTTTGCATCTCAGAAGCCAGAACAGCAAGAGGGATCGCTGCGCAGTGAAAGCAGCAATCCCTCTTGCTGTTCTGGCTTCTGGGATAGCTGCGCAGCCTGCATTCGCTCCATAAGACGCACACACATTTCCTCTTACTTTTTAGGAGGGAAAAAGTGAGTCTTGTAGATCGAAAAATACGGTATTTTGAATTGTTTGTATTTTGCTCGCATGCCGATATGTTTAATGTTTGTTTTATAATGTATCATCCATCACCAAGAGCAGTGATGGGGGAGCCTGTGGCTCTCCCGGACGCCACCCCCATCAGCGTGGTTGGTGACCAGAGATGATGGGAATTGTAGTCCAGGAATGAAGGCCTGAAGGTCCCCCACCTCGTCACATGAGGCAACTGCCCCAATAGAACTACTAAGTAAAATATGAAGCAGTGGCTTGGTAGCATTTTCCAGGGCGCGTTATTCTGAGACACTGCCTGTGTGCGCATCAGTCTCCATGCAGGAGTGTGTAAGTGAACAGGACCAGATTGCTCTTTTCCCCTGTGCCCCGTGCTCCTAGGATCACTGACCACATGAAGAAGAAGAAGCTGCTCTAGATGGTATTTCCCCTCCTCCGATAACCCTTAAAGTTTCTGGAACACGCTCAGGATTTGAACTTAGCAACCTTCAGTTTGTGGGCTTAAGGCGCTGGCTGTGGCAGCCACTCTTTCCCCAGTGAACAATGCCTGCCCTGTTATTCCACTCACACAAAAAGAGCAAGCGGCTTTTGGCAAGCAGGACGCCTGACCTTGTCGCTGGGCCTCCTGGTTTCCATTGAAGGGGACATTTACAGGCTTGTTAAACAAGAGGGCTCCATCTCCATTCGCAGCCCAATGAATCCTGCAAGGAGCTGGTGGACTCTGATGGTTTTTGTTTTGCTTCCCACCCCGCTCTGTGCTTAATGAAACAGTAAAACACTCTCTATAAAGCCCCACCTCAGTGTTCGGAGCAGAGCCTTTGAGTTCTCCCTTGACTCTCGATGGGGTTTTGCTCAGCCATCGGCTCGCAGGGCAAGGCTTCCAAAACGGGAGCCAACGCTGAGCATAATCTCTGCCAAGGAGGTTTCCTGCACCAATTATTCTCTGTAATGCCGAGACCTTCAGGCCGACTGCTCTGTTAGCCTGCCAGGTTATTTTCCCATTCATTTCTCGCAGGCCTTTCCTAACACCACCTAACCCCACAGCCCCCAAATGCATAATGCACACCGGCTGTTATGCACGAAGACATATTTTATTTGTGTGTGCTTTTATCCTGAACGTTGGCACTTCTTTATTTTCAAGGAAGAGTGCGGCAGCAACTCTCCCAATGTCCATGCCCTAGTAAAGGTCTGGTGCCAATTGCAACCCTGGCACTTCTTGTACTTATAGAAGCATAGAATTTTAGAATAGGAAGGGATCCTAAGGATATAGTCCAACCCCTTCCAGGTAGGAAAATGCAGCTGTCCCATGCAGGGATCGAACCTGCAACCTTGGTGTTGTCGGCACCACACTCTAACCAACTGCACAATCTCCTGCTTGCCACTGTTTGGTGGTAGAGCATCTGTTTGCAGGCAGAATGTTCTGTTCAGTCCCCAGGATGCCAAAAATACTGAGCTGGAGGGACCCAAGAGTGTGTGTGTGTGTGTGTGTGTGTGTGTGTGTTTGTGTGGCAGCTGTAATGGACTAGCTGGACACAGAGGAATGGTAGGAGGCAACTGGGGAACCCCCAAGGGAAGAAGGCTCAGAGCCCAGGGAGTGGTAGTGGGACAACGAGAGGTCATCGAGAGCAGACTGGGAGGAGGTGGTGCCAGAAGATGAAGAGGTAACAGGGCTTAGTGAGCGGGGAGAGTCTGTGGCAGAGAGAAGTTTGGAATCAGACGCAGGAGAGGAGGGAGGCCAAGAGGCAGAGATGATTCAGGCTGCAGAAGAAGCAAGGGTGTCTCCCCCTTCTGCTGCAACAAAATCCCTTCCCTCCTCATCTCCCAGGACCAGGAGAGGTATGAAGTGGTAGGAACAAAGGCAGACGTAATCTCAGATTGCTTGGGAAAGACTCACAAGAGGAGGAGACTTAGGAAAGTTGGGGACCTTCAGTCTCCACAACTTCTTCATGGGGCACGATCTACCAAGAAGAGTTGCTGTGCGCATTATACCTGGCACACCTGTGTAGAAATCCTGTTTCTTCTAATAAAGAGTTCGCTTCGCTTATTCTGTGGTTTGTTGCTGGCTTGCTCCCAACAGAAACATCCAATGCCAAAGAGAAAGGAGTCACTGTCCTGACTTCTCCATTGGTTCTGTCCACAGACCAGATGTATTTTAAGCCACAGGCTGACAACTCTGAAGCTAGGGGAGCTTCGAAACCTAAATCCGGGTGGCTAACCTGTGCCCCCCCCCCAAACTCCCATTAGCCCCAGCCATCATCACCAGTGGTCAGCGATGGTGGTGCTTGCAGTTCCAGCTTCACCTGGAAGGTCACATAGTAGCCCCTCCCCAACTCCCTGGATCTAAATAAAGGAGACTATTTTCTGGATGATGGGACAATATCCCTGAGAGATTGGCAAGACACCTTGAGCTTCTCCTTGACCTCTGGCTGATCTTCAGCCTTCCCCACGGGAGTAGCGATCTCGCTTTCATCTCATCAATTCGTACAGGTTTGTTGGAGGGTCTCCTCTCTTAGTGCCTTCTCAGCAAATTTACACACTGCAAAAAGCTTTCCTCCCCTCCTTATGATGTGGCTTTTGCTTAAAGGCCAAGGACAATGTCACTGAGCTGAGTGACGGCTGCTAAAAATAGGCACATTTCTGTGTATAGAAAAACCGAGGAAGGATCAGAATCGAACACATGGGGGGAGGGGGGAGGGAGGGAGAGAGAGAGAGAGAGAGACCCGCTATGCAGGAGAGAAGCAGGAAATAAGGGCCAATAATGAAATTTGGGAGCATTGCCAAAAAAGCAAAACAAGGACAACCCACCTATTAGAAGACTTTCTACTACAGTGTGTGTTGGGGGGGGGAGGAAAAAAAGAAAAGAAAAACCACCCGTTTAAAAATTACTTAATTTTTTACAGTTGCGCCTGAAAGGTGAGCAGTAGGATGGAGACTGTAGAACGTGTACAGTGGTACCTCTGGTTAAGAACTTAATTCGTTCCGAAAGTCCGTTCTTAACCTGAAACTGTTCTTAACCTGAGGTACCACTTTAGCTAATGGGGCCTCCTGCTGCCGCCGCCGTGCGATTTCTGTTCTCATCCTGAAGCAAAGTTCTTAACTTGAGGTACTATTTCTGGGTTAGCAGAGTTCGTAACCTGAAGCGTCTGTAACCCGAGGTGCCACTGTATTTCATTAACGGCAATAAGGGAATTCTGACTGCACGGCCCTATCCCCCTCCAAAAGCCTTTATCATATAATAAAAGATGGCAGCTTCTCACTTTAGCCCCGTTTCTGTCCCAGATGTTTTGGACTGCAAGAGGAGAGGAGACCCTCTGGGCCTAAGGATGTTGCTGGGCTACAGCTCCCATCATTCTTGACCAATGGCCACGGTGGAAGGGGCTCATAGAAGTCGCAGTCTAACAGCATTGGGAGAGCTACAGGCTTCCCCCTGCCCCCAATTATAATAGCTTTGGGAAATTGTTGTGTTGGCTTTTAAATCATATCTAGCGCCGTTATGGGTCAGTGATTGGTCTGATACTACTACTTTGTGATTTATTCTTTTTAAAAAAAACTTTGCCTGAAAATTCCTCACCCTTTAACTTCACATTTCTCCTAACATGCAAGTTTGCCTAATATATGCAATTCTGCAACTTCCCCTGCTATAATGTATTTATGTATTTTTTGTATATATTTTTTATTTTTTATTAAGTACAAATTAGAAAACATACATATTTACAACAAAAGAAAATACAAAAGAAAAAGAAAATACATATAACCAAGGAAAAAATTAGAGAATATTTTGTCTCTTTTCATATTTACAGTTATTTATACCTCTATAAAATGCTATTCACAATAAAGGAGTGAAATGAAAGATAAGATATCAGAAAAAAGAAAAAATAAAGAAGTAAAAGAAAAGAATCATAGGTGAAAATTTTTAAAAGTAGATAAGTACCGTATTTTTCGCCCTATAGGACGCTCTGTCCCATAAGGCGCACCTAATTTTTTTGGGGGGGGAAATAAAGGGGGAAAAAATTATTTCCCCCCCAGGCACGGGGCTGGGGCGAGGGAAGCCCGAGCTTCCCCCGACCCCAGCCCCCAGAACAGGCAACTCTCCAGCGCCGGGCTCGCGCGCCTTGCGGAAAGCTGCGGGAAGTGTGGGCGTGCGCGCCCAGCCTTCGGCCTGCAGGCAACTCTCCGTAAGCCGTGGGAGCCTGGCTGCGCGAAGCCTGGAGAGCAAGAGGGGGCGGTGCGCACCGACCCCTCTCGCTCTCCAGGCTTCAGCGAAAGCCTGCACTCGCCCCATAGGACACACACACATTTCCCCTTCATTTTTGGAGGGGGAAAAGTGCGTCCTATGGGGCGAAAAATACGGTATTCACTATACATAGCCGTTTCCTTCTATATGCTATAATGTATTTTTGTATATCGCTACTAATACCTGCATTCTATTCTTTAGCATACACATTCTTCTACACACTGCTCAGCCGGAGAACTGCACTGCCAGATTTTGGATAAATCTCGAAAGATGGCTGTCTTTCTCTTTGCATGCTGTTTTGGAAAGCGCACATTAAGTCAGTTTGCCTTTAAACGCAAACTGAATTTATTCCCACCCCCCTCCATCCCCACACTGCAGCCCCCTTTCAGGGCTGGGTGCAAAACCTACTCCCCCAGGCTGAGGATGGAACCAACCTCTGGATAGTTATGGAAGAGCTTCACAGCAGCTGAGGTTTCAAAACGAATGACTATATTAGGAAGAAAGGGATCTCGTCCTCCAATAAGGTCGAGGCTGCTCCTGATACATCCAAGAATGCGTACCTCTCGGCTATTGTAGTCAACGTTTATGCCTTTCTGAGCATGTTGTATGAGCATGCAGGCTACACCCAACTAGGCCTGGCTTTACCCCAAGAGAAGCAAGACGAAACAGCCAAATGATTAAGGCCCGTGTAATAAGAAATCGGCCAACATTTGCTATATGACAAAATGTTAGCTTGTTATAAGAACAGCCCTGCAAGATCAGGCCAGTGGGCCATCTAGTCCTAGCATCCTGTGGCCAGTCAGATGCCTGTGGGAAGCCTGCGATCAGGATTCGAACACAAGAGCCACTCTCCCCACCTGTTATTCCTAGCAAAAGGTGGTTTCAGAAGCATTCTGTCTCATTCCCTCATACCTACGGGACCGCCTCTGCCGATATGCCCCTCGGAGGACCCTAAGGTCCATAAATAGCAACACCTTAGTGGTCCCGGGCCCTAAGGAAGTCAGATTAGCCTCAACCAGAGCCAGGGCCTTTTCAACACTGGCTCCGGTCTGGTGGAACACTCTGCCTCATGAGACCAGGGCCCTGCAGGATCTGATTTCTTTCCGCAGGGCCTGCAAGACAGAGTTGTTCCGCCTGGCCTTTGGCTTGGAATCAATTTGATTCCCTCCCCCTCTTTCTTTTTTCCTTTCTCCTTCTGTGTTGGAACTCCTATTTGGGGACTTCCCTGGCTTTTTTCTGGCCCATGTAGGACTAGTCTGAATAGTTAGCCTTGGTGAAGACTTGACATTTTTATCCCCAAGAAAGTTTTTGATCTGACGCATTTTAATGTTGTACTTTAATCTTGTTTTTTAAGCTGTATTTCAATAAATTGTTTTTATATTTGGTGTTAGCCGCCCTGAGCCTGGTCTTGGCTGGGGAGGGCAGGGTATAAATAAAAGTTGTTGTTATTATTATTATTATTAACGGTGGAAACAGAACATAGCCATCATGACTAGTAGCCACGGATAGCCTTATCCTCCGTAGAGGTGTCCACTTCTTTTGAAACCATCCAAGCTGTGATCCAACACTGCCTCCTGTAGGAGCAAAGTTCTTAGTGAGTCAAGTATTTTATTTTAGCTGTCCAGAATCTCCCAGTATTCCGCTTCACTGGGTGTCCACGAATCCCGAAAAGGGAGGAAAACATTTTTGTATCCATTTCCCTCATGGCATACATAATTTTATAAACTTAAGGTAAAGGGACCCGTGACCACTAGGCCCAGTGGTGGCCGACTCTGGGGTTGCGACGCTCATCTCGCTTTATTGGCCGAGGGAGCCGGCGTACAGCTTCCGGGTCATGTGGTCAGCATGACTAAGCCGCTTCTGACGAACCAGAGCAGCGCATGGAAATGCCGTTTACCTTCCCTCCAGAGTGGTACCTATTTATCTACTTGCACTTTGACGTGCTTCCAAACTGCTAAGTTGGCAGGAGCAGGGACCGAGCAATGGGAGCTCACCCCGTCACAAGGATTCGAACCGCCGACCTTCTGATCGGCAAGTCCTAGTTTATAAACTTGCTTTCACTCTAAACCAGGGTTTCCCAAACTTTGGTCTCCAGCTGTTTGGGGGCTACAACTCCCATCAACTCTAGATAACAGGAACAGTGGTCAGGGATAATGGGAATTGTAGTCCCAAAACAGCTGGAGACCCAAGTTTGGGAAACCCTGCTCTAAACTAAGGTAAAGGTAAAGGGGCCCCTGACCATTAGGTCCAGTTGTGACCAACTCTGGGGTTGCGGCACTCCTCTCGCTTATTGGCCGAGGGAGCCGGCGTACAGCTTCCGGGTCATGTGGCCAGCATGACTAAGCTGCTTCTGGCGAACCAGAGCAGTGCACAGAAACGCCATTTACCTTCCCGCCAGAGCGGTACCTATTTATCTACTTGCACTTTGACGTGCTTTTGAACTGCTAGGTTGGCAGGAGCAGGGACCAAGCAACGGGAGCTCACCCCGTCGTGGGGATTCGAACCGCCGACCTTCTGATCGGCAAGTCCTAGCCTCTGTGGTTTAACCCACAGCGCCACCTGCGTCCCAACTAAGTCCTAAATGCTGCAACTTTTTCTTACCAGGGAATCGCTGCATTCCCTTTATCATTGCGTTTGCGCTTTCCCAAACCCTTTCCAACTCTAGGGTGTTCTTTTTGAGGACATGTTTTGGTAACCTCTCGTTTGAGCTACTACATTGAATTATATACAGGGCTGCCCTTTACTAGAAACAGTTGATGCTGTTGAATGTTGCAGCTAGATTGCTGGGTACGGAGACTTACCTTGCCCATTTTAAAACAGCCACGCTGGCTTCTGGTTCATTTCGGAGCACAATTCAAACACTGGTTTTTCATTTCTGTGTCCTCTAGATGCCCTGGATTACAACTCCCATCAGCAGCAGCCAGCATGAGCCATTGTTTTCCCCAAAAATATGGCTACCGAGGGCTGCTATAAAGTATGTGCAACTCTGCACCCATCTTACAATTGCTAGTAAGCATTTTCTAAACCACAAGCATTTCCCCCCCCCAAAAGCAAACAACTAAACCAAACCAGTTTATTACCAGTGTTTTCGAAGTGGCTAAACCAAGGTTTTAATACAAAGCATTCTCCTTGACCTTAATGTTAAAAATACATTTACAGTGGTACCTCGGGTTACATACGCTTCAGGTTACATACACTTCAGGTTACATACTTTGCTAACCCAGAAATAGTACCTCGGGTTAAGAACTTTGCTTCAGGATGAGAACAGAAATTGCGTGGTGGCGGCGGCGGAAGGCCCCAATAGCTAAAGTGGTGCTTCAGGTTAAGAACAGTTTCAGGTTAAGAACGGACCTCCTGAACCAATTAAGTACTTAATCTGAGGTACCACTGTACGTCTCTTTTTTCTTAAAAGAGCTCAGAATAGTGGTGGGTCCTCACATGGCAAACCTGGGTGGTTGGTTTAAGCCGAGATAAACACAAGAGCAAGCAGCTTGCCCAGGGCCACCCTAGACCTACATTTGAACCCGAATTCCTCAAAGGCAGCACTCTGCCAACAATAGATCAACCCGGGACTGGATTATTTAAATGTATGCACAAAGGTAAATATACAAGAAAGTGCCGCAACATTCAGAAATTCAGCAGTGATTTAGGAACAAGAATCAGACCAAAGGCTCAACTCCTCCAGCGTCCTGTTCTTACAGTTGCTTTAGGACAGGGGTCAGCAACCTTTTTCAGCAGGGGGCCGGTCCACTGTCCCTCAGACCTTGGGGGGGCGGACTATACAGTGGTGCCTCGCAAGACGAAATTAATCCGTTCCGCGAGAGTCTTCGTCTAGCGGTTTTTTCGTCTTGCGAAGCAAGCCCATTGACGGATTAGCGCTATTAGCGCTATTAGCGGGTTCGCGGCTATTAAAGGCTTAAAGGCTTAGGGTATGAGCTGCTAAAAGGCTATTAAAGGCTATTAAAGCCTTAGCAGATTAGATAACGGGGGGGGAAAGCGAAAAAAAAATCTCAAGACTCGCAAGGTATTTTCGTCTTGCGAAGCAAGCCCATAGGGGAATTCGTCCTGCGAAGCAACTTCAAAACGGAAAACCCTTTCGTCTAGCGGTTTTTCCGTCTTGCGAGGCATTCGTCTTGCGGGGCACCACTGTATTTTGAAAAATAATATGAACGAATTCCTATGCCCCACAAATAACCCAGAGATGCATTTTAAATACAGTGGTACCTCGGGTTACATACGGTTCAGGTTACAGACGTTTCAGGTTACAGACTCAACTAACCCAGAAATAGTGCTTTAGGTTAAGAACTTTGCTTCAGGATGAGAACAGAAATCGTGCTCCGCTCCGGCGGCACAGCAGCAGCAGGAGGCCCCATTAGCTAAAGTGGTGCTTCAGGTTAAGAACAGTTTCAGGTTAAGAACGGGCCTCCAGAACGAATTAAGCACTTAACCCGAGGTACCACTGTAAAAGCACACATTCTACCCATGTAAAAACATGCTGATTCCCGGACCATCCATGGGCCGGATTGAGAAGGTGATTGGGCTGGATCCAGCCCCCGGGTCTTAGTTTGCCTACCCATGCTTTAGGGGAAGCTCGCAAGGAGATGAATGCAAAACATTTTGCCCACCTGCGATTCCCAGCACATGGTTTCCAAGAACACAGACATCATGGTGGGCAGCCATTCATAGCCTTGTCCTCCATGTATTTTTAGTGGCCATCCTTACACCTTGTAAGATCCACAGTTTAACATGTGAAGAAGTGGGGGAAAGAGTATAAACCATTTTGGGATTGCAGAACTGAACCGTGCAATCATGAGGGGAGGGGATGACTGTGCAGTGCTATTACTGAGAAGTTAGTTCCACTGAGTTAAGTGGTTTAAGTGCATACCCAGCTGCAGTTTTCAATCATTATTTTCTTTGAAAACACAGTTCCCTGTTTTCTAAGTAGCTGTCGCCGTCTCTCTCGTTCATATATAATGACTATTTCAAAGTGCATGGGATCTGAAGGAAGGTCTCTGCAACACTCAGGAATGTAATACAACACAAGGACAACAGACGATGCACCAATTTAGTTTACAGACATCACATCGGGTATTATTCCCTGCCTAGGAATAATTGCGCTGCAGCCCACTTCTTCGGAATGCTGAGAACCGCCATTTTGTAAAGAGCTTGCGTTTATCTTAAGATTCACCTTTCCCTGGAAGGTATACCAGTAGCAGAGCTGGACACTGAGGTCCAGCTCCAAGGGCCTTCTGGCGGTTCCCTCACTGCGATAAGTGAAGCTACAGGGAACCAGACACAGGGCCTTCCCGGTAGCGGCACCCACCTTGTGGAACGCCCTCCCATCAGATGTCAAGGAAATAAGCAACTATAGTCATGCCTCAGGTTACAGACGCTTCAGGTTGTGTTTTTTTGGGTTACGGACCCACCAAAACCCAGAAGTACTGGAATGGGTTACTTCCGGGTTTCAGTGGTCGTGCATGCACAGAAGCACTAAATCGCGCTTTGCGCATGCGCAGAAGCACCGAATTGCAACCCGTGCGTGCGCAGACACACCACTGCGGGTTGCGAACGTGCATCCCGCACAGATCACATTCGCAACCCGAGCGTCCACTGTATCTGAATTTTAGAAGACATCTGAAAGCAGCCGTTTAGAGAAGTTTTTAATGTTTGATGTTTTATCTTGTTTTTAATATTCTGTTGGGAGCTGCCCTGAGTGGCTGGGGAAACCCAGCCAGATGGGCGGGGGTATAATTATTATTATTATTATTATTATTATTATTATTATTATTATTTGCAAACCACCACAAAGAGCCTGAATACCACAAGCAACTCCAGGGCCAGCCTGCCCTTCTTGTTTCCCACAGTATTTGGTAAGCAGAAGTACAGTGCGCCTCTGTACGGAGGTTCCAATCAGCTATCGTGGCTTAGAATTATTCTGTTTGGGCACATAATATATCCTCATCCTCGGCCATATCTCTGTACATAGATAGATATGGAATGCACACCCAGAGAAAAATCCAAGGATTAACCGAGCACCCATTCCTCCCAGTCTTTCATTTCTGGAGGTCACAGGGAAAACGTTTTCGGGGTGGCAGGGTTGAGTGGAGTTCAAAAAATTTGAAAGCAAGCACGTAGTGGGCCGAGTTGAACTGGAAATGGTGAGCAACAGGGTGCGGTTAGAATACCCTGCCAAATCCAGCCTGTGTAAACACACGCAAGGAGAGGTAGATCAATCAGGATTTTTTTTAATAAAAAAGAGCCTCAATGAACTCTGATCATTGAAGAGAAGAGTGGATTTGATATCCCGCTTTATCACTACCCGAAGGAGTCTCAAAGCCGCTAACAATCTCCTTTCCCTTCCTCTCCCACAACAAACACTCTGTGAGGTGAGTGGGGCTGAGAGACTTCAAAGAAGTGTGACTGGCCCAAGGTCACCCAGCAGCTGCGTGTGGAGAAGCGGGGAAGTGAACCCGGTTCCCCAGATTACGAGTCTACCGCTCTTAACCACTACACCACACTGGCTCTCCTATTGTCTCCCAAGGGCAGCCTCCCAGATGCAAACTTGAGACACGTCTACCAGGAAATGCAGCAGAACTGTTCTCTAACTCAATTTACCCCAACGAAACTAAGGCACTTTTATTTTGACTTGCCACATTATTTGGAGAGAATCGTTCCCTCTGTTGGTGATGTTCAGCCCGTGTCTGCCTAAGCATGTGTGCCAAAATGGCATCGCGCACACAAGGAAGGCTGGCTTGTGGGGACCCCAAAGTTTGCAGAAGTACCAAAGAGAGGACTACCCTTAAAAACAAAAGGCCGGATGGGGGCTAAGCATATTCCATCACAGCAAAATGCTGGTTGTTAGACAGAGGGAGAAGAAACAGAGCAATCCTGAACAGCAGCATTCCAGAATGTGCCTTTTTTTTGTACAACCCACTTGTTTTCCTTATAATATCCACAATTTATCTTCTCTGAAAATGCCCTTATTCCTATCGAGCTATTCTCAATATTGCTATCTGGGCTAGAACTCATGGAAAAGTTTGGCACAGCATGGGACACATCTATGAGATCTCTTTTTGTGCTTTTATAATAGTAGAAGACTGGCTAACCCCTGGTCCTCAACTCAGCGCTCGTACACTCATTCCTCCCCTCGCAAGATCCAGTTAGTCAGTTACTTCCTGGCTTGCAGCTAACCTGGATGGCCATCTGTCAGGGATGCTTCAGTTGAGATTCCTACATTGCAGGGGGTTGGACCAGATGACCCTCTTGCTTCCCTTCAACTCTATGATTCCATAAACTATGGCTTGTGCTTCCCCTGCAAACCATTGCTTGAGCTCTAGTTTTGCAGAACAAGCACAAGCCATAGTTTGTTGGTTCAGATGCAATGGCAAATTATGGTTTGTTGCAAACCAGGAATTAACTAATTAAGCAGAGTATGTGGGAGGAGCATGGAGAGCTCGAGAGCCAAGACTCAAACATGTAACACCAAACCATGGTGTGCCGTTAATCATGATTGACTGTTGTTGTTGTTGTTTTGTAATGTCTGACTCTTCGTGACCCCATGGACCAGAACAAGCCAGGCACCCCTGTCCTCCACCCTCCCGCAGCTTGGCCAAACTCATGCTGGTAGCTTCGAGAACACCGTCCAACCATCTCATCCTCTGTAGTCCCCTTCTCTTTGTGCCCTCCATCTTTCCCAACATCAGGGTCTTTTCCAGGGAGTCTTCTCTTCTCATGAGGTAGCCAAAGTATTGGAGCCTCAGCTTCAGGATCTGTCCTTCCAGTGAGCACTCAGGGCAGATTGACTGTACCATCTACCAATGAAGCACTAAGGAGTATGCAATATATGTAGCATTCATCCCACCCCCTACTTGGCCTATGGGGAAGAAGGTCCTCACCACTGCTGGTAGATTAATGGATCTAGAGAAGACCTAAAGGTCTCACTTCTGCCATGGACTCATTTGGTGGGCTCGGGGGTGGGGTTGCTTCCTGAAAGCCTCAACACCCCCATGTGTACAATGGAAGCAATTGCAACTTACTTTTCAGAATTCTGGCAAGGAATTCTTAAGCTGTGGCACAGAGTGGTCCAGACTGCAAACATGGATGGGGGCGGAAGGAACAAATTATGGATGGATGAGCCAGTTCTAGGTCTGTGCCAATTTCACACGCACCGTCCTACATCTGGCCTGTCCTATGGGCTTGCATTTTGGCTGTATGCATTCCTCACAAAATACACATTTTGTGCTTCCCTCCAAATTATGTACGTTACACTTTTCCAAGCAGCTCCCCACCTCCTTTAAATGTGTCTGAAAATGCATTTTTTTTTAAAAAAAACAACTGAAACTACATTGCAAAGTTCAGATAAGTGAGCAATCTGACTAATAACTGCATTACAGTCCACATAGGTCAGGTCACTTTAAAACGTGGCCTGAGCCACATTCTCTTCTGCCACCAGACAGGATGAGTGCATTTGTGAGCGTGGAGAATGGGTTGTGCCAGATAACCACTAGTCTTTCTGCCCTTCCACGAGGACTGCAAAACACTCTGTAAAACAAAGTGTGATATCTAAAAGGAGGAGCGCCCCTGTGCTGATTAGCACCCTCAGACAGCAATTCCACAAATTAAGGCCTGCTATGCAAAGAATGCAAATGACCATTGCAAACATATTGCAGTGCAAACATATTGTTTGAATTGTAGGGGTTCCTTCCTATCCACAGCTTCGCAGGCAGGCAGATTCTTGGGAAACTCGACGGACCCAAAGAGCAGAAAATCCCAACATGCTTTTAAAAGTGCTAGGGCAAGGTTTAGGAAGCAGAAAGCTTGAAAGAAAACAGAGACCACAGTTTCAACCCACTTCCCCCACTGGCCGTTATAAAATGTTGAGAAGTGCTGTGGCACGCAGATTCAGGCAGTGCTTTGATTAAAGAGAGAATGGATTGGATTGGCAGGCTGTTGGTCCAATTCTAGGCATGCAGTTGGGGTGAGGGCGGGATCAAACACACCTTGGCAGCTGCCTAAGATCCTCCAGGAATGCCCACCTCAAACTTAAACCCCTCCTTAGGAATGCCCCCCACATACACTTAAAATAATTATCCACCCCATGGCAAATGGCAGGCAGGGAGAGTTGCGGAATCTGGTTATCCTTCTGTACAATAGCAGGTTTAAGTTGTGGATCTTGGGAGACCAGTGATCCATCTCTATTTTAAGGCACCAGGAACTCAGGCTTGTCAGAAACAGGATACTGGGGAAGGGGGCGTTAGTCCATTTGTTGGTTTGTGCTAGTAAAAAAAAAGGTTGCTGTTGAGTTGTCAGAAAGAGAGGCCGCTGAACACTTTGCAGAAGATCACCGCCATTTTGCGAGCCGCAGCTGTTGAAAGCTTTCTCCCGTCCGTGTTCATTCTGTCTCAATTCCCCTGTTTCACAAGGAGGAAATCAGCTGAAATCAGGAAACGTCGACCCAAAAACTCAAGAGCAGCTGCAGTTCTCAGTACTTTCCAGCCCTCCTTTTTAAAATGGACTGGCTTCCGAGGAACGGGGTTGTTTCGGAGACTCCGTGAGGCAAGGGTTTAGCGCAAGTTGGTTTCATGGCAAAGGCTAAGAAAGACTTAGGCCCACCCCCCCCCCAAACTTCCCTTCCTCAAGACGCAGTTCAAGTCACGACGCAAGACACTCAGCCTCACGGCTTTGCATCATGGGAGCAACAGGGACTTGGCCAGCCGCATCCAGAACCATTTCTTGGTGCAGGGGTTGGTGTAGTCGCAAACCGTGATGAACCTGAGGATACTTGGGAACTCCTTCTTCATGCTTTTGCACTTAACTGGAATGAGGCGCTTGAGGCGAGCTCCTGAAAGAGGAAGCCAACATGGGAATGTGACATAAGAGATGGCCTGAGACCTTCTTCCTCTCTCTTTCACAGAGAGGCAGGAAACAGCTGCCCCCACTTTCCTTTCTGAGCTCCAACGAGGCTCTGCGTCAGAGCAGAGTCAAAATTTCTCAGAAAACCTTTTTCTGAGAATTTCCCTTTTACCCCTTCCTCTCCATCCCCCCATAAGGGACGCGGGTGGCGCTGTGGGTTAAACCACAGAGCTTAGAACTTGCTGATCAGAAGGTCGGCGGTTCAAATCCCCACGACGGGGTGAGCTCCCATTGCTCGGTCCCAGCTCCTGCCACTTAGCAGTTCGAAAGCACGTCAAAGTGCAAGTAGATAAATAGGTACCGCTCTGGCGGGAAGGTAAATGGCGTTTCCGTGCGCTGCTCTGGTTTACCAGAAGCGGCTTAGTCATGCTGGCCACATGACCCGGAAGCTGTACGCCAGCTCCCTCGGCAAATAAAGCGAGATGAGCGTCGCAACCCCAGAGTCGGTCACGACTGGACCTAATGGTCAGGGGTCCCTTTACCTTTACTCCATCCTCCGTACACACACACACACACACAGGCTCCAGGGTGCCTCACAGAAAGCGGATAATAAATTTAACGAATAAGTAGCAACAATATGGATCAGGTAGCCCATGCAGGTGTTTACCTGGGGAGAGGCTGAGGGCAAACTTGGTCTGGAAGTCACAGGCTTCGCTATCAAGGTAGTCATCCGAAATCACTACCACCATTTTCCGGCACCTGAAGTTTTTTTTAAAAAACACAGAACAGAGAAAACACGTTTGTGAAAAGTGAGCGGACAACCGAGAGGATGAAGCCTAGGCAACTGGAAGTGTTCTGACCAACAGGGAATGGGGCGTTTTCGGAGCTCTAGATACGGCCTAGTGCAGTGGTCCTCAAAGGAGAGAATGGCAAGAATGGCGGGAAGATTCAAGGACCATCAATATTCTGTTTTGAGAATGACTCCTGTTCTTCTGTAGCTGTGTTGTTTTATACTTCCTGGATGTCCCGTGATCACATTATAAAGCGGTTGTGTTGTATGTTTTAAATCAAGTTGTTTCTTTTTGTTTCCCAGTGTACAGTGGTACCTCAGGCTACATACGCTTCAGGTTACAGACTCCGCTAACCCAGAAATAGTGCTTCAGGTTAAGAACTTTGCTTCAGGATGAGAACAGAAATCGTGCTCCGGTGGCGCGGCGGCAGCAGGAGGCCCCATTATCTAAAGTGGTGCTTCAGGTTAAGAACAGTTTCTGGTTAAGAACAGACCTCCGGAACGAATTAAGTTCTTAACCTGAGGTACCACTGTATTTCTTGTTGATAAAATATTTGGTGCGGCGCCAGCAAACTTTTATTCTGAAAGTGTGGCCCAGAGAAAAAAGATTAAGGACTTCTGGCCTAGTGGGTAACGGGGAGCCTGAAAGATGTGTGGGTCATAGGCCACAAGGCACTCCCCACATATGCACATCTTCTCTTTAGTCTCCGCACATCTGCCTTCCCTTTCTGCATCTGCCTAGTCCCAATACTTTCAAGTGACAAGAAACATCTTAATCTAGCCCCCAAACTGCATCCGACCCAAACTGCAAAGCAGAGCCTGACTATACGAATACGGACTGTAAAGTATTTGTCAGCCTCTCCTCCTCTTCTTCTCTGTGACCATATGCAAAGGTAGATGTTGTTGTTGTTTAGTTGTTTAGTCATTTAGTCGTGTCCGACTCTTTGTGACCCCCTGGACCAGAGCACGCCAGGAACTCCTGTCTTCCACTGCCTCCCGCAGTTTGGTCAAACTCATGCTGGTGGCTTTGAGAACACTGCCCCACCATCTCGTCCTCTGTCATCCCCTTCTCCTTGTGCCCTCCATCTTTCCCAACATCAGGGTCTTTTCCAGGGAGTCTTCTCTTCTCATGAGGTGGCCAAAGTATTGGAGCCTCAGCTTCAGGATCTGTCCTTCCAGTGAGCACTCAGGGCTGATTTCCTTAAGAATGGATCGGTTTGATCGTCTTGCACTCCATGGGACTCTCAAGAGTCTCCTCCAGACCATAATTCAAAAGCATCAATTCTTTGGCGATCAGCCTTCTTTATGGTCCAGCTTTCACTTTCATACATCACTACTGGGAAAACCATAGCTTTTACTATACGGACCTTTGTCGGCAAGGTGATGTCTCTACTTTTTAAGATGTCTAGGTTTGTCATTGCTTTTCTCCCAAGAAGCAGGTGTCTTTTAATTTCGTGGCTGCTGTCACCATCTGCAGTGATCATGGAGCCCAAGAAAGTAAAATCTCTCACTGCCTCCATTTCTTCCCCTTCTATTTGCCAGGAGGTGATGGGACCAGTTGCAGAGGTAGATAGGGATCCCAAATCTCCGGCTTACTGTTATACAGTCTTAGGAAAAGCTGCTCCCTCTGGCTGTCTCCATCTTAAACGTCACTGGGCTTTGAAGACCACTTATTTATTTAAAAATGCACGGACCACAATCTCCCGATATCCAGGTGGCGCCTGGGAATGGCATACAGTAAGGAATCAATTGCTGCAAATTGTAGGGGGTGTGTGTGTGTGGGAGTGCTGTTGTGCTCAGGTCCTGCTTCTGAGCTTGCCATAGGAAGACTTCTAAATGGAGATCTTCATTCCACTTGGTATTTCTATTGGATTTCAGTGGTTTTATGTTCCGCCCGCACTGTTGGCTGACTTGCCTGCCTGCTGTTCTGTCGTCATGCTGGAGTTGCTACAGCCACCAACAGGCAGCCATGTGAACTGCAGCATGACAACAGCCTTACAATTTATTTTATATATGACACATGCAGGTGGGTTGTTTTTTTTAAAAAAAAAATGTAACTGTTTTACTTAATTTATATCCTAAATTGCTTTGGGATGCCTCACTGGAAGCAATTCATAAACAAAATAAATAAATTATCAGGCATCCGGTTGGCCGCTGTGAGAATAGGATGCTGGACTGAATTAGATAATGATAAAATCCATTCAATTACAACCTTTTCAGCACCGATTTCATTCTCAGTTTTTTCTGGGCTGTTCTATGCTGCCAATTCCTTTTTTATCACTGCTATTTTTACTTGGTAGTGTTTTATTTCTTTTTATTCAACAAAACGTAGACCACTTGAATGAAAAGAAATGAAAACTCTAGGCGATTCACATAAAATAGCACAAAATATTTAAAACATCAGTAAAAAAAATCAAACTTTAGAAACAAGTAGGTATAATAAAAATAAACTGTGAAAATGCCCTCGGCAGCCAGTGTGGTGTAGTGGTTACAGTGTCAGTCTAGGACCTGGGAGACCAGGGTTCGAATCCCCACTCTGTCATGAAGTATACTTGGTAACCTTGGGCTACTCACTGCCTAACCTAACTCACAGCAATAGATTCTCTCTGCCTGCTACTTGTTGGGATTAACTGAGGGAGAGAAACATGTAAGCTACTTTGAGCTCCTTAGAGGAAAAGGTGGGCTATAAATTCTATTATAAATGAATGAATGAAAAGTAAGTGTTGATGGGCAGCATAAAAGTTCCTAAAGCAAATAAATATTACAGCCACTTTCCCCCAGCCTTAAAATAATACAAAAGGAATGCAATACGTTTTTAAAAACTAGGCTTGTTAACTAGTTCCTAATTATTCTAGATTGCTTAGAATAAAGGTATTTACCAGCTGATTGTTGATCAATGTTCCAACAGGTTGTTTCAGAATGAATTGAACAAGCAGTTGTATTGGGAGTTGCATTCTTTTAAGTCATTTTATTTAATGGGGGGGGGGTTTGGGGGCAGAAGGCTGAACCCACTGTTAGAGCAGATCCACTGAAATCCAGTGGACTTCTACTGATTTCACTGTCTACTCTTGGTTTTTTATGCTTTATTGGTTAAAAACTTTATAACAGAAATGTTCAATAGATGTTGAAAACAAAATAGAAAAACAAAAATAAACAATAATTCCTTCCTTAACTGATATTCGCTTTGTACATCCATTTGTAATTACAGTGGTGCCTCGCAAGACGAAATTAATTCGTTCCGCAAGTTTTTTCTTCTTGCGAGTTTTTCGTCTTGCGATGCACGGTTTCCCATAGGAATGCATTGAAAATCAATTAATGCGTTCCTAGGGAAACCGACTTCAGACCAGGTCCGGGGACAGTCTGTCCCCCGACCTCTTCTGAAGGCTGGGGGGGGGGACAAGGGCTTTTCTTCCCACCCACCCCAGCATTTTAAAAAACCCCGGGACAGCGGAGGGCTTCTCCGCTGTCCGGGGCGATCTTAAAATGCTGGCGGGCGGCATTTTAAAATTGCCCCGGACAGCGGAGAAGTCCTCCGCTGTCCCGGGGCAATTTAAAGCCCCTGGGAAGGCAGGCAGGGGGACAAAGACTTTTGCCCCCGCCAGCCTTCAGAAGAGGTCCTGGACCTCTTCTGAAGGTTGGCGGGGGCGAAGTCTTTGTCCCCCCACCTGCCTTCAAAAGCTGTCCAGCCAAGGCTTCGCGGACCTCTCCGCAAGCAGCGGCAGCACTGCCGCTGCTTGCGGAGAGTTGCCGGCATGCCGAAGCCTGCGCGCGCTGAGATCAGCGCGCCCAGGCTTCGCGGACCTCACCGCGAGCCGCGGCAGCGCTGCCGCTGCTTGCGGAGTGTTGCCGGCATGCCGAAGCCTGCGCGCGCTGAGACCCGCGCGCCCAGGCTTCGCGGACCTCTCCGCGAGCAGCGGCAGCGCTGCCGCTGCTTGCGGAGAGTTGACGGCATGCCGAGCCTGCGCGCGCTGAGATCAGCGCGCCCAGGCTCGCGGACCTCTCCGCGAGCAGCGGCAGCGCTGCCGCTGCTTGCGGTGAGTGGCCGGCATGCCGAAGCCTGCGCGCGCTGAGATCTGCGCGCCCAGGCTTCGCGGACCTCTCCGCGAGCAGCGGCAGCGCTGCCGCTGCTTGCGGAGAGTTGCCGGCATGCCGAAGCCTGCGCACGCTGAGATCAGCGCGCCCAGGCTTCGCGGACCTCTCCGCGAGCAGCGGCAGCGCTGCCGCTGCTTGCGGAGAGTTGCCGGCATGCCGAAGCCTGCGCGCGCTGAGATCAGCGCGCCCAGGCTTCGCGGACCTCTCCTGCCTTCAAAAGCCGTCCGGGATAGCGGGAAGCGCTTCCCTGCTATCCCGGACTGCTTTTAAAATGCTGGCGGTGGGGAGCAAAGCCTTTCGGCCCCCGCCAGCCTTCCTGGACCTCGTCTGAAGGCCGGAGGGGGGGGGAAGGCGTTGCTCCCCACCGCTAGCATTTAAAAGAGGTCCCTGGAGATTTCCCTATGGGCGTTCGGCTTGCGAAGCAAGCCCATAGGGAAATTGCTTTGTGAAGCGCCTCAAAACGGAAAACCCTTTCGTCTAGCGGGTTTTCCGTCTTGCGAGGCGTTCGTCTTGCGGGGCACCACTGTAAATTTAACATGACCTCCGATCTTCCCATTGTGTTCCTGGATTAAATTCCTTAAATACGCACTCTAACTTTGTTTCCTCCATGTTATTTAACTTACTATAAATTTTGTTTTATAAAATTATCCTATTTGCACACAGAAATTCAATCAAAACCTGCCAACAGATTAGTATTTTTGACAATGTTCTTTTACGTATGTCCCACTCTGATAAATTTTTCGTCAGTGACGTCTAGTAACCTTGCTGATAGTCTCGCCAGTTCGACGTACTCTCTTATTTTATTTTGTCAGTCTGATTTGGATGGGATATCTTCTCCCTTCCAGCCTTTTGCGATTAGAATCCTGGCAGCAACTATACACATAGATAAAGACTCTCCTGAACTTTTTTGGGATGTCGTGACCTATAATTCCTAGCAGGAAGGCTTCAGGGTTTTTTTAGAGAAAGAGCATTTGAACATTTTCTTAAGCTCGTTATAAATCAAGAGTCTACTCCTGAGTAGAACTTAGCTGGGAACAAACCCAGAGAGCTGCGGGAGGCACAATGGATATTTCCATTGCTGCCCACCTGGGTATATATTCCTCAACTCACCGCGTCTCTATAAGCTCGCTGGTGATGGACCAGACGCACGTTCCGGGGAGGACATCCCGGTCGAACACACAGAGCTTCAGCTTGTGCTCTGTCTGTTCCAGCTCTTGGATCATCTCTTGCACAAAGTGAAGGTCGTTCGGGCAGTAACAGATGAAGGCATCAAACATCTCTACCGTTTGTCCTGAATTAAAACAACAATAAAAACAACACTAGATGATATTATGCATTCATTTATGCCAACTCTCAAGAGACTGCTATCTACCGTATTTTTCACTCTATAAGACACACCTAGTTTTTGGAGGAGGAAAACAAGAAAAAAAATATTCTGAATCTCAGAAGCCAGAACAGCAAGAGGGATCACTGCGCAGTGAAAGCAGCAATCCCTCTTGCTGTTCTGGCTTCTGGGATAGCTGCGCAGCCTGCATTCGCTCCATAAGACGCACACACATTTCCCCTTACTTTTTAGGAGGGAAAAAGTGAGTCTTATAGAGCAAAAAATACGGTACTTTCAGAATTAAAAACTGGCAGCTTTTTTTAGGGAGGAGGAAAGCCCCATTTTGGGGGGAGTTCCTTTTGGGAGGGGTTAATGGGCGGGGCGAAGGGGTGGGGCAGGAGGAAAGGGAGCCAGAGATCGACCGTGATCTACCAAAACCTTGTGGGGAACTACCAGTAGATCACGACTGACCAGCTGGACATCCCTGATTTAGGCCTTCATTGTATTAATATGCTCCCTTTTTCTCAAGGTGGCAAACATGGACTACCCCCCTCCTCCTTTAAACCCCACAACAACCCTGTGAGGTAGGTGAGGCTTAGAAGCAGAGACTGGCCCAAGGCCACCCAGTGAACTTCATGACAGAGTGGGGATTCGAACCCTGGTCTCTCGGGTCCTAGACCAATGCACTAACCACTACACCACACTGGCGCGAATGGAGGGAGCGGGGAAGTGTTACCCGTCTGAGCCAGCCTTGCACACAAGTTCTCAAAAAATACCGTCCCCCGGCTCACATAGAGCTGTGAAACGTCCTCAGACCTAAAAGAAAATTGCTGTAAACCTTCCCTGCTATTCACCTGGAGGATGTAACCACTCGCCGCAGGAGAGCAGGAAACTAGCTGCTTGCAAACCGGATGTAAACTATCCCGGTTGTAACAGATGCTTGGCAATTACCGTATTTTTCGCTCTATAAGACACACTTTTTTCCTCCTAAAAAGTAAGGGGAAATGTGTGTGCATCTTATGGAGCGAATGCAGGCTGCGCGGCTAAGCCAGAACAGGGAGAGGGAGTGCTGTGCAGCGCTCCATCTCGCTGTTCTAGCTTCGGGCTTAGCTGCGCAAAGCCTCCGCAGGGCAGCGGGATGAAGGCACCCCGCTGCCCTGCGGAGGCTACGCGGGCTGTCCCAGAAGCCTCCGCAGGACACAGGGATGAAGGCTCCCCGTGCCCGGCGGAGGCTTCGCACGAAGCTAGAACAGCTAGAGGGAGCACTGCGCAGTGCTCCCTCTAGCTATTCTGGCTTTTGGATAGCCCCCGCGAAGCCTCCGTAGGGCAGCGGGACGAAGGCTCCCCGCTGTCCTGTGGAGGCTTTGCGTGGCTCTTGGGGGATGGGACAGAGCGCGCAACTCTGTCCCTTCCCCCACTTCCCAGAAAAGCCCCCAAGTACCGCGCTCCCTTTAAAGAGCACGCAGTTCTTGCGGGAGATGGGGGAAGGTACAGAGGGCAGCTTACCCGCGCGCAGCCTCTTCCTGGCAGGGGGAGCCTTCATCCCACTGCCCAGGAGACACTTCAGTGGCTATCCCAGAAGCCAGAACAGCAAGAGGCTATCCCAGAAGCCAGATCCCTCTTGCTGTTCTGGCTGCTGAGATTCAGAATATTTTTTTTCTTGTTTCCCCCCCCCCCAAAACTAGGTGCATCTTATCGTCTGGTGCATCCTATAGAGCGAAAAATACGGTACCCGTAGCTCGAAATCCATTTAACACATTGCTCTACAGAGCACCCTCCTCCAGGAAGAATTCTAGACAGGCCGATGAGCTATGCAGGCGCCTCCATGGGCGGTAACACTGAGGTCAAAGAAAAACTTGCTTGCACATGTCTTCCCTCTTAGTTTAGCTGCACGTTTATCATCATGTCGCTGTGCTCAAGGGTTACACTGGTTTCCCAAAACCCAGCATTTTAATTCTTTCTTTTTTCAAGAGTGTTATTAATTTCCCAATAATAATCATTAGCTACCATGATATATATATATTTTTAAAAAGAGTGTGATAGATTGTGCTCATTTTACCTGGTGCTTTTCTCTTTGTTTCTTTTTAAAATAATTTTTATTAAAGATTTTCTCTGTTTGCAAAAGTATGCACATCCGTCTCTTTTTTTCAGGTTATAAAGTCTTTTCTGCAGGTCAGTTACGTTTAATACGAGACGTTAGCGTTGTATACGGCGTTTTACCTGGTGCTTTTGAACAGCTGCATAGCAAGCAAATTCAACAGGTGCGCTTCAAAGAGGTGCAATGCCGGGAGCTTTATCTGTTGAATTTCTGCCTGTGCTGCAAAACCGTTGAAGGTTCAGGAGCCCTGCCAGAAAATTAGGCGCCCATCAACCCTAGCCACAAAAGGTGGGAAAGTTATCTCATGTGATGGCCTGGGAATCCGATTCAGAGGCTGAACTGGAGGAATCCCAGCCTGCACAGGAGTCCCCGCCTCCAGGGCCGGCTGAACTGGGGCAGGGCCTTGATTCTGAAGCGCCTGCACCTGTGCCGGATCCTCAGGAGCAGACACCAGGTGAATCCACTCTGGCTCCTGAGGGGGTTGAGGACCCATTGCCTACAGGTGCGCCTCTCCCAGCCCTGTCAGAGGAAGGTGAGTCTCCCCCTGGGTCCAGTAACCTTTCAGCCTCTCCTGAACTGCAGAGGCTCAGGGCAGAGAGGCGGAGGGAACTGGTTTCTCCCAGGAGGAGTGCTCGCCTTAAGGCCAGGAGAGGCGGGTCTCCTGGGGGCCGGGACCGCCCCTGGCCTCAGAGAAGATAAAGGCCAGTCAGCCCGGTCCCAGGTTGCGGAAGCAACGTCGTTGAAGAGCTGTTTCGGCCAGCACCCAGTCCTGTTCCTCCAGAGTTCCTGTCCTTGCCCGGCTCCTCGCTTCGGACCCCGCTTCGCCCGTGGAGGACTGTCTGCCGCCCCTTGACTCAGGTCCTGGACCTCGCCCCACGATAACCTCCCCCCGGGACCAGCACATCTCATTTCCTCTTCCTTTCAGTGTCTGCATAAACACTGTTCGCTCTCACCCAGACCATCTTTTCCGAATCAAATAATCTTATGGTTTTTTTCATTTCTTTTACCAAGGGGGTCATCTCGCGTAGTGATGCCCTGCAGTTCAGATGACCGTGCGATACTGCTGTCCACTGCCGGGACCTGAAGGGGCCTCTCCGCCTCCTCCTGCTGTTTCCTCCGCAGGTACTTCTTGCAATCTTCTTCTGCAAAGAGTCACAGAACAAAAATAATAATAATAAGGCCTGTTTCTGGGTATGCTTCGTTTGCGGTTCGGGGCCCGTCCGCACGACAGCCTCCTCTGCTCAGTGCTAAACCACAAACACAGGAAACATGGGCTAGAGGGAGCAGGAGGAGGTTAAATCTCTCTTCCTGGGCCAATACCCTAAAGCCAATGATGGGGACTCACAAGCCCAAACTGACCCTGAATCCGCTCAATCTCTACACCCGTTAAATTGGCAAAAATGTATAAGGTAAACAATAAATGCTTGAAATGTAAAGAAAAAGAAGGAACATTTAACCATATGTGGTGGGAATGTAAAAAGGTGAAAAACTTCTGGGAAATTATATACAATGAGATGAAAAAAATGTTGAAATATACATTTATTAAAACACCAGAAGCTTTTTTATTGGGCATTGTAGGGGATGATATAAATAGAAATGATTGTAAGCTGTTTTTATACGCAACGATGGCAGCAAGAATATTACTGGCACAAAAATGGAAGCAAGAAGAATTACCGACGAAAGAAGATTGGAGGATGAAATTGATGGACTATGCAGAATTAGATATACAGTGGTGCCTCGCAAGACGAAATTAATCCGTTCCGCAAGAGTCTTCGTCTAGCGGTTTTTTCGTCTTGCGAAGCAAGCCCATTGACGGATTAGCGCTATTAGCGCTATCAGCTGTTTAGCGGCTTTTAAAGGCTTAAAGGCTTAGGGGATTAGCTGCTAAAAGGCTATTAAAGGCTATTAAAGCCTTAGCAGATTAGATAAAGTGGGGTTAAATCGTTAAATAAATCTCAGGAGTCGCAAGGTATTTTCGTCTTGCGAAGCAAGCCCATAGGGGAATTCGTCCTGCGAAGCAACTTCAAAACGGAAAACCCTTTCGTCTAGCGGTTTTTCCGTCTTGCGAGGCATTCGTCTTGCGGGGCACCACTGTACTAATGGGAAGAAAACCAGCGGGACCAGAGATTCACAGAAGATTGGCGTAAATTTACGGACTATCTGAAAAGTAATTGTGATGATCAGATTACATTTGTAGGTTTGCAGGAAGTTTTGTGAGGTGAATAATTTGAATTATTGCATAATTGGATGAAAAGGACGGTGCTAGTTAAGATAATTAAAGGCAATATGAATTTAAGAAATGCAGAAGAAATCATAAAAATGGGGGGTCATCAGAGGTGCTGATGGAAGTCCAAAAAATTGTATAAGATTGTATACAATTTTGTGGTATGTATGACAATTAATATGTCTTAAAATGAATAAAAATTATTTAAAAAAAGAGAATCAGCTCAATCTCATGCAACTAGCATGCAGAGGTCAGGTGAGTATTGCATGAAAGTGGAGCCTCCATGTCCTGGGGCAGTATATCTCAGATTTGCAAGATCTTGGGGGACAGAAATGGAGAGGGTGCAGATCTCCACCTGCTCTGGTTGGGAACTTTCTTGTAGCAAACACTAGGCTGCCACTGGGGACAGACAGAGGGGTTTGGATTTGTTAGGCACTGGGGAACACTCTGGGGCAAGGATAAGGAGCCTGGGCTCCCCAGGTATTCTTGAACTGCATCTTCCACTATCCCTGAGCATTGGCCATGCTGGTTGGGGCTGATGGGAAACCAGGATGGATAAAAATCAATGATTTTTTTAAAAATAATAATAATATTTTTTTTATTTAAATCAGATTTTTTAAATTTTAAATTGGATTTTTAAAATAAAATGCTTTTGGAGGAAAAAGTCTTTCTATTGAAGTTACATTATAGTCCAAAGACTATTCATTAGGAAATAAGGATTTGTTTTAAGTTTTTCATGTGTGCTAAAACTCAGTCTAAGTTGTTGTTTTTTTTTAACTGTTTAACCACATCAGTTAACAAACATGGATACATATGCTATGTTATTGTCTTAGTTAAATAAATTGTTTAAAAAATAAAAATTATTTTTCTCCTTCCAATAAAGTACACCGGAAAAGTTGTCCAAATATAAACAGTTAACTTATTAAACCTCACAATAATTTCATAATTATTTGTAAAAACTACTCTGAAAATTTAATATTCCAAAAATGAAACCTTCATTTGGTTGTAAATATTAAGATTATACCAACAAGAATGAGTCTTTCTGTTAAAAAAATGATTTAAATCAAGTCTTACTGAATAGTGATTTAAATCGATTCATTTTAAATCAAATCTACCCTGTGGGAAACAGGGCAACAGCATCTAAAAATGCAGACTGAGGATTGCAGGAGCAAGCACAACCTACAGCCATGCAAGAGAGGCAGTGTGGTGCAGTGGTTAGAGTGCCGGCTTAGGACCCTGGAGACCCGGGTTCAAATTCCCACCCAGGAATGTAGTTCGCTGGGTGACCTTGGGCCAGTCACAGTCGTCTTTCAGCCTAACCTACCCCACAGGGTTGTTGCTGGGACTGAAAGAGGAGGGGCAGAGCCCAGAAGGGGCAGAATCATATATGCCAGCTTGAGGTCCCTGAGAGAAAAAGGCAGGATATAAATGCAGCAAACAAAACACAAAATGACGCCAAGCTTTAGATTTTGTTGCTGCTTCAAATATCAGTCGCTAGTTTGGGCTCTCATTCCTTGGTGCTGCTGTTGTGTTTTTTGTAAGGATGGACAAGCCAGAGCCAGGTAGAGGCACTCAGGAATGCACCTGTAAAAAGGTAAAGGGACCCCTGACTGTTAAGTCCAGTCGCGAACGACTCTGGGGTTGCGACGCTCATCTAGCTTCACTGGCCGAGGGAGCCGGCGTTTGTTCGCAGACAGTTTTTCTGGGTCATGTGGCCAGCATGACTAAGTCGCTTCTGGCGAAACCAGAGCAGCGCACAGAAACGCCATTTACCTTCCCGCCAGAGTGGTACCTATTTATCTACTTGCACTTTGACGTGCTTTCGAACTGAGAGGTTGGCAGGAGCAGGGACCCTTCAGCTGTACAGCTCCCTAAAAACTCTTCAGCGAAAGAAAGAAAGAAAGAAAGAAAGAAAGAAAGAAAGACTTGTTTTCTCTTGATGAAGCAAGTGTGTTTTCTTCTGGTAGGGCTGGAACCAATGGATTCAAGTTACAGTGGTACCTCAGGTTAAGAACTTAATTCGTTCCGGAGGTCCGTTCTTAACCTGAGGTACCACTTTAGCTAATGGGGCCTCCCGCTGCCGCAGCACCGCAATTTCTGTTCTCATCCTGAAGCAAAGTTCTTAAACCGAGGTACTATTTCTGGGTTAACGGAGTCTGTAACCTGAAGCGTCTGTAACCCGAGGTGCCACTGTACAAGAAAAGAGATTCTGGCTAAACATCACAAGGAACTTTCTGATGCTAAGAGCAGAGAGCTCAAACACCCACTGAAAGGTCCTCCAGTAAGAGCTGTTTGGGAGTGGACTCTCCTTTAATGGAGATTTAGAAGCAGAGGCTCGATGGCCATCTGTCAATAGTTGGGATTCCTGAACTGCAGTGGGTTGGACTAGATGACCCCGGGTGCCCCTTCCAACCTTATAATTCTATGATCCTATGAAATGTTTTTAAGTTAAAGCAAACAAACAAAAGCAACAGCATTGCAGTAACACACCCGGAACCAAAACAGCTTCAAACAGGAGTGCTAAACAACGAGGAAGCGTCAAGAAGGAAACAAAACCAAGACGTTAGGAAGAGGGAGGAAGAATATCAGTGGCCATTTCCTCTCTCTCTCCGGGAAACTGCTCCCTTACAGGCAGAAATCCAACCGGCGACGCCCCGGCGGCTCCGAGGATGGGCGCAAAGCCTCCTCTGTTGGGAACTGGGTATTGGGGCGCAACAGAAAGGAGAGGCCGTGCGTAAAACAGGGCGCTTATTCTGGAGAGGCCGTGCGTAAAACAGGGCGCGGGGAGAGAGAGGTGTCTCCCCCCTTGGACTGGGGCAGAGGGGGCATCGACGGGACGGGGGGAGGGCGATAATCAGGGGCGTCCCCGGGCCCTGTTTGCTCACCGATGCTGGTCCCCAGGTCAGCTAGGACGTCTCGGCGGCCGAGGAGGCGCAGCAGCCCCAGGAGGCGGCCCACGGTGGCGCCGCCGGGGCAGCGCTTCTGCCAGTCGGCCAAGAGGCTCTCGGTGGGGTCGGCCTTGCTTTCGAAGTGCTTGATCTCTAGGTAGTCGTAGCCCAGCTCCTCGGCCAGCGCCGTCCAGTCGGAGGCCACCGGGGCGCGCGGGTTGAGGAAGAGCCCCAGGCGGCGGCGCACCGAGTAGTTGAGCGCCACCAGCGGCACCGAGTCTTCTTCCGACGGGGAGGACGGAGACGCGCCAGCGGCGCCAACAGCAGCGACCTCCGCCATCGCGCGCCTGGGCTCTCTCTCGCCTCGCCGCCTTCCCTTTCCTGCCCCCGCGGCCGCTTTCGCAACTTCCCCGACGGGGCGGAGCAGGAGGAGGAGATGATGAGCCTCCAAACCGGTTTCGCTTTTGGTGCCGGCTCAGCTGCGGGATGCATCCGTCCAGCAGATTGGAAAATTCAGAATAGATGCGCCTAGTGGTTAACGCTATGAGACGCGCGCTCCCGCGAGAGGCAGGGATGGCCACGCCAAGCTAGACGGCTCTAAAATTGTTGTTATTAGTTATTAAAATTTGAGTATTGTCCTTAGCCCAGAGCTTTCCAAACTCTGTCGTTACAGCTGCAGTGTGTAGGTTTGTCGCGCGAACGCTCCCCACGTTCCTCCCGGGGATTAGAAAGGGGTTAGTTTAACCGACAATTTGCAAGTAAAACTGAATTACTGTGTTGTAAAATGATGCGTGCAAAAATAGCATGTCACCATCAGGAAAAGTTTGGAAAGCTCTGCCTTAGCCCAAAGACTGCAACAAGGAAATAGAACACAAAATACAAAACGAAGATAAACCAATAACCCCCCTTCCCTCCAACACACAGTTATTATTTATTGAATTTGATAGAGGAGAGAGCCATCCATAGCTATTGAAAAAACTTCCCCACCCCATTGAACTCTGGGGCTGACTGCCCTGCCAGCAAGCTTCACTGCTTCGTTTGCAAAATGTTTATCAATGGATGGTAAAAGAAAACGGAAAGAAACTCAGGAAAATCTGATGCCGAAAGCAAGTTTATTTGTCACGATCATTTTTTAATAGCCCAAACCATTTCTGCGGTAGAAAATAAAGCCCATGCTAATATCAAAAACTATTTTCCGAACTCCATGCTTTCCCCCAAAGGTAGGACACCTAGCTAAAAACAAGACTACATAGAACAGCATTTAGCACAACTGATTTGTAACCCCTATGTGAGTGATAACTTTGGACTCCTCCAAACAACCTTTTTCTTCCATCATTCATACTGATTCGCTTGCACGACGTTTATGCAGCGGTTAGAATATATCCAGGCTTTGTTGAGCAGTTGTTCTGATTTGCCTGCAGGGTGTTAGTACATCTTCCTGCTAATCCTTTTTTTCTCTCCACATTTTTCAATGCATTTCCCTATCACTTTCCTAACTGCAAAAGTCTGTTTCTTAAAGCCGCTTTGTGGCACAAGGACGACTGAGCACTTTGATCTGCTGTAATTGTGCAACCCTAAATTTCCCCAGAATGCACTGGAATCCCTCGGTTTGTTTTACCAAGGGGCGGCCATACAGTGGTGCCCCGCAAGACGAATGCCTCGCAAGACGGAAAACCCGCTAGACGAAAGGGTTTTCCGTTTTGGAGGTGCTTCACAAAACGAATTTCCTATGTGCTTGCTTCGCAAGACGAAAATGTCTTGCGAGTTCCTGCGGGTTTTTTTTCCTCCCCCCCCCCTTTTTCCCAAGCCACTAAACCGCTTATCAGCTGATGGCTAAGCCGCTTAACAGCTGATCGCTAAGCCCGCTAAGCCGCTAATACTGTAGCGCTAATCCGCTAAACCGCTAATGGGCTTGCTTCGCAAGACAAAAAAACCCGCAAGACGAAGAGACTCGCGGAACGGATTCTTTTCGTCTTGCGAGGCACCACTGTATTAAGTTTGTCAGAATAGCAAGATTCCAGAGGAGGCCAAATTTTCAGTTCGAGTAGCTTTTGCCTCTGCAAGCCTTCAAGTTACACACAAAGCTTTGCCCAAAAAAGTGGCCTGCCACACCACAGGTTTCCCAGCCCCTGAAGGGCCAAAAAAGGCTACCAGCTATACCCAGTAGCAGAGGCCCATTGGGACCCTTCACCTCTGGGTCATTTCCCCAGGGAACCACAGCCACTCTCCTCAGGAAAAGTCTTTGTTCCGAGAAAAATAAAAATCCACTCCTCTATCTTTGTGCTGCTTTGGGGTGTACGAAGGACCTTTCTTCCCCTTCAGAGCAGGACCTTGGCTGTTCTGCAAGAAAGAGGGAAATGGTCATTCTTATATTTATTACCATTATTATTATTTAATTTGGTTTCTTACCTGCCCTGCACCAGAAAGTCCCAGAGCATGTTACAGCAATGTAAAGCGGTTAAGAGTACTGGACTAGGACCTGGGAGACCAGGGTTCGAATCCCCACTCAGCCACAAAGCTCACTGGTTAAGAGCTTGGGCCATTCCCTGCCTCTCCGCGTAACCTACCCCACAGGACCGTTATGAATAAAAGGGCAGAACCGTGTATATGATACGATAATCTTTATTGTCATTGTCCCATACAGAACAACGAAATTGAAAAAAACTACCCCAGACCCCTGACCATTAGGTTCAGTCGTGGCCGATTCTGGGGTTGCGGCGCTCATCTCGCTTTATTGGCCGTGGGAGCTGGTGTACAGCTTCCGGGTCATGTGGCCAGCATGACTAAGCCGCTTCAGGCGCACGGAAACGCCGTTTACCTTCCCGCTGGAGCGGTACCTATTTATCTACTTGCACTTTGACGTGCTTTCGAACTGCTAGGTTGGCAGGAGCAGGGACCGAGCAATGGGAGCTCACCCTGTCAAGGGGATTTGAACTGCCGACCTTCTGATCGGCAAGCCCTAGGCTCTGTGGTTTAACCCACGTCCCAAAGACTACCTTACACTGCATTTAAAACCAAAATCGCATATGGATAGAAACTGTACACCACTTGGTGCTCCTTGAAGGAAAAGGTGATATACAAATGTGAGAAATATTAAAAAATCAGGTAAAACAAATTGCAGTCCCTAGAATAGGGTGGGTCTCCAAAAGGTATTAAACCTCTTCAAAAGTTTATAGACTGCCCTTCCTCAGAAGATCATAGGGCGGTTTTTAGTGGTGCACAGGGCAAGGCAAGTAAGATTGACTGACTTAGCACATACCGGTTTCTGGTTGATGTGCCTGCTCCACTCCCGGGCCATGACGACTGGCAGAGGATAGGTGGCCCCGAGGCTCACGCCAGCCTGAGAAAGGGCAGCAGTGCTCAGGGCCCATGGGGTGTGTACGTCTCCTCCTTTTATGCCCTGCAATTCCGGAACCCACAGTCGGACGTAGTCTCCCTGCAGAGGCAAACAATTCAGTCTGGTCCTTGCCTGTTGGTGAGGCAAGGGTTGCAACTCAGTGACAGAACACCTGCTTGGAAGGCAGGAGATCCCTGGTTCAATCTCTGGCGCCTGTCTTTCTTTTTCTTAATTAATAATTTAAATTTTATTAGTCTTTTCCACACAACAACACAAAAAATATTGAAAAATAACAATACACAAAAAACAACATACAAAAAAAACCCCAAATCCATATCTTACAAGTATGTACAGTATGTTAGCTCCTTATAAAGCCAGCAAGGCTATCCGCCCCCAGTACGTTGGCAGCTATCAGAGATGCTCTATTTTATGCTCCTCTGTACTTACCACCAGAGAGCAGCCACACAGAGAAAAATATTCAGTATAAACTTTCCTGGATTGTTTTGTGCCGGAGTGCAAACTGGCTAGGAAAGTGGAATCACATATTTGAGTACTCTGCCCATTAAGTAAAACAAAGTACTTCCTTGCAAATGGAAAGCTAGCCTTCCAGGGTTTTAACCTAGCTTTCTTCCTGAGATGCTGGCTTTATCGCTGTCAGTCTTACTTAGAGATGTGAGGGGTTGGACTTGAGGCCTTTACGCACTTCCAAAAAGATGCTCTGCCACAGAGGTCTTCCTGCCCCTCCCCAGTTTTGCTGGGCCATTTAAGAGAACACACCTCTCACACACTTTAATGAAGCAAAATGGTGGACCATACCAAATTCCCCCTATTACACCTGGAGGTATCCCATAAAACCGGGTTTCAGTCTAATGCAACAAAGGAAGCAGGATAACGTGTGTGTTCAGTGTCAGGGTTTCCCAGCAAGAACCTACGTTGCTGTCGTAATCCAAGCCTTGTTTAATCATGTTGAATTTCCGGTTCTCCCTCGGATCGTTGCCGACTCCAGCGCTGTACAACCAGTTGCCATAGTTGCTGCAGACATCATAATCCACCTTGAATTTAGGAAACACATATATGTATAAGTGTGTATGTATGTATATATACACACATACATATATATATATATGTATATATATATATATCACAATGACTTGTTAAAAGGGGCTTGATCAGATATTCAGTGCAATCCTCTTCCTTTTCTGAGATGGCTCCCAATTTGCTAAAGGTGCATTGACGATTCCAAGGGATTTCGGGAAGGTATCTTGACCTCCCAGCTGTGCATGACATGAAGTGCTCAGCCGAAAATACATTTTATCTTTCAGGAAGCTTTTAATGTTTGATGTATTACAGTATTTTAATATTTTTTTGGAAGCCGCCCAGAGTGGCTGGTGAAGCCCAGCTAGATGGGCGGGGTATTAATAATAATAATAATAATAATAATTCAATTCTTTGAAGAAAACATCCTCTGCCCCTGGCTTTACCCCAGTTGGGTGGCTGCCGCTAGAGATTATTATCTTTATTAAGCCGTTTATAATATTCTAATGGATAAATAATAAAATACACCACACACCTATATCTCCACAGTGCCTGTGAGGCTGTGCACACTCTACAATACTTCCTCCAAAGACTCATGTATTGCATTATTCCTGCATTGCAGCGGGTTGGACTAGATGACTGTCAGGGTCCCTTTTCCAACTCTACCATTCTACGACTCCTGGGAACTTATTCCAATCCTGCATACGTCTCAAAACCCAGGGCAAATTCCAGCAACCAGCTGGCCTTAAGATATAAACAAAGATGCTCCCATCTTACCAGCAGGGACTCAAACCATTCTGCTCCCATCCTCCAGTCCAAACCCAAATCCTTAGTCAAGAAACTGGCCACGTTCTGGCGCCCTCTGTTCGACATGAAGCCCGTGGCAGCCAGCTCACGCATGTTGGCGTCGACAAAGGGAACCCCCGTTTTTCCATCTGCGGGAGCAAGAAGTCACACAGACACACACACACACCTTTGTACAGTGGTACCTCGGGTTACAGACGCTTCAGGTTACAGACTGCGCTAACCCAGAAATAGTACCTCGAGTTGAGAACATTGCTTCAGGATGAGAACAGAAATCATGTGCTGGTGGCGTGGCAGCAGTGGGAAGCCCCATTAGCTAAAGTGGTACCTCAGGTTAAGAACAGTTTCAGGTTAAGAACAAACCTCCAGAATGAATTAAGTTCTTAGCCCGAGGTAAAGGTAAAGGGACCCCTGACCATTAGGTCCAGTCGTGGCTGACTCTGGGGTTGCAGTGCTCATCTCGCTTTATTGGCTGAGGGAGCCGGTGTACAGGTCATCTGGCCAGCATGACTAAGCCGCTTCTGGCGAACCAGAGCAGCGCACGGAAACAGCGTTTTACCTTCCCGCCAGAGCGGTACCTATTTATCTACTTGCACTTTGACGTGCTTTCGAACTGCTAGTTTGGCAGGAGCAGGGACCGAGCAACGGGAGCTCACCCCAGTGGGGATTTGAACCGCCGACCTTCTGATCGGCAAGTCCTAGGCTCTGCGGTTTAACCAACAGCGCCACCCGTGTCCCTGTATAAATACTGAGATACTGCTTCGTTCTGCAAACAGAGAAGTGGGAAAGAGGGCTTTCGTGCTATAGTCCGGTTCTTAACATTTTGGTTTCCCCACCTACATAATCTGAACGAATCAGCACTTCATATCTTACTTGAAAGATGGTGATGGACTAGTCACCTGAGGATAGCAGGCTAGCTCGAGAGATGGAGGGTAGCCTAGCTTAAGGGACTCAGGAGAAATGGGGGCACGAATGCCACCCGCCTGCTGTTCTGCAGTCCAAGGCAGTTGTCTCACTCTGTGGTGACTGGTGCCAATAGGGTCTGGTAGGGCCGGAGATAAGGAGGCCAATGGTGGGCGGAGCCACAGCCAACGGTGGGCGGAGCCAACTCAGGCTACAATAAACACTAGGCTTATTGCCTCAATTTTACTGGTAATAACACTGTTTTCTAACGTTCTGTTTATACTGCAGTACCTGTTGCGCTATGGAAATGCAGCCTTTTGATCAATATACCACCATGTCGTGTTAAATTGTAAACTGCAGTAAATAACCGTATGATGGGAGGCTGCCTCAGATTCCATCACGCGGAATCAAAACGCAAACGTCCTGAATTAACGGGGTTGCAAACAGGCTTTTTAATGCAGGCATAGGCAAACCCGGCCCTCCAGATGTTTTGGGACTACAACTCCCATCATCCCTAGCAAACAGGCCCAGCGGTCAGGGATGATGGGAGTTGTAGTCCCAAAACATCTGGAGGGCCGAGTTTGCCTGTGCCTGTTTTAATGGAAACAAATCAACAAGGAAATGAACGCCTAGCTTCCTCTGCATTCCCAGAAGTGGATTTTCCCATCTTCCTCCCTTCCTACATGGAATAAGGAGGAGGAAGCTGAGGATCTGTGGCCTACGAAGGCAGGCAGGTGTGGGGAGAGATGCCGGAGGTCAGGCAGAGGACCAGCCTCCACTGGTCTCACTCTGACCAACCTACCCTCTAATGGACCAAACTCCACTGGTTTCATTCTGCCTAATGGTAGGGCTGGCCAGGGCCGGCACAAGACATTTTGGCACCCGAGGCGAACCACAAAACGGCACCTCCCTCTGCCAGTTGAGATGAGAGAGGGGAGTGAAAATCGGAATTAAAGGAGAAAGTGATTATCAGCATTGGAATGAGCAGGGTAGGCGACCGTGGAGGAGAAGCAGGCGATGACGGATGTGCCAGCAGATCTCTTGCCCCTCATTGGTTTACTGACCTTTCCAAGAGTCAAACAGTTTGGGGTCCTTCTTCCAGGGAACAGCTTTGTCCTGGAGCCCTACGTGGGGAGACAAGATTGGCTGGACATTAGGGGGCATTGCCAGGTGGCAAGGGGTTTCTATTCCAGAAGTGGCAGCTGGGATTTCCCATACAAGACTGCAGGTCTTCAAAGAATCCTCTTCAGGCACAGCACTGAGACTTAGGCTGCCATCCAAAACCAAGAGGTACAATGTATGCAGATGTACTTTTCTCAGACTAGGGTTCACATTTTTCTCCTGCATATATTTAGGGAATGTTCATCCAAATTTTTATTTTTATTTTCCTTTCTGGTGGCAGGGTCTTGAATATACCGTATTTTTCACTCTATAAGACACACCAGACCACAAGACGCACCTAGTTTTTGGAGGAGGGAAACAAGAAAAAAACCATTCTGAATCTCAGAAGCCAGAACAGCAAGAGGGATCGCTGTGCAGTGAAAGCAGCAATCCCTCTTGCTGTTCTGGCTTCTGGGATAGCTGCGCAGCCTGCATTCGCTCCATAAGACGCACACACTTTTCCCCTTACTTTTTAGGAGGGAAAAAGTGAGTCTTATGGAGCAAAAAATACGGTAATTGCTGTTTAAAATGTGACCTAGCTTCCTCCAAGCCCTACAAAAACACATTTCTCTTCAAGTTGCACCCAGGCTGGACTTTATTGCCCAAGTTCAATAAAAAAAGTGACGAGGAACTTCTCCAGCGCTAAGGACCCAGTGCAGATAATAAACTACATCTTTGGTGACACATAACTGATATTGTTGAGTCAACAGCAGAGTGGTAAAACCCAAGAGCGGGACCCAATGGAGACAAATGCATAGGCAGCCATGGGACTGCACTGCAAACCTTGCATTTTCTTGGGGGATTAAAAAGATGTGGGTTTTAATTGTTCTTTTAACTGATAAGATCTGAATGAATTTGCCTAGGAATAAACGGGAAGGAAGAATTCTTTCCTTGTATTTGGATCAGGGATGAGCAACCTCTTCCTTCCCGAAGGTAGCTTTCCCTCTTGGCCAACCTTCTGAGAGGCCACATGACCCTGGTGGGAGGGGCCAGTTGCAGGAAGTGGGCGTGGCACAAGCAAAAGTGGGCGTGGCCACAGATGTGGCAGACGTCAGCCATTTGCGAGTCAGAGGTTTTTGTTTTTCATCCACGCAAGAAAGAAGCCTGGCTCCGTTCCACCATCTTGACCGGAAAGAGCAATTCACCCGCTTACCTCTCACAAAGAAAATCCTCCTGCCGTATTTCAGAGCCACAAACCGGAAGTAATCCCTCCACACCAGTTCAAAAAGCACCCTGGGAGAGAAAAAATACGCACAAACACACACAGATATGACAACCTCCTGCAATGCAGGAATCTCAGCTAAATAATTTCTGACAGACAGCCACCCAACCTATAATAATAATAATAATAATAATAATATTTTTTTATTTATATGCTGTCCATCTGACTGTGTTGCCCAGCCACTATGAGCAGCTTCCAACAAATTATAGACATTAAATTTTTTGACCTTTTTTAAAAAACATCTGGCGGGCATCTTGTGTGAGGGTTTTCTTTAAAACTGATTTTTCACTTCCCTCTCTGAACCTGCTCTATCCACATTCCGCACTGTCAGTTATCTCATTCCGTGACATCACAGAAACCCAGCCAATGGCTGCAGAGTGATGTATGTGTGTGTCTAAGAAAGAGAGGGAGGTGGAGGGGCAGGCAGAACGTGAACAAGAGGATAATTTTCTCTCTCCCGTGTTTCCAAACCAGGCCATGTCATTTATCCTACCAATAGGTACTCTGATTTGCTGTCCTCTCTTTTTCGTATTTCTGGATCTGCTCGTAAATATACCGGGGCGAGATGCAGCCCAGAGCCAGCCTAGAAGACAAATCAAGGATGTCATGAGAGAAAGTGATCTCTGAGGGTGGAATGCCATCATTTAGGTGGTGGACCTGAACTCAGAACATCCACTGTTTGTTTAATTTGAGGCATAGCCCATCTTAAGTGCATAACAACATGCTCAGTTACCACCACCCACTTGCATTGATTAAATCCCAGTTCATATTTAATTAAATCAACTCTGAAAACCACAATTAGCATTCTATTACTTGCATATCACGTGGCTCAGAGCTGTGAGGTTATGCAAAGCGAACCTTACCGTGGGCTTTCGTACAACATTGTAATGGATGCAGGCAAAAAAAGCATATCAATAGGCAATTGGGCTGCTCTTTGTCCAAAGCCACATTGGGATGCACATTGAGTGACGCCCACTGGGAAGGCGGATGTCGCTGAAACAGGATTACCCGATCCTAAGCGCATGAAGACATTTATTTACCAGGGTGCAAACTTGGTCGAATAATCGACTCCTATCAATCCGTTCCGTGTCTCCTTGTACGAAGCGACTAGGTTCTGTGCAAAAGGATGTACACGTCAGGCATTTCAAAGGAAACATAAAAGTGCTTTAAAAACAACACTTTTTCTATAAATGCCAGAGATTGCAAATTGCACAGTGTAGAACAAATCGAGCTTATGAACATAACTTCTGAGACAGAGATTTCCACATCTAAGAGAGCCCTCTGGTGGCTGGGATCGGGGTTACGCAGCCGTGAAATGGGTCCCTCCAATCAGAATAAGTGGGCAACTTGGAGGATTCCATTATTTATATGGGGGTGGGCAGGCAGGTTTGTGTAAATGAGATCGGCAGATAAAGAACCCTTAGCAAGCCATAAGGTCTTCAGTTAGCTAACTAATTAACCGAATAAATTTGCAGAAATGTGCAAGTGAATTAGCAACACTTCAATTTCAGGGAAAGCCTTCCCTGTTTGCTTTATCCAGGCCAAACCATCTTAGGAGAGGCATTCCTGCCTGTCTGAGAAAGAAGAGGGAGATGCCTCTTCTAAGGAAGAACTTCCATATTGCCCTTATTAAATAAAATTCATTTTTAACACATACACAATTTGCAGCCTGATTAATAAGGTTGGGGTGTTGCTGCGTGACTTTCAATCAATACAAAGATCTCAGCGATAGTTAAACAGGCAATCTCTGCACCATTTTCCATTTTAAAAATAAATGCCAAGGAAATTTGCAACAGTAAAATGACAAGAAGACTAAAACAAATAAAACAATTGCAGAACAAGGGTCCCTAAAAGCTGTCAGTAAACAACACCGCAATTCACTAAATCAGAGGTGAAGAACGTCAGGCCTGGGGGGAGGGGGGGATAGAGAGGCCCTGAGGGCCACCATCTGGCCCTCAAAACTCTCCCCTGACCACTACCTTCCACTGACCCCAACTCATGCCTCAAGAGTTTTGGCCCCGCCGAAATGTGTCCACGAATTCGGATCGTGCCTCTTGCTTGCCTACATGAAGGACAGAGAGGTGCGCATAGAAACTGGCTTGCTTTTCAAGCTAGTCTTCCTCTGTTGCCTCTGGCCCTCAGAAGATCGTCCAGAAGGGAATGTGGCCCTTGAGCTAAACGGGGCTCCGCAATCCCCAACTAAAGGTTACGCTCCATGTGTGCATGCGTACACACACACCCTGGCGGTGGAGAGCAGACGGACGGACAAGCAGGTAAAGCTTTCTTGCGCCGAGTCAGAACATCGTTCCATCTAGTCCAGGATTGTCTGCACGGGCCGGCAGCCCCTTTCCAGGATTCCAGATCAGGACTGTTCTGCAACCTTGCTAACACAGACTTTTTAGCTAGAGATATTGGAGGCTAGGGACGTGGGTGGCGCTGTGGGTTAAACCACAGAGCCTAGGACTTGCCAATCAGGTCAGCGGTTCAAATCCCCGCAATGGGGTGAGCTCCCGTTGCTCGGTCCCAGATCCTGCCAACCTAGCAGTTCGAAAGCACCTCAAAGTGCAAGTAGATAAATAGGTACCGCTCTGGCAGGAAGGTAAATGGCGTTTCCATGCGCTGCTCTGGTTCTCCAGAAGCAGCTTAGTCATGCTGGCCACATGACCCGGAAGCTGTACGCCGGCTCCCTCGGCCAATAAAGCAAGATGAGCGCCGCAACCCCAAAGTCGGCCACGACTAGACCTAATGGTCAGGGGTCCCTTTACCTTTATTGGGGGCTAAGCCAGGCTGCCCCCCTCCCCGAACGCAAAGCACTGTCTCTCCCACTGCCCTCCTCTCAAAACCAAAGCAAGCCCCCTCCCAATTCTACAATTCTATGAATTACCGTGTCCCAGAAGTAATGCTGAAGCCTCGTTAAGGCCTGTGTCTCTCCTCCACCGCAAGGGAAGGCAGTGCGGGGATCGGCTAACGGTTCTGCTAAGGAAGCGGGAAGAATCAACTTGAGCAAAAAGCGGGGGGCGGGGGGGGAGAGATTCCTGCCCTGAAAACACCCTCCAAATCCGGCAGTTAGGGTTAGGGTTGGCTATCCAGTCAAACAAAGCAGGATTTGCAACAAAATGCTGCAGTACTCCCGTTTAGACGGAGATGCTGCCGGAGTGGGTAGGGGATGGGGAGATTTGGCTGTGATTCCTGCGTTGCAGGGGGTCAGACTAGACAGGGCCGTCTTTGGCATATGCGGCACTGGGGTGCAAAAAACCGCAGGCCAAAGTTTTTGAGCTTTTTTTAGCGGGGCAGCTCATGCCGCTGTGGGAGGAGATGTCACGGTCCGGTTCACAGGCGATTCGGTTTGGTATTCAGTTCGGTTCACTGTCCGGTTCACGGGGACGTCGAGACCGGGAGCAAGATGGCAGGGTAGGAGCAGGAATGGGAGTCCAGGAGTCAGAAAGCCAAGAGTCCGAGGGTCAGAGAGTCAGGAGTGAAGAAGCCAAGGGTCTGAAGGTCAGGAAGCAAGGAGTCACAAAGTCAGGGGTCCGAGGATCAAGGAGTCACAAAGTCAGGGATCCAAGGAGCAAGGAGTCACAAAGTCAGGGGTCCAAGGAGCAAGGAGTCACAAAGTCAGGGGTCCGAGGATTAAGAAGCAGGGAGTCAAGGAGTCAAACGCAGCAAGGCAGGGAACGTGTTGCTGTGGCAAAGAGCTGAAGGGAAAATGCTGCCCTTATATCCCTCCCCGGCTCTTGCCACTAGGAGCTGTGAGTTACCAATTGGCCTCACCTGTTTAGCCGCGCCTTGCCTCTCCAGAACAAATTTAGGAAGGCCCCAGTCCTGCAGAGTCCTATTGGTCCCAGGACCTGGCTCCTCCACGCACACCTGACAAGAGAGCTATCCCCGCAGAGGCTTGGGAGGGAAGCTGCATGCTCACCAGCCATCTGGCGCCCCCCAGAATTCGGCGCCGAGGTGCCCCGCACCCCTTGAACCAATGGTAAAGACGGCCCTGAGACTAGAGGACCCTATGATTCTATGTGCGCACAAGCAGTGCCAATTCTACCATAAACACTGGTGGAAGGGCACCCCAGTGCAGTGAAAAATGCTGGGTGGAACCATCCTTACCTTGCACCCCAAAATCTTCCAGTTTGGGGATGTTCCCTTCTTCCACCCCTGGAGGCAATGGCTTCAGCTGAGAGGCCATTTGCAGAAGAGGCCGAACCTTCACCTGGGACTCCACGGCTTTCCGGAACTGGGTGTACACATCGGGCAACCTGCAAAACAGAGTCCCACTAACATATCGAGGGCTACAGGTTCCCAGTCACTACTATAAGGTTAGGGCTAGGGGCTCAGCTCACCTGGAAATGTGCTTGAAGGGCAGGTCGTCTCGGTGATAGAGCGTCGACCCCCAGAACTTCTGGGCCACCACCCCCTGCTCAGAGCACACCTGCAGCAGCGCCTTCTCCACATCCAGCTCTTCCTTTGTCGCCTAGAGCAAGCAGGAAGCAAAAGAGAGAGACATTCTCCCATCTGTGCAACAACCGCAAGACCGAGCCAGCAATAAATCACACTGTGCATGTTGGAGGAAATAAGGATTTGTTTTAGGTTTTTCATGTGTTTTCAGTCTGGTTTTTTTTCATTGTTTAACCACATCAGTTAACAAACATGGATACATATGCTACAATGTTATTGTTTTAGTTAAATAAATTGTTTAAATTGTTATTAAGGAAATGATTCTTTTTCTCCTTCCAATAAAGTACAGCAGAAAAGTTATCCAAATATAAACAGTTAACTTACTAAACCTCCCAATAATTTCATAATTATCTGTCTATGTATTTCTAATAGTATAACCAAATCGGCAATTTTTGATATAACTGTAAAAACTATTTTCAGTTAATTTGTTTTCGTGACTGTGTGGATCCCAGTTCAGCTACTGATTGATTGATTGATTGATTGTGTGACTGCAGAAATGGATAAAAGCCCCCTATCCAAACAGTGACTATCATCAGTGCAGGTAAGAAAAAAAATTAATTTTAATTTTTATCATCTACAATACTGTTTTATAGTACCATGGATTATAGTCCATTGATTATTGCTTTCATTTTATGGATCAGTGGTCTCGTTAGACAGTAAAATTCCTGTTAAATTGCTGTTTTAGGGGTTGTTTTTTAAAAGTCTGGAACAGATTAATACATTTTGCATTACTTTCTATGGTAAAGCGCACCTTGGTTTTGGAACGCTTTGGTTTTGGAACGGACTTCCAGGATGGATTAAGTTTGAGAACCAAGGTACCACTGTATTGGCTATTCTGGCTGGGGGCTGATGGGAGTTGGAGTCCCAAGGATATCTGGAGGGCCAGAGATACCCCATCACTGGTTTAAGCTCTGAAACCGTGGGAGATCTTTCCTTACCTCTTCATGGAAGACCACGGCAGCCACGGAACCGACCTGGGAAATAAGATCGCAGACGACATCTTCCGGCTTTCCTTTTCGCACCACCAGATTACTACGGAGGAAATACGGCCAGCAGAAAATTAAACAGCAGCATGATCCCACTGAAACCACTTGGCCACATCTGCACTTAAGACATTGAATACAGCACCGTACCACTTTAAACAGCCACGGCTTCCCCCAAAGAATTCTGGGAACTGTAGTTTGCCGAGACTGCTAAGAGTTGTAAGAAGACTCTGATTCCTCTCACAGAGCTACAATACCCAGAGTTCCCTAGGAAGAAGGGTTGATTGTTAGACCACAGCAGCTTCACCTGCAGACATTAGCAGGAGAGAAATGCCTCCATGCTGTGAAAAGCTTCATCAGTTAAATCCGGCAGATCAAATTATGGTTGCGAGGGCAGGAGCGGATCAGGCTGCCTATCTCTCTGGTCTGCTGGCCACTGTACTAGAAAAGGCATTTAGCGGATGAAGCGCAGCTGTGTCTGGAACGGCAAACTGCATCAAACGAAATACAGTGGTACCTCGGTTTACAAACTTAACCCGTTCCGGAGGTCCGTTCTTAAACCGAAACTGTTCTTAAACTGAAGCATGCTTTCCCTAATGAGGCCTCCCGCCACCAGTGCCCTTCCACCGTTCGGCTTCCGTTCTTAGACCAAGGTAAATTCACAAACTGGGAAACCACTTCCGGTTTTGCAGAGTTCGTAAACTGAATAGTTCATAAACAGGTTGTTTTTAAACCGAGGTACCACTGTATACACTGGGACGCGGGTGGCGCTGTGGGTTAAACCACAGAGCCTAGGACTTGCCGATCAGAAGGTCGGCAGTTCGAATCCCCGCGACGGGGTGAGCTCCCGTTGCTCGGTCCCTGCTCCTGCCAACCTAGCAGTTCGAAAGCACATCAAAGTGCAAGTAGATCAATAGGTACCGCTCCGGCAGGAAGGTAAACGGCGTTTCTGTGCGCTGCTCTGGTTCGCCAGAAGCGGCTTAGTCATGCTGGCAACGTGACCCAGAAGCTGTACACCGGCTCCCTCGGCCAATAAAGCGAGATGAGCGCCACAACCCTAGAGTTGGTCACAACTGGGCCTAATGGTCAGGGGTCCCTTTACCTTTACCTTTACCTTTACCACTGTATACAAAAACGGGTTTCGAAACTAGCACTGATGAGGCTGCACACACCTGCCCTTTTTCTTGAGCGTCTCCCTGAGATCTTCCACACTCTCCAGCAGAAACTTGAGGCGATAGGGGCCAGTCTTGGGGAACTGATAGTAATGGGTTTCTGCGTAGTGCCGGGCATCAAAGCAGTATAGTGGAATGACAAAGTCTGCGTTGCTGTGTGCCCAGTGGAGAACCTGCGGGGGCAGATGGGATTAGCGTCAAAAACACAGGAACACTCAAGCCCATTGGTCCATCTAGCTCAGTACTGTCAACACAGACTGGCAGTAGCTCTCCCCTTCCTCATTTAATCCCCACAACAACCCTGTGAGGTAGGGTTAGGATGGTGGGAAAGCAGTGGTTGGCCCAAGGTTACACGGTGAGCATCATGGCCAAGTGGGGATTTGAACCCTGGTCTCCTAGGTTCCCAGTAGCGATGTATGGAAGTGAGAGCTGGACCATAAAGAAGGCTGATCGCCAAAGAATTGATGCTTTTGAATTATGGTGCTGGAGGAGACTCTTGAGCGTCCCATGGACTGCAAGAAGATCAAACCTCTCCATTCTGAAGGAAATCAGCCCTGAGTGCTCACTGGAAGGACAGATCCTGAAGCTGAGGCTCCAAGACTTTGGCCACCTCATGAGAAGAGAAGACTCCCTGGAAAAGACCCTGATGTTGGGAAAGATGGAGGGCACAAGGAGAAGGGGACGACAGAGGACAAGATGGTTGGACAGTGTTCTCGAAGCTACCAACGTGCTCTGGTCCATGGGGTCACGAAGAGTCAGACAAGTAGTGGTGATAGGGGATTCCCTACTGAGGGGAACAGAAGCAGTGATCTGTGGGCCTGACAAGATGTCTCGGGAAGTGTGCTGTCTCCCCGGCGCTAAGATCCAAGATGTAACTGAACGACTGCAAGGAATCATAAAACCCACTGACAAATACCCCTTCCTCTTGGTTCATGTGGGAACCAATGACACTGCAAGCAATAGCCTCCAGAAGATCAAAAGAGACTACGAGGCTCTGGGCAGGAAATTGAAGCAATTAAATGCACAAATTGTCATCTCATCTGTCCTCCCAGTTGAACGACGTGGCCCAGGGAGAGAGGGAAAAATAGTGGAAGTGAACAGCTGGCTTCGCAAATGGTGTAAACAGGAACGGTTTGGATTCTTAGATCATGGAATGCAGTTTCTTGAAGATGGACTTCTGGCAAGCGATGGGCTGCACCTCACAACGGTTGGGAGGAATGTTTTTGCCAAAAATCTCAGAAACCTCATCAGGAGGGCTTTAAACTGACTAATGTGGGGGAGGGAGACAGTGCTCCGGAAGGTAGGAGTCTATCAATTGATGAAGATGATCATCCAAATGTCATAGACCAAATGGAGCAAACAGCACACAGACCTAGTGGTGGGAGGAACAAATCCTTAAATAAGAGACACGGGGGAATGATTAATGGACTTCAATGTCTGTACACTAATGCGCAAAGCATGGGAAATAAACAAGATGAGCTTGAGCTCTTGGTACAGCAAACTAAATATGACATAATAGGCATCACTGAAACCTGGTGGGATAAGTCCCACGATTGGAATGTAATAATGGGGGATACAATCTATTTCAGAGAAACAGACCAGACAAGAAAGGAGGAGGAGTGGCGTTATATGTCAGGGATGTGTATACCTGTGAAGAGATCCAAGATTTAGAACCTCAAAGCCAAAGTGAGAGCATTTGGGTCAAAATTAAGGGAGAGAAGAATAACAGTGACCTCATTGTGGGAGTTTACTATAGATCCCCAAGCCAAACAGAGGACATAGATGATGCCTTCCTGGAACTGATGGCCAAGCATGCAAAAGGAAGGGAGATAGTAGTAATGGGGGACTTCAATTACCCGGATATTTGTTGGATGTCAAACTCAGCCAAGACCATAAGGTCAAACAGATTCCTCACTGGCCTTGCAGACAACTTCATTGTCCAGAAAGTGGGAGAAGCAACAAGAGGAACAGCCATTTTAGATCTGGTCCTAACCAATGTTGATGACCTGGTTAGTGGGGTAGAAGTGGAAGGATCATTAGGCGCGAGTGATCATGCTCTTCTGAATTTTACTATACAGCGGAAAGGAGCAGCCAAGCATACTAGGACTCAATTTCTTGACTTTAAGAAAGCCGACTTCATAAAACTTAGGGAAGTGCTGGGTGAGATCCCATGGACAGTAATATTAAAAGGAAAGGGAGTTCATGATGGCTGGGAGCTTGTTAAGAGGGAGATAGTAAAAGCACAACTTCAGGCAATACCAATGAGACGGAAACATGGAAGGTGCCTAAAGAAGCCAGGGTGGCTATCTAAAGAACTTTTAACTGAGTTAAGATTAAAAAGGATGTGTACAAAAATGGAAAAGGGGGGAAACGACCAAAGAGGAATTCAAACAAATAGCCAGCACGTGTAGACACAAAGTCAGAAAAGCTAAAGCACAGAATGAACTCAGGCTTGCTAGAGAGGTTAAAAGCAACAAAAAAGGCTTTTATGGGTATGTTCGTAGCAAAAGGAGAACAAAGAAACAGTGGGGTCACTCAGAGGAGAAGATGGTGAAATGCAAACAGGGGACACAGAAAGGGCTGAACTCCTCAATGCCTTCTTTGCCTCAGTCTTCTCCGATAAAGAAAACAATGCCCGACCTGAAGAATTTGAAGCAAATGATTCAGCAAAGGAAACACAGCCCAGAATAACTAAGAAGATAGTACAAGAATACTTGGCTAGTTTAGATGTATTCAAGTCTCCAGGGCCAGATGAACTGCATCCAAGAGTATTAAAAGAACTGGCAGATGTGATCTCAGAACCACTGGCAGTCATCTTTGAGAATTCCTGGAGAACAGGCGAAGTCCCGGCAGACTGGAGGAGGGCAAATGTTGTCCCTATTTTCAAAAAGGGGAAAAGAGAGGACCCAAATAATTACCGCCCAGTCAGTCTGACATCAATACCAGGGAAGATTCTGGAGCAGATCATTAAGCAAACAGTCTGTGAGCACCTAGAAAGGAATGCTGTGATCACCAATAGTCAGCATGGATTTCTGAAAAATAAGTCATGTCAGACTAACCTGATCTCGTTTTTGACAGAATTACAAGCCTGGTAGATGATGGGAACGCAGTGGATGTAGCCTACCTTGATTTCAGCAAGGCATTTGACAAGGTGCCCCATGATATTCTTGTAAAGAAGCTGGTAAAATGCGGTCTTGACTATGCTACCACTCAGTGGATTTGTAACTGGCTGACTGACCGAACCCAAAGGGTGCTCATCAATGGTTCCTCTTCATCCTGGAGAAGAGTGACTAGTGGGGTGCCACAGGGTTCTGTCTTGGGCCCGGTCTTATTCAACACCTTTATCAACGACTTGGATGATGGACTCAAGGGCATCCTGATCAAATTTGCAGAAGACACCAAACTGGGAGGGGGTGGCTAACACCCCAGAGGACAGGATCACACTTCAAAACGACCTTGACAGATTAGAGAACTGGGCCAAAACAAACAAGATGAATTTTAACAGGGAGAAATGTAAAGTATTGCACTTGGGCAAAAAAATGAGAGGCACAAATACAAGATGGGGACACCTGGCTTGAGAGCAGTACATGTGAAAAGGATCTAGGAGTCTTGGTTGACCACAAACTTGACATGAGCCAACAGTGTGACACGGCAGCTAAAAAGCCAATGCAATTCTGGGCTGCATCAATAGGAGTATAGCATCTAGATCAAGGGAAGTAATAGTGCCACTGTATTCTGCGCTGGTCAGACCTCACCTGGAGTACTGTGTCCAGTTCTGGGCACCACAGTTCAAGAAGGACACTGACAAACTGGAAAGTGTCCAGAGGAGGGCAACCAAAATGGTCAAAGGCCTGGAAACGATGCCTTATGAGGAACGGCTAAGGGAGCTGGGCATGTTTAGCCTGGAGAAGAGGAGGTTAAGGGGTGATATGATAGCCATGTTCAAATATATAAAAGGATGTCACATAGAGGAGGGAAAAGGTTGTTTTTGCTGCTCCAGAGAAGCGGACATGGAGCAATGGATCCAAACTACAAGAAAGAAGATTCCACCTAAACATTAGGAAGAACTTCCTGACAGTAAGAGCTGTTCGACAGTGGAATTTGCTGCCAAGGAGTGTGGTGGAGTCTCCTTCTTTGGAGGTCTTTAAGCAGAGGCTTGACAACCATATGTCAGGAGTGCTCTGATGGTGTTTCCTGCTTGGCAGGGGGTTGGACTCGATGGCCCTTGTGGTCTCTTCCAACTCTATGATTCTATGATTCTATGATTCTAAGACTAAACGACTAAACAACAACAACTCCTAGGTCCTAGTGTGACACTCTAACCACTACACCACACTGCTCAGCTAGCTGGACCAAGGGCCCGCATTCATATAAGGTGCTTCTGACTTCCACAGATGAACACACCCACCCTATCCAGTTCCTCTTCAAAGATGCTTTTGCTCAGTGGAAGGGAAGGCTGCCTCCTCCTCCTTGGTCCCTGCGCTTCACAACAAGCCCCGCCCTGTTCCCTCCCCCGCGCTGTTTGATAACTTAGCTCGTGACGTCACGGGCACTTCAAAAGCAGCACATGGGGGAGGCGGGGTTTCGAGCGCCAGCTGCAAAGTTACATAAACTTCGGAGCCGCGCTTTCTGGAGCGCAAAAGCCGGACTGGCGAGGCTCTTGGAGAGGTCCTGCTCTGGCCAGCCCAGCGGGGCGCGCTGAAGGCCGCCGAGGGTCATTCCCTCCCGGCTTCCCCCGGACCGAGGTCCCCCTCCTAGACAACCCATGTGTTTCCCAATTGCTTTGCTCTGGCGTTGTTGAAGGGGGGGGTTTCCCCGCGATCTGCCGCTTGGCTGCGCCCAGGGCGCACCGTCCGAGCCCGTACCTCGTTATCGTGGTAGCGCAGGTCGTTCCGCAAAACGCACAGGGCTGTCCTCAGCGCGGCCATGGGGGCGATCGGAGCCTGCTGTAGCTCCCCGGCCTTCCACTGCAAGGGGGCGGGAGGTGCCCTAGCCCCGCCGCCCACAGGGGAGGAGCCGCACCCGGCTTCTTTCCGCGGCGCACCCTTTGCAGGAATCCCTGGAGAGGCGCGGGAGGGTGGGGTGGCGTGTTTTAGCCGCGCGCCTGGCGCGTTCAGAGGCCAAAGCGGGGCTGTGTGAAGGGTCTACTCCGGGGCAAGGACTGCGGGGCAAAGGTCTATGACCGCGCTCCCCCCCCCCCCCGCACATAGCAGAATGAGCATGAGGGGTCTCCAAACGCTGCAGGGATGACTTGCCCCATTTCTTGGCATCCGTTGGGAGACAATGGAAGAGTGCGTTTTTGGACATTTTCGGGCGCCTTGAAGCTTGAGCTGTTATGGGGACTCCTTTTATCCTCAGCGGGGTTCCACGACACATCACATTTTAAAAATATCAGCCGCATCTCGTAATTTGATTAGAATTGCTCTGCTGGTTTATCTCACATGTCAACAGGTGTGAATAAGAAATTCCAATGCCTTATATTTTCCAAGTTAAGGGTGGGTGGCTGAAAATTAGGGAGAATTTTATACATGCATGATGCATCATAGAATGATGAAATTGAGCTTACCAGACCCAAAAATGTTAAGCAAGGTGGACTAAAGTCACTTCTGGGGCCCCTCTGGCCCCTCATTTATTTAGTGCATTGCGGAGACTCTTGAGAGTCCCATGGACTACAAGAAGATCAAACCTCTCCATTCTTAAGGAAAACAGCCCTGAGTGCTCACTGGAAGGACAGATCCTGAAGCTGAGGCTCCAATACTTTGGCCACCTCATGAGAAGAGAAGACTCCCTGGAAAAGACCCTGATGTTGGGAAAGATGGAGGGCACAAGGAGAAGGGGACGACAGAGGACGAGGTGGTTGGACAGTGTTCTCAAAGCTACCAGCATGAGTTTGACCAAACTGCGGGAGGCAGTGGAAGACAGGAGTGCCTGGCGTGCTCTGGTCCATGGGGTCACAAAGAGTTGGACACGACTAAACGACTAAACAACAACAACCATCTGAAGACCCCCACATTTGGCCAGTGTGGGAGAAAAGGGTTAGGGCCAGATCTAGCTCCCCATCCCTGGATTAAAGGATTCCAGGGATTGTGTTTGCACAACCAGAGTGTAAACACTAAGGAGAGGGGTAACTTATGCTGCCTTCACTGGTATGCAGACTGATGCTTCGGTGATTGCAGCTGGGTTACTTAAATAAGTTACAGAACGGTTTCCTCTCAAATTGTGTGCTGTCACCGCAAATAAATTGCCATTAGGGAAAGACTTCTGTGAGCTGAGATTACTCATCCTGCAGGAGCGGGTGCTTGCTGCAACTCTGCATGATTCCCTGAAACACAGAGAACAGCCTCCACCAAGGCAGATAATTCACTCACACACGTTCCCCAAATAAACTTTTTTGAGGGGTTATCCAAAACATGGCAGTTCAAAGAGCCTTTGGGAGTCGAGAGCTTCCTTGATTTCCATTCCATTGTTCCTATAATTAAAATGTGCAGAGCAACTGTGTGACTCACCAGCTAGTCAGACGCTGATTTGATTCATTCAAGCCAGCCTCGAGAGTCTATGGTTGCACAATGAAGTTTTATATTTAGTCATATTTGGACATGGGAAACAATGCCCTACGTGGATACTTTTGCATACATGTTGGCATTTACCATCAAGCGACAGCTGTCCCTTTTATCCTACAGCGATGGACAATGTTACAGTGTTGGTTGCACTGCGGAGCTAAACTAACGCAGTCTGACAGCTGTATGAAGCTTTTGTGTAACTCAGCCCTCCAGTTAAGTAACTGGGCCCTCCCTATATTTACCTGTTCAAAAAAGCTTAACTGGGCCTTCCTATATTTAGCTGCTTGAATAAGCTTACCTGATGGACCAACAGGAAGAAAATGTCAAGGACTGTCCCTCTCTCAAAAAGTATATTTGGAAAATAAAGAATGCAGACTATTTTCCAGACTGGAAAAATGCAGTATACGTTTACTAGCAGGACCCATCATTTGTGTGACAATAATTGCACAAAGCTGTGTTGATTCTATCACCGACATCTACACACAATGATTATGGCCTGTATTTTGTTTCCCATCCAACCTCAGAGCTACCTTTTATCTACATTTGTGTGTGTGTTTGTGTACACTGAACACTCAAGAGTGCATACAGACATTGGGATTATTGTTTTGCTGGTTATACCGCTGGCAATTCTGCTGCAGTTTCTCATGTTTCTTTTGTACTGCGTTACTTGTGTTTGGGAATATGGCTTTTTGATCAACGTGCCACCAAGTTCGCAGCAGTGTTTGTGATGTGACGCAACGGCAGACCGTCGTTGGGCAGGTCACCGCCCCTCAAGTACATGCATGCTTCTTCTGTTCCCCCAGGAGGAAGGCAGGAAAGGGCTGCATTCTGGAATCCTGCCCCCAATTCCATCCCACAATTTTCCAGGTTAATGGGGTTTTTTCGGGAAGCAGTTAACCCAGAAATGTGCACTAGATTCTGCTAGATTCCAGAATTGGCTTTCCGCCATGTGAAAGATCACATAAAATGTGAAAATTATTTGAGGAAGGAGATGTCATGAAAATGGAATAAAGTAGATGTCTTCGAGACCAAAAGTTCATCGAGGACTGGGGAAAATTTGTTGAATATCTGAAAAGTATATGTGATGTGCAAACAACGCTAGTGGGTTTTAAAGAAGCACTGTGAAAGTTGTTGAAAAGAACTAGATGGTGGGAGGGAAGACTAATGGCAATAAAAAACAGAAGAAATGCGTAATTGAGAGGTAAATACGGATGATTGTCAGAGGAGCTGAAGGAAGTCCAAACAGAGTTAAATTTGTGAAAATTTGGATAAGATTGTATATTTGTGTTGAAAATTAATAAAAATTATTTTTTTAAAAAAAAGAAAATGGAATAAAGTACTGCCTCATACCCCTGTCTACTCATGGTAACATTCAATGATTACATGGAAAGCTTGCGCCATAATAAAAGGTGTCAGTCTGTTGCAGCAAAAACAAGGAACAGTCTCGTGGCACCTTAAAGACTATCACAACTGCCTTGCTGGAAACTGGTGTAAGCTCACTGTAAATCTCTCGCCATGAATGGATATGTCAAATGCCAAATTATTAACCCAAATTTTGGTATTGTTTAAATCCTAGATATTGTCCTCATTCTTCTGTGGGTCTGAACATCCACCCTCTTGCAAAATAAGTTTAAGCATTTTTTTTTAAAAAAACAAAAATTATTCATGTTTCCTCTATCCCCTGTTGATTTATTCGACTTCCTATTTGCAATGGAGCTATATTTAACACTTCTACCATATTTGTATTGTTCACCAGGGAGGTAATCGTCTCATCTTAAAAGTCTGCCTTTGTTCACTCGCTTTTCACATCTGATGTAACGTGGTTTGAGTAATGACTTACCATAAAACAGCCTGATTTGGGCAATGTACCGTATTTTTCGCTCTATAAGACGCACCAGACCACAAGACGCACCTAGTTTTTGGAGGAGGAAAACAAGAAAAAAAATATTCTGAATCTCAAAAGCCAGAACAGCAAGAGGGATCGCTGCGCAGTGAAAGCAGCAATCCTTCTTGCTGTTCTGGCTTCTGGGATAGCTGCGCAGCCTGCATTCGCTCCATAAGACGCACACACATTTCCCCTTACTTTTTAGGAAGGAAAAAGTGAGTCTTATAGAGCAAAAAATACGGTAACTTCGTGTGAGATTGTGGGAAGGCTAGGACAGCTCATTTGGACAACAATCACAGGGGAAATTAAGGCCATTACCTCTGACATTGAACTCATGATTTGGGAATGTTAGCCCAAGGAGGCTCAGAAATGCTCCTCTCTGCTGAGATTGCGTGGTGCTGATGATGCCAAGGATGCAGGTTTGATCCCCGTATGGGACAACTGCGTATTCCTCAGGGTCCCTTAAAACTCTACAATTCTATAATTAAGGTTTTTTTCAAAAAAAAAATTATTCATTTTATAACACAAATAAACAACACAAACAGAAAAACAAACAATACAAACAAATTCTTGTCTTATCCTTATTTTTTCTTAACATTGTTAGGTGAGCTTCCCCAAGTCCCCCCTATCTGATTTTCATTTTACCTCATCTTTAGCAGTTTACATATATCATAATTTTTAGCCATTTTTTAAAATCACACTTTTACCATAATAATCTCCACATTTTATCCTTTACAGATAATACTATTTTAAAATACAGTATCTTCTACTTCTAACCCTACAGCTGGTATCCACTTCCAAAGCTATTCTAAGATTTAAATATGAACATATTTTTTTCAAATATTCTTTAAACTTCTTCCAGTCTTCTTCCATCGTCTCTTCTCTCTGGTCTCGGAGTCTCCCAGTCAGTTCGGCAAGTTCCATATAGTCCATCATCTTCATCCCAATTCTATGATTATGAGATTGCATAAGAGCAGGAATCATTACTAAAGGCAGGAATCTTTTAGCCAATGTGGGGCTTGAACCCACAGCCCTGAGATGAAGAGAATCATGTTCTTTAAGAGTCATTGGTGGGCGGGGCCATAGGCAAAAGTGGGTGGGGTCTTGAAGGTAAACTTTGCCATTGGACAGTAAGCTATTTTTCTGCACAGACACCTTCCTTCTGCGTCCAAACAAGCAAGAGGCATCATCATCGGAGTTCAAGGACAAATTCAACCCACTTGGGGTGCGAAGCAGGAGAGGTGGTCTGGGGTTGAGTGAGGTCTGGGTACAGTTTTGAGGATCAGATGGAAAAACCATGGAGGTCTGCATTTAGACTTTGGGCCTTGGGCACTCAACGACTGATTGGTTGTTTTGGATTCGTGCCTGTGTTTTTGGTGGGTAGGGATGCGGGTGGCGCTGTGGGTTAACCCACAGAGCCTAGGACTTGCCGATCAGAAGGTTGGCTGTCTGAAGACAAACGCCGGCTCCCTTGGCCAATAAAGTGAGATGAGCGCCACAACCCCAGAGTCAGTCACGACTGCACCTAATGGTCAGGGGTCCCTTTACCTTTACCTTTTGGTGGGTACCATTACCTTAGTTG